GAAAGGGCCAAGACAAAAACTAAGGTTTTACCAAACTGCCAAAAAGTTTTTTCAAACCATTTCATTTTTAATTTAAACAAAATAGTTTTTTTGAACAAAATTTTATTTAAGTTCCACCTTGAGCCTTTCAAAAATTTTTTTTTTTTTTTTTCCTTATTTTCTTGTTTTAAAATTGTTTAAGAAGGCTTTTTTTTTCTGTTACAAGTTCTTTTTTTTTAATTAGATAATAATTTGTAAATGAAAGGCATTTTTTTTTTATCAATACTGACTGTTCCCTTTTTAATGCGTTATTTTTAAAAGTTGTTTTTTAGTTTTTTTACTTTTTTCTTTTTTTTCCCTGCCCAAGAAAGAAAATAATAATAATATAAAAAATTAAATAAACAAATTTTTTTGGTGACCTTTTTTTTTTTTAAAATCTTTTTTTGGCCTTTTACTAAGGTTATCCCAAGGATTTTTTTTTATTGAAAAAGCAAAATTGCCCCATTTTTTTCAGAAATTTTTTTTTTTATATACATTTTGTTTTAAAAAAGTGATTAAACGAAAAACAAACAACATTAAAGTTTTTTTAATATTTTTTTTTTTGGGTTAAAAAAAGTTAAAACATAATAAGTTTTTTTATTTTTTTTACCTTTGTTTAGGTAAAGTAAAAAAACAAAATAACAACAATTGTTTCTTCCATCCCACTTTTTTTTTTTTTTTTTTTTCTGGTTTTGGAATTTGCCCCTGTTTTAAAAAGATACATCTTGCATCTTTAAATTCCTTTGGTTGACTTTTTTTTTTTAATGTTTTTTCAAAGTTTTTTGCCAAAACTTTTTTAAATGGCTTTTTTTTTTTTTTTTAAAAAGAAGAAAAAGAGAGAAACTTTTTTGTTTTTTTTTTTAAGAAAAATAAACGCCTCTTTTTTGTTTACTTTTTTTTTTTTTTTTTTTTGCAAACACACTTTCTCACCTTGAAAATTGTTTTTTTTCTTTTTTTTTTATATATATCATATAATTTTTAAAGGGATGATCCTCCTAGTTCAATCCTTTTCCAAAACATTTTTTTTTTTTAAAAATTATTTTTTTTCTTTTTCTTTTTTGTGAAAAGTTTTTTTGATTTACCCCTCTTTTCTATGCTTTTTTATTCATAGCAAAAATACCTTAGTTTTTTTTTTTTTTTTTTTTCAACCCAAAATTGTTTTTGTTTTAATTATTTTACAACAATTTGTTATGCTTTAATCCCATATTTTTATAATGGAATTTTTTTAACAAACCCAGGAACTTAATGTTTTCCTAACCAGGCAAACTGCATTCCCTAACACAAAAGTGTTTTTTTTTTTTCAAGTATATTTTTTTTTCAATTATAAACTCTTTTTTGAACAATTTTTTTTAATTTTTTTTTTTTTTTCCTTAAATGCCTACTTTATGGATTTTTTTTTTTTCAAGCATTGTCCCTTTTCAGCAACTGGAAAAAAAATAGAAGGTTTTTTTTTTCTTTGCCTTTTTTTGGTTGCAAAAACTTGCCAAAAATTCTTTTTTTTTAAAAAACTTTAAAGGAAGATAAAAGAAAACAAAAAAATTTTGCATAATAACAATGTTTTTTTAAGTGTTTTAATGATTAAATTGCTAAAAGAAAGAAACAAAATTTTGGAAACGTAAAGGCAACGAGAGGAAATTGAGGTTAAAGCGTATTTTTTTTTTTAAAGATATGGTAAAGAAAGTTTTTTAAGGAAAAAGACCTTTTTCTTTTGGAAAAAAAAAGGAGCAGCAAAAAAAAAAGAAAAATTCTGCAGCAGAAAAATTTTTTTTTGAAAAAAGTTGGGGAGGAAAAAATTAACACCACTGTTAAAACATTCAAGGGGAAAAAAGGCCCAAGTCAAAGAGGTTTTTTTTCTTTGAATGTTTTTTTGTTTTTTTGAAAGGATTGGCAAGGCAAAAAAAAGCCATTTTTTTTTGTGTTTTTTGGAGCTTTAAGTCAAAGTTAAAAACTTAGATTAAAAATGGTGGTTTTTTTAAACATTAAACTTAAAAATAATTTTTTTCGCCAAATTAGGTTTTTTTTTGGCCCTTTTTCCAGTTGGTTTCAGTACAAGTTTTTAAAATTTTTTCCAATCATAAATGTTTTTTTTTTTTTAAGTTTTTTTTTTTTTATTTTCAAGAAATTCAATCTGCCTTTCTTTTCCAATAATAGGAGACTTTTCCATCTTTTTTTTTTTTTTTTTTTTTTTTTTTTTTTTTTTTTTTTTTTTGAGACAGAGTTCTTCACTTTTTTTTTTTGTTTTGTTTTTTTCCAGGCTTAGAGTGAGTTATTGGCCGTTGGCATCAAGCCTTACGCCTCAACAAAAGCCCCAAAACCCTTTTCAACACTTTTTTTCCCCCGGGCTTTTCGAGCGAATCTCCTCTTTGCCTTCAAAGCCCTCCGAGTTAGCTTGGGAAAAACTTTACAGCAACTGGCGCCAACCACAATTTGCCGGCTAAAATTTTTTTTTTTATTTTTTTTAATAACTTACAATAATTCAAGTTTTTTTTTTTTGGGCCAATTTTTTTAAATTTTTTTCCTTTTTTTCTTTATTTTTTTAAATTAGTTTTTTTAAAAGAGACGGGGTCTTTTTTCGCTTTCTTTGCTTCCGCAAGGCTGGTTTTTTTTTTTTTTTTTGAACTTCTTTTGACCTTTTTGAAAGGCAAATCGCCCGCCTTTTCGGCCCTTTCCCAGAAGAGCTTTTTAGGATTTTGTCAAGGCGTGAAGACCAACCGCACCCGGCCCATCTTTTTTTTTTAATAAACAACAAGACATTTTTTTAATTTGAATTTTTTAAACAAACTTTTAAAATTTTTTTTTTTTTTTTTTTCAAAAATTTAAAAGACTGGGTTTTCATTTTTAAGTAAAAAGTCCTTTTTTAGCAAAGGATCTGGTTTAAAAATGTACTTCACCTCAAAGGCCAACAGTCCTTTCAAGGGAGCCAGAAAAAACAGAAAGAATTTTTAATGGAAAAATAAAGTTCCCCATTTTTTTTTTTTTGCTTTTTTTTTTTTTTTTTTTTTTTTCAAAGCTTTTTTTTTTTTTTCTTTAAAATAAACACATTGCTTAATTTTTACAAGAAAAATTTTTTAATTTAATGTTTGAAAAAAATTATACAAAAGCAATAAAATTAAGGAAAAATCATCCAATAACTCAAAAAAACCATTCAGATTTTATAAATCACAAAAACTTTTTTTTTTTGGCAAAAAATAATTTTTCCCAAATGTTTTTTTTTTTTTTTTTTTTCGTGCCAATTTTTTTTTTTTTCTCTCCTTAAATATAAAACTTGATTTCAATTTTTTTTTTTTTTTTTTTTTTTCTTAAATTTTTTTCCTTAACAGAAGGAAAAAAGCCCAAAAAAATCAAATGCCTTTTTTTTTCTGGATTTTAAAACTGATTTTTCATAATGCCCTTTTTTTTTTTTTTTTTCCTCCCCTTTTCAAAAAGCTTTTGCAATGGATTAAAACAAATAAAAAGGCAATACCCTTTTTTTTTCCTTTTTTTTTTTCTTAATTATTTTTTTTTTTTTCAATTCTTCTTGAAAAAAAATGTTTTTTAAGTTTTAAAGCAAGCCATAAAGGAAAATTTGCCTTTTAAAAAAACTATACATTTTAATTTCCGCAATTCCTTTTTTTTTTTTTTCCATAAAGTAAAATTACAAATTCAAGTAGTATAATCTCCCAAATTTGAAATGGAGCATTTTTTGCATTCCCCTGTTTTTTCTTAAAAAATTTTTTCAGGCCACAGACCCTTTTTTTACAATAAAAGTTTTTTTTTTAATAACCTAAAAATACTTTTTTTTTTGGATTTGCATTTTAAATAAAAGTTCAACAAACGTTTAACTTCCTTTTGGGAAAAAATTATTAAGCCACCTTTGCTTTTTCAAAGGGAAAAAATTTAAACCCCGTTGAAAAATTGGTTTTTTTTTTTCTTTTTTACCAATTTTTTATAGTTTTTTTTTTTTTTTTTCTTTGTTCTTTTTTATTTAATTTTTAAAGTTAAATATGGTTTTAAAAAAATTACAAAACTTCCAAAATTTTTTTTCTTTTGAGCTTTAAAATTTGTTTTTTTAACTTTTTTGGAATTATGTTTTTTTTTTACAATTTTTTTTGCTTTTTATTTTTTTATTTTTTGAAAATGTCCAAGAAACACAAAAAAGAAAAAAATTTTGGCCTTTCCCCTGTAATACAAATTGTTTTTCTTGATTTCTTTTTTTTGGAGTCCAGGCTTTTTTTTTTCACTTTTTGATAATAGTTTTTTTTTTTTTATCTTTTTTTTTTTTTTCCAAGCTTTACCTTAAACTTTCCGCATGCAAGTTCTTCCTTTTCAATGAATCTTTTTTTTTCACTTTTTTTTGAAAGTTTTTTTTTTTTTTGTATTTTCAGGAAAAGTCCCCTCAACTATTACAAATTGTTTTTTTGAAATCTTTTAAAAACTTTCTTTTTTTGTGATTCACTTTCAATTTTTCAATCAAAAGTTTTTTTAAAGAGCATTTTTTAAAAGTTTTTTGTTGAAAGGCCTTTTTTGCTTCTTAATGAGTCCCCCTAAAGCAAAATTTACGCAAAGGGCAAAGAGCAATAAAAAAAGGAAAAAAAATAACACCTGGGCTTTGGCTAGGTTGAGGACCCTTCAAATTTTTTGTGTACTTTCCAGTAAAAAAAAAATACAGCCCCATTTTGATGGGACCCAACTTGTCCCTAAACCTAAATGCCGACCTTTTTTTAAGATTTATGTTTTAAAAACCAGTGTTTAATACTTATTTCCAAAGTTTACCTATTTTTTTTTAAAGTTTCCTTTTAAAGTCCCTTTTTTTTTGCAATAAAATGAAGTTTTTTTATAAAAACTTTTCAAAATTTTTTTTTTTTTTTTTTTTTGAAAAGGCCTGAATTTTTTTTGGGTTTTTCAAAATTTCATGTTTTTTTTTTTTTTTTTTTTTTTTTTTTTCCATAAACAACTTTTTTTTTCACTGTTTTTGAAACTTGTTTAAAAAACACTTACCAAAGGAATCAGCCATACCTTTGGGCTCGGCTAGATAGAAAACCTAACAAACAAGCTGACAAAAGATTTAAAAATTTTCTACATTCAAAAGAAAACTCAAAAGGTTAGTGGTTTTTTATTTTTTTAACTTTTTGTGATTTAAATAGCTAAAATTTGTGGCTATTTGTTACAAGAGTGTTTCTATACATTTCATCTTTCTGTATAATTTAGAAAAAAAGAAAAATTATATTTTAGAATATTATATTTTAGAAAAATTATAATTGAGTAATTTTATATAAAGAATATTCTTGAAAAATATTTTAAAATATTTTCTTAATATTTCTGTGACTCTTCATTATAGTTTGAGTCTATTTTATTAAAACATATAAATTACTACAGATATAATGAGTGAGACATTTTGATTTTGTCTCTGTAAGAGAAATATGTAATTTTACAAATCAGGTACATATTTCAAAGGAAAATGAGTATTTTAAATTATTACATTAAAATACCTGTAAATATTATACGTAGTAGATATCTACACTCATTGTATATCTACACTCATTCATGTATATAATTTATACATATGTATCCATAATGTATTAAAAATTCATAAAAAATGTATACATAATGGATATTGGTTATACTCTATACTCATGGTCATGTATTTAAAACTGAAAATTTAAAGTACCCCAGCCCTGAAAAGTACAGTCACATTGTGGAGTCCTAATGAATGAAGAATAATTGTATCATATCAGATATTATGCTTTATTAGCTGTTCACAGTTTGAATCTGTTCAGTGTTTTACATTTTTTAAAGTATCACCACATATAATGTTATCTGACTCTTTTTAGAATTTTTTTGGAACGTTGAGGAGGACTTTAAACCTGCTCCAGAGTGCTGGATACCAGCAAAAGAAATAGAACAATTAAATGGGAATCCAATGCCTGATGAAAATGGACACATTCCTGGTATCATGAAATCTCTTAAATGGAATTTTGTGTTGACTAGTAAAAAGAACAAAAGGTGCAATTAATGAGAAATGAATTTTAATCTGGTTCATTTTATCAATATGTATAGCATAAATTTTTTGAATCATTTATATAAAATCTAGCAATTTATATCAAAGATATTTCATATCAAGAATGTCCTCTTAGGTTTAGAATCTTTTCTAAGATGAATAGTTTACTAGTTGTAGTCTATGACAAAGTGTTGAATGACAGTGACCTTAAAGTTCTTGTCAGGGTAAATAATATGATTGATGTAGTCTGAAATATTTCAAGAAATCTTTACCTTTAAATTGGGAATAACATATGGTATATGTGTTTATTTTTGTGAAGATCCCAGAAGAATCTCATTGAATGGAGTAAAAATAGGTGTCTCACAAATAGCTTTTCTGGGAATGGGAAAAATTTTGCAGAGGTAGCTGAGTTTGTAGATACCCCCAGATTAAGACTATGGGCAGAGATTGCTCAAGGTCAGGAGTTCGAAACCAGCCTGAGCAAGAGCGAGACCCTGTCTCTACTATAAATAGAAAGAAATTAATTGGCCAATTAATATATATAGAAAAAAATCAGCCAGGCATGGTGGCACATGCCTGTAGTCCCAGCTACTCGGGAGGCTAAGGCGGTAGGATCACTTGAGCTCAGGAGTTTGAGGTTGCTGTGAGCTAGGCTGACGCCACGGCATTCACTCTAGCCTGGGCAACAAAGCGAGACTCTGTCTCAGAAAAAAAAAAGACTATGGGCAGATAAAGAGGCATGTTTTGAATGCCTATTATGTGCAGTACCTGCTTAGTTTCTGGTAATACAAAAATGAAGGTCAGAACCCTTGTCCTAATGATCTTTTATTAGACATTGGGAAAAATTGACCATAATAGTATGATTTAAGGATTAACAGTAATGAATACATAGGATATAACTGGAGAAAAGAAGAGGGATTCTTATTCAATGTGTAGTGGTTAGAGTTAGCTTCTAGGAGGAGTTAGCATCTGTACAAAGCTTAAGAACCAGGAATTTAGTTGGCAAGGAGAAAGAAGGTCAGCTTAGGCAGACTTCCAGGAAGGAGCGAGAATGGAGTATTTGGACATAACACTTTGTTGTAGTTGGAATGTTTAGGGTGTATGACATCTTGAGGAGACTAAGTTGAGGGTTGAAGTGTCTCAGATTTTAAAGGCCCTTATATTCCATCTAAAAGAGTTTGAAGTTTAAAAAAAAAGAGTTTGAAGTTTATCCTGAAGATATGATTATTAAGTAGAGATACAGAGGAACTAAATTGAAATTTGAAATAGAACTATAATAACAGTGGAGGCTAGCAGACCACAAGAAATTATTATAGTAATTTGGGTGAATAATAAAGCTAACAATATGGTCACAATGGCATGTATGTCTAGTTTTCTTGGTAATGAAGTCTCACAATGATGGCCATTCTGGCAATAAGAATGAGAAGGGGAACAAAAATAACATTCAATAAATGTGGTATCAATAAATTATTCAATAAATATTGGAACAGTTCAATAAATTGTGAACATTTACTATATATGTCCATTGTCCCTGAAACTACAAAGGAGACAGAGAACAAACAGTTCAATAAATTGTGGAACACTTACTGCATGTGTCATTGTCCCTGAAACTATAGTGAAGGTAGTAGCATTTATTTAAAAAAAGTTTTAATGCTATGTCTTAGAATAGTGTTCAATTTTTACTGAATTAGGTCAAATTTCTAGTAAGAAAATTCTGGATGCTCTGTAGAGAATAATCAAACAGGTAAATTCCTAAACAGAATAAAAATGAACCCTTATGATTTAAAAAAAAAAAAAGTTGAAACTGTTGACTTTCCCACTGATTTAAAAAATGATGACTATGTGATAGATATCCAAAGAATATGGAAATTATAAAAAATAGAATTACGTGTCGTTTCAATCCATAGAAAATGATGCAATAAAATATATATTTTTTTAAATGATAGGTTGGGTACCAGTAGAGAAAAACAACAAACAGTATTGCTGGCATTCCTCTGTAGTTAATTATGAATTTGAATTGCCCTGGTACTAAAGCATCATCCTGATGATCCTGGACTTTTGAAATTAGTGCAGTGCACACTATCAGATCTCTTAGAGCAAACACTGGAGCTTATAGGAACAAATATCAATGGAAATCCATATGGTGAGTGAAGCTTTTTCTTATTCAGTTATAGTTACTGTCATTTATAAAGAGAACTTCTAGGGTCAACTTAAGAAACACACTACAGAAATGACTAACAAATTTGTGAAATAGTTTTCTGGGATTACATCCATTTCTGTTAACTTTATGATCATGGAAAATTTATTCATGACTTTTATAATCCAAAAGGCTGATTTTTATCCTCTCATTCCCTTCCTATGATTACATTAAACAACTGTATATGAAAAGTAATTAGTCAGTGTAACTCTCATTGCTTTTTCATATTTGGGTGAGCTGAGTTGATTGAAAATGCACTTTTCATGTACAGCATTAAACGGCAAGAGTAAAGTAAATAAAGAATTTACAATGAATACCATATCAAGCATCAAAATATATACACAATGAACCAAGTACAAGTCTTGAGGGCACTGTGGAATCATTGTTGATGGGGGATGAGATGATAGACTAAGGATATTAAAGCTATAGTAAGAAAATCCTGATTGAGATCAAAATATATTGATTGGCAGGTAATAAAGCAACTAAGATGATAATTATATAAGTTATCAGAGATTATGGTACATCTGTTGATAAACATTGAATAATAGTTGAATTATGACTAATGGTGTATATACCAGGGAGTCAGACATTTTTCTCCAAAATGTCAGTGTAATATTTAGCTTTGTGGGCTACCACCTTTGAAATGAGCTATAGACAGTACTTACATGAATGGGTGGGCTGTGTCCATGGAACTATTTACAGAAGCAGATGTCAATCTAGGCTTGTCTGTAGATCCTAGTTTCTGATTACTGATGTAGACTTGGTAAAGTACACAGAGTTGGAATTAGGTTTATTAGAATATGGTGCCACATTGGAACACAGGACTTAATGCACTTGATTATATTCTCTTCAAGTCCAACTATTTTTTCTACTTTATCCTAAATGTTTTAGAAGACTTATTTGGATAGGCAAATTTCTTATTCTGTCTGAAAGTTCTTTGATGAGTATGGTTAATGGCAATTTTACCATTTAGGGTTAGGAAGCAAGAAGCATCATTCATCTTCTATACACATGGAGCATTCAAATAAGAAATCTGCCTACATTGAAGCACAATGATCTTTTGTCCTGGTTTGAAGGTTGCAGAGAGGGTAAAATTGAAGGAATAGTCTGGCATTGCGGTGACGGCTGTTTAATTAAGGTAATGGCAAAATATAGCTTGTGTGGGGCTATGTTGTAGTATGTTCCTACAACAAACTCTAAGCAGTACTAAAATACTCTTTACAAATTGCAGCAATTCTGATTTGGAGCAAAGAAATTTAATTTCCTCATCTCACATGCCACCATTCTTTAAATGCTAAAAACAGTGTTTCCCAGTGTGTATTCTGTGGGCATTGGCCATATGAGATGTGCTTCAGTGATACTGCATATCCCCATGTGGAAATTCAAGTTGTACAGTAGTGCTCTCGGAGACATCCTGTACGTAGTTTCACTCAGTATCTCCAATTTACTTGATTATAGAATTTGTTGAGTAAAAAGAGTACCAGGATGGTAGTTTATATATACAGAATGAGTTTTATTATTCTTTGTACCCTTTCAGTCTGTCTCCTAGACTTGCCAATTTGATTTCTCACATGTACCTGAAATTCATAATGTTCAAAACTAGACCTAGTCTTATCTTAACACCCAAATTTACTAAGGTAAAAACTTGGATATTATTTTTAACCCTCCTTTCCATTACTTTATATATCTAGTTATCAGTTCTTAAAGATTCTAATCTATTGAATTTGTCTACTTCCCAATCGTTAATTTTTTTTTTTTTTTTTTTTGAGATAGAATTTCACTCTATCACCCCAGCTAGAGTGCAGTTGTGTCATCATAGCTTACTGCAGCTTCTGGCTCATGGGCTCAAAGGGTCCTCCTGCCTTACACACCCAAGTAGCTAGGACTACAAGAATGCCCCACTGTGCTTGGCTAATTTTTCTATTTTTTTGGTAGAGACTGGGTCTCACTCTCATTCAGGCTGGTCTTGATCTCCTGACCTCAGGTGATCCTCCTGCCTCAGCCTCCCAGAGTGCTTAGGATTGCAGGTGTTAGCCACCATGCCTGGTCTGTTAATTTTAATGTAGACTAAGACTCATGCTTGAATCATATCACCCTCCAAAAACAGTATCCTTCAGTCTTACCCCTGTGCTGTCCATTCTTCACAAATAAATGAGAATAGCTAATGCTTTTTTCTCTTTCTAGGTCCATCGCCATCATCTTGGTTTATGCTGGCCAATTCCAGATACTTATATGAATTCAAAACCAGTTATTATCAACATGAACTTAAACAAATATGACTATGCCTTTGATACTAAGTGTTTGTTTAATCATTTTTTAAATTAAGATATCAGAATTGGTAGCTCAAAGATATAATATTTGATGTATAAATGGAAATGTAATTAAAATTCATTTTATTGTTATATTCTAATCTTGAATATTTGCTGTGTTTAAAAATATCTCAAGGTTTCTATTCATTGTGAAACATAGTAGTATGTCTCTACCATTTGAAGAAATGATTTCCAGTTTCAAAATACCTATTCAAAATTTTAATTTAGAATCAGCAAATAATTTTAACCTTTGGCCATAAAAATGTAGTTTGGCCAAACTTCTACAAAGGCTGGATTCTTTCCACAATAACGGGTAATTTAGAAGACAATTAAACCAACAATTTTTTATGATTTATCCAATATTAATAATTTAAATTCAATTTAATTTTGCTATACATTTAACAAAACTTGGCTAAACCACATAATCGATATATGTATACATCTATGGTGTGTATATATATGTCATAGTATTTGAGAATCTCTTAACACACCCCTAATAACAAAGTATATACACGTCACCACAATTATACAATGCTTAAAGCTGTTAATCTTACCTGATACTTCTTGATACTCATACTTATTCGTAAAGTCTTCAAAAATATACTTGTTAATAGTTAAAAATGTCAATTTTAATACTAAACAATCTCATTAAGCTAAAGGTACCATGGGTACAGAAGGAAATCTATAATTCAGAGATTACACTTCAATGAGATTTAGACTTATCAAGTTAATAAATAGACAAATAAAGCTACAGGTAAGGTGCCCTCTAATAAACTGGAAATTAAGGACTCTTCTTCTTCTCTTCGACTGTTCAGAAGCAGCAACTAGGGCACTAGTTATTCAACTCCAACTTGTTCTGAAAGTTTTTAACTTCTCTTCTAAATAATATTTTCTGTTCACTTCTTCCTTACTAATTATATCCTTCAAAGTCTTCAATTCTTCAAATGAAGATCGAAATTTGCAGTTCTTTTTTCAGCTTTTTTGTTCCTCCTAACTAGAAACAATTATCTTTAAAAGTGCATATAGGAAAGTTAATACGTGCTTTAGTGAATTAAAGAGATTTAACCTATAAATGTGAAAACCAAGTATCCTGAAATAGTCAATAGTTATAAGGCAAAGTATTTCTTAAGATTTTGTATATGAAGTTCCACTGTACAGTATAAATACTAAGTTTAGCTGTCGCTCAAATTATCTATTCTTTGACTTAAAACTTATCAACTCTTAGTTTACGGTGGGATTATCTTTAAAATCTAAAAGCACATAGGTAATCATAATAAAGCAGTCAAGATTTTGCCTGTTTCACACATTGAAGTTATTCTGGTTTTAGATTTTTTGATTTACACTTCATTTATATTTTCTTTCTAAATATCTAAGTTTTAATGAATGATGACTAACTTTTTATAAATATATTTATAATCAGGGAAACCTTGAGATTTCTGCCTGGCTAAGTCAGGCATCTAGTGAAGGGAGAGAATTTGAGCTCCAGTGACTATTTGGAATAGCCGGTGATCATTAGCTAATTTTCATATCCAGGCCCTTTTGTTGTTTACAGTCTTAAGAGGTAAAGTATGGCAAATATTTTTTTAAGAGCACTATAACCTTAACAGAAAATTCCTGAAAAGAATTTCAAAATGAACTAAAAACACTATTCTCAACATGACCCAAAACTTAAATTAAGAAAGTATGAAAATAATGAGCTATATTTGTTACAATTAAAAAATAAATTTACTCTTTAATTCTTTCTGTTTATTTTTTGTTAGTTCTTATTTAATACTGATTGTAATATCAAGGTCAAATATGAATATAAGATGTAATTACAGGAATGTTTAGGATACATACTTAAAACTCAAAGATGGTGGTCATAAAAATAGTTTTCAACAGCTGTTTCCACAAAACAAAATTAAAATTAGATGTAATTAAATATTTAATTACCTTCAAATGCTGCTTTTCTAGATCTGATGTTTTGAGCTGTGTCTCTAGATCTTTTACTTTTTCCTTTAGTTGATCAGCATCTGCTGAAAAAGTTACAAAAATTAGACTCTGGTTTTACCCACTCTGAATAAATTTAAGATAAAGGATTTGTTATGGAGAATAAGCAGAAAACTTATGAAACCCACAGCCTGGAAGATACGGCATTTTATGGCTGAAGGACTTTTCAGTATGTGAATACTATATGCTGCCTCTATTAAGTACTGTAATTCCATGGCAAGCAAAAAGAGGCATGTGATAGGTATTATAAGTATAGAATCATGGTTTTTTTAATATGGAAAAATTCTTACATACATATAATACTATGTGTAGCATCTTCCAAAAGTTATCTTAATGACCACTTTTATTTAGTTAATGATTTTGAATTTCCAAAACAGTTCCGGTTTGATATTAAACCTTTACAGTCTTTGAAACATGACAGGTATCTTTCTTTATCGCCTTCACATGGGAGATAAGTAAGGAATATGATGGCTCAGAAATTCCTGGAGGAAACTGAGGTTTAGAAAGACTTGTGTAATGTTAACAGCATTAATAGGACTTTGGTACCGTGTCTAGTCTGGTATACACTAAGCTGGCTGCTCTGCTGACAGATATATGTATATGTTTTAAGTTATCAAGAGGCAACATAGCACAGTGGTTAAGGGCTGGAATGGTAAGCAGCTTTTTACTTTCATAGATTTAGGTTTATTTTTTCTTTTTTTGAGACAGTCTCGCTCTGTCACATGGGCTAGAGTACAATGGCATTAACCTAGCTCACAGCAACCTCCAACTGCTGGGCTCAAGCAGTCCTCCTGCCTCAGTCTCCTGAGTAGCTGGGACTACAGGCACATGCCACTACACCTGGATAATTTTTCTATTTTTAGCAGAGATAGGGTCTCACTCTTGCTCAGGCTGGTCTTAAGCTCCTGAACTCAAGTGATCCTTCTGCCTCGGCCTCCCAGAGTGCTAGGATTATAGGCATGAGCCACCATGCTCAGCTTAAATTTAGGTTTTAATCTCCCTCTGCTACTTCTTAGCTTTTGTGACCATGGGGGACAGGTTACTTAACCTCTTTGAACCTGTTTATCACATGTAAAATGGAGACAACAGTAGTCATCATCTAGGGTTATATGAATAAAATAGAATGCTTGTAAAGCACTTAGCATAGTGTCTAGTACAACTCATACACAATGACTTTAATACAAAGTAGCAACAAGACTACATAGTTGGATATTGAAAAAGCTATATGAAATACTCAGATTGTTCAGATATAAATTGATAAAATCCTTTGGAGCAAAATTTGGTGTTTTCAGTAAACTGTTAAATAATGGTATGATTAAGAGATTCATCATAGTATTATTTTATATTAAAAGAAATTTGAAAGCAAATGTCCATCAAAAGCTGAATGTTTCAATGTATCCATACAATAATATACTATACAATTATTAAGAGAATGAGACAGATTTATAAACAGACCTCAAAAGATGTCCATGATAAACTGTTAAAGGCAAATAAACTAGAAATATGTATAGTATAAATCCAATTTTATATCACTGCACAAGAAAATATATATCTGTATATATAACCAATATAAAGTCTATTCTCTGTTCACAGTAGTTCTATAAACTCAGCACAAATACTTTTAATTAGTGAATATCAAACTACTGTTCCTAGGGGAAATATATACAAACATATACCTACATACATATATGTACACATCTTACATAGATTATTATCTTAAAAATCCTAGAAATTACTCATCCTGGTCGATTCTATTTTCTTTATTTTACAAAAGAGAAAACAAGGTCCAGAAGTGTTAAGTTATTCCCTGAAGACTCCCACTAGTAAGTATCAGAATTGAGCTTATTAAACTATGCTGTGCTGCCCCCTACTGTGTCCATCCTCTAGTCATCTCCATATGAAAACAAGAAAGCTGAGCATTGCCTTGTTGGATCTTGCTGGGAACATGTAGGTTGGATTATTCAAATGCTCTACTGCTCTGCAAATGTCCACAAACTGCCACAAGTGTTGATTTTTGGATTAAAAATACATTTTAGTGAGTAAGCAAATTCACAGATAAAGAATCCACTAATAATGAGGACGAACTGTTCACTGTATGTACATATATGAATATACGTGTATATGTGTGTGTGTGTACACACAGGAATGAATAGGAATGAATAGTAATTCTCTGGAATGAGAATAGAAAAGGGTAGATAGACATTCTTTTTACTTTCTAAAAGGAAAAAAATATAGGCAGTGTTTACTTATTTGTAGTTCTTAAATTAATAATAACAATAACAAGAAAAAAATGTTCAGAGGAACTGAAAAGGTCTATAATTAGGAACTGGAAACAACAGACCTAGTATTCATTGCATAGCCTTGTATTGTGATTAAATTTCTAACACCTAGATAGAACACAAGGAGAAAAATACTTAGGTACTTACTACTATAGTAGAGACAACTCAAGGATGAATGGGAATATTTTTATAGCATGGACAGACAACAGCTCTAAAACTTCATATCAAGGATTTGCTTTTGTAGAGAAATGATGATAAAGAATCTGAACCACAAAAAGGCAAACCTGAGTTCAAAAACTTGGGATAGTTTTCTAATATACATTACCAGGCTTGATGCTTTCGGGTCCACTTTGGTCCTTGTTAACTTCAATCTGATGGATTAATTCTGCTTTTTCTTTAACCAGCTGACTATTAGCTAATCTAGATCACAATGATAATGTGTTAAAACAAAAATAATAAGCCAATAGACATTGTTCTACAAAATATGTGGGCATTTCTTATTAACTAGTTAGTGTACAGTAATCAGGATGTATCAAGATAAACATTTATTCTCGATGCTGCAATGCCACCATTCTCAAAGTATGGAATCAAAGTGTTCAAGTTTTTAATATCTGACCTGATGCCATTTTCCAGAGTAGTTTTGTTACAAAAGGAGCCTAATGAAAGTAGACTACAGAGACCCCTGGAAGTAAAAACTTACTTGTTCTTTTTATTTATTAGTATTTATCTCTAGGAAGTTCAGGTTTAATTCATTCTATGCTGTTAGACAAGTTGAAACTACATTACAAACTTGAAACTGAAATTAGGATTGGGTTTACTCTTTTTTTCCAGTATGTATTATGTAAAAGTTAGTGATTAGCATTAGAGGGATGAAATAAGGACCTGATGAACCTATTGGGCAGTGAGGTTGAAAAAGCCTAGCTCTAGCAAACCTGGTTATATAAAAAATAATTTTTAAAAAGAAAGAAAAAGAAACAAAACAGTCATATGAACACATGATGTACCTGAGAACTTGAAGCTCCCGTTTAAGGCCTTGCTCTGTCTCGGTACCTTCAGGAATGTGTTTGAGAAACTCAATCTTTGGGTATAAAGAAAAGTTAGAAGATAAAGTTTGACATGGAAATATGAGGTTTTATAAAGATACACATTTTTAATGAAGCATAATATTCAAAGTTGGGTTTTCAAAAGCATACATAAGCATATTTCTATGTTCAATTCACCATTCACTCAACAATTAAGTACTGAGTAACTACTGCATGGCAGGCATTGTCCTAGGCAGAAGATACAGCAGTGAATAAAATAGGCAAAGACCCTGCCTTCATGGTTCCTACATTTTTATTAATAGTGGGAGAAGACAAAAAAAATGAGTTTGCAATATGATGTGATGATGGAAGTAATAAAAGTGCCAGATGGTAGGAAGAGCTATCGAAAAAAATAATCCAGGGTAAAAAATAATCCAGGATGATAGAGAATGATGGAAAGTGGTATAGGGTTAGGGCTAGGTAAAGTCTCTCTGTGAAGCCTCCATTTAAGCAGAGACATGAATGTGGGAGTGAGCGATGGGAATATTTGGGTGAATAGTATTCTAAACAAAGAAAAAAAATTCAAGGACTTGAAACTTTAATGAGTTCGGTTTGTTCAAAGGACTGAAAGTTAATATGGCTAAAACACTGAATGAAGGGCAAAGTAGTAGAAGATGAGACTGGAGAGAAAACTAGGAGCCAGACCATGTACATAATTATAGGCTATGAAAATTTAAGTTTTATTTTAGGGGATGGAGAACCACTGGAAGATTGTGAGTTGAGGATGGTACTGCTATGATTTCCTTGTTGCTTGCAAAGGATTATCTGGAAACTCTGTATAGGACTGGTCAGAGATAAAGAGAAGGTGAAATGATGCAAGAGTGGAAGCTGAGAGACCAGTTAGGAAATTACTGCAATCATTCAGGTATGAGATATTAATAATAGCTTGGACAAAATTGATAGACACTGAGAAGTGATCAGATTTAGGATACAGGTTGAAAATAAAGCTGATATGAATTAATGATGAAAAAGATGTGGGAAAGGAGAAAAAGAATAAAGTGAATGATGATCCAAAGTTTTTGGCTTAAACAAATAGGCCAAATGGTGATGCTGTTCACTTAGATGGGCCTCTAGGAAAGGAATTAATCAAGAGTCTTTTTATCTACATAAGACAATGCAGGGAGCATCTTGTGATATAATGCATTATTTTATCATGTAAAGAAAAATTACATTACATGCCTGTTGTTCAAGGTCTTCAGTGTATTTCTTAACTTTCTGTTCTCTCTCTGTTGCTTCTCTTACAAGTTGTTTAAGGTCAGTGATGCTTTGATTTTTTTTGGCAATATCAGTTTCTAATTCTTTCAACTTGGTTTCATACACTCTAAAAGTATAAAAAAAATAGTACAGACATGGCAAATGATTTCTTTTACTGATTTAAAAGTTAAAATTATTGCACTAAAAATATCTTATTTTACTGTTTCTTCTAGTCAAATGCTATATATTTATTTAGCATTAAAAGGTGATGGCAAGAAGCTGGGCACAGTGGCACATGTCTGTAGTCCCAGCTACTCAGGAGCTGAAGCAGAAGGATCTCTTGACCCTAAGAGATCAAGTCAAACCTGGACAACATAGCAAGGCCCTGTCTTGTAAAAAAAAAAAAAAAAAAAAAAAAAAGGAAAGGGAAAAAATTGTACAAAAGCATAGGTGAGAGAAATTTTGTGTAAATAGGCCCATCATACCTAAAAGAAAATAATGCATACAATATTAAAACTTTTCCAGACAAAAAAATAGAAGGAACACCTTCTAGCTTAAGTTAAAAAGGTTAGTATAGCTTTGGCAACAAAATGTGAAAGGAAAATTATGATTGTCTAAATACTTCAAACATCTTTTGATAGATCTTAGAAACTTAGATTAGAAGGAAATATTTTTAATGTGACCAAGACTATCTACCAAAAGTTAATGTTGAAATATCAGAAGCTTGCTTCCTTACTTTATCTAATTCTCTGTTCAAAAGCCACCCAAGAAGAAAGGCCTTCTTTGATTACCCTATCTAAAATAGCCCCTACATCACCCTTGCCTGTCCCAGGAGTCAGCATTAGACCTGACACAGAATATGTGTAAATAAGTTTGTGGAGTAAGTAATACAGTAACTACAAGGATTTCAGCATGAGCAAGACCTGTGTCATGGGTCCCAAGAGAGTTATCTCTAAATTGCTTTACTGAGCTGGATGTACAATCCCAGCTCTAAAATTTAGCAATCTTTTTTTTTTTGATGGATTTTAGGAACCTGGGGGTCAAGGATCAGAATGAGCCTTCTCTCTGACAAGAGGTTTCTACTTACACTTACATCTTCAAAATGGTTTACTGAAGGTTTGCTCTATGCTCATATAGTTCTCAGATTAAAAACACATAAATGATCTAAAATACAAAGTCATCTCCAGTCATGGTTGAATATCATCCCCTACTAACCATTTATAAATCTTATAAACCCTCTTAAAACTAACAATCTCTTTTGAGCCTCATAGAGCCCTTTTAGAAAAGGAAGGTCAAGGATCATAATCTCCTCAGATTAAAAAGAATAATAATAATAAAAACTTGAGCCCACAGAAGGCATATAATTTACTTAAGGTCACAGTAAGAATTAGGGCTTTCTAAACCATGGAAGCTACCTGATTCTCTAAAGTAACCTAGGCAAGGTGGGCCTTTTAGAAATAACATACAACATGAAGCACAGAGTCTGGCAGTAGCAGACGCTAAGTAAATGTCTCCTGAATAAACAGATCTCAAAATAACTCAGAATTCTTTCTGAGTCCATGTGATTGTAGAAGGAAATAAAGAATGACCAAGAAATCCACTGATAGGGTTGCTGAGTGAGCACCACTGCTGGGGTCCGGGAAGACAAAAGAAGAGACCCTCCTTCCCCTCCGCCCATACTATCACACTTGTTATTTGACTTAACTCTGATGCTAGCTTTCTGATAAAATAATTGTTCCTGGTTTGTAGATGAGAAAAGTGAGAGCTGGAGAAGAGAAGAGTGGATTTTGACTACTCTGGTATTAGGACAGGAACCAAGGACACCTTTTCCAGAAGTACATGGCCATATGGGCTGCCCTCTAATGTGTCTACTAACTTCTTTTCTCCTTCGATTTGGCTGACAGGAGTAAGTGCAGTGTGGCACTGCACAACAAGATTACAACAAGCCCAGTATGGGACTGTTGTAATCTCACAGTGCTGATACACCCATCCTAGTGGTAGTGTTGGTGGTTGTTATCTCACCTCTCCCATAAAGGCAATTCCAAATAGCAGATGGGGCAAATGAAGCCCTCAAAGACTTCAAAGAGGAAATTGGTGAGTTGGTGATGCATGGATATAAGGAACTTTACAACGGTAGTAAGATAAAGATGAGTTTGCCTTTTGAAATGGGAACCACAGGTGTACTGGATAGTAAACAACTTCATCCAGGATGGTTTTAATGGGAAAGGACATGGGCAGGATCCCACTGGGCACTGGCTTCCAGAGTCCTTGAAGTACCTACTTAATATTGGGAATGAGAATGGCACCAGAGCCTTTTACCGACTCATTATAGTCATGATGAATCACCTGTGGTGACTGTGGCAATGGACACATGAATGTTTACACATAAACTACCACCACCTCTTTCATAGCCACAGATACTTGTACAAAAGGTTCATGGGGTGGGAGAAAAATCAAGTACCAGAAAGTAGAGGCCAGTAAGACACTAAAGCTGCTGCTGAATTCATCTATTGGGGCTATCTTAAAAGAAAGTTGCCCAGGATATACTTCCAAAAGCATTGCAGCATGACCCAGATCTAGTCTGCCATGATTCATGACAAGATAGCTCCATTATTCCTGGCTCATACTTGAGGTAGAAAATTGATACAAAGAAGCTGACACTGCAGTTGAATAAAAGCAGCACCCAGGAGAAACTAGGCAGCATCAGGCGAGGCTCAAAGCTGAAGGCAGTGGCATGATGCATAGGTAGCTCCAACAACTTAGCCCAGGCCCAATTCTGCTCCGTTCCATGCCCTGCTACCCAAACAAAAACATTTTAAGAAGAAGATTTGCAATGCTAGAACAGAAAAAAAGTATTATGGTAAAACAAATATAACCAAAGTGTTCATGAGGAAAAAACTAGGTTATTCAGAATAGTGTCATCTTTTAAAACAATAATACCAGAATTAGAACTGATTAAACTTTGTACAAGTTTTAAACTATTTGTTCCTACCTTGTAACAACGATTGATTTCCAGCTTTTGCTGTCAGCACCTTCAAGCTGTGGACCTCTACTTTCTGCAAACTGTAATCTCTTGCCAGTTTCTTCCAGTTGAACTGTCATCTTCTCATTTAATATCTCTAAATTATTCTTGGCTATCCGCAATTTCTCTGCAGCTTCAATTTCCTATCATTAAAAACTAATTAGTATATTATGACAAAATATAATATTGTTCTCACAGATGCAAAGTATTCGAAATTGTCATTACAAATTAGAAAACAAAAAGTTATCTGGAGTTCTAAATGGTGATCAAAATTTCAATAAATTCAAAGTGTCCCTTCCTTTAAAACAGCAATATGATCATATTTATTAGAACAACAGTAAATGAGGTCAAAAAAATATATTTACAAGCCTTTTACTCTAGTGATTACTTTAAATTTGTCATTTTGTTCTTATGCAATATTTTTTGAATAATGGGGTAAACTATATCTTTACACTTTAAAAGATGTTTTGTTCTGACTTCCTAATTTGAAACCTAGCTAAAAGCCTAAATTATGTGTAAGTAACAGATTATTTCTACTATTAAAGACCCATATTCAAAGCACAGTATTGCTCTGGCCGCAAGATACATGCAGATACTATCCTAACTAGTTTAAAATATTAATTTAAATTTATTTACTGGATCATCGATATAAATAACAACACCCATTTGTAGCAAGGAATATATTTTGCTATTTAAATATAAAGAAACTGTACTAAGACAATTTCATAGGCTCCTCACTATGTATTAGGCATTGTTCTAAGTCATGTGCACAAACATGAACTCAAACCTTACAGCAGCTCTGTGAGATATGCATACTTTACTTATTATTTCTAATGTTATGGATGAGGAAATTAAGGGATAGAGAGGGGTAAAGTTGCTCTCCCTAGCTCTCAAGGCTAATAAATTATAGAACTAGGAACTGAATCCAGGCTGAGTGGCTTATACATTATAGTGCCTCTAACTATATTAATTCTTTTACTATCACTGCCCATCTTGGTGAAAGACTGTGATAACAGTAGGCATAAAAACACAATTCATAAATCTCTTAATGTATATTTTGAACAGATACTCTCATCAAGGATATACTTTCAGTTTTTCTAAGAGGTATTACTTAATTAAAATAAAAATAAATAATTACAATCTCAGTCATAAAAGTCATACTTTTTTAAGTTCTTTACGAAGCCTTTCATTTTCAGCAACAACTTTCTCTGTGCCTTTGGTCTTGGACTCATAGCTCATACTCAACTGACGTCCCAAATGAACTTTAAGTTTTTCTAATTCAGCCTAGTAATAAAAAACAAAAAACAAAAAAACTATACATTATCCAAACAAAGAAATAAAATAAAATATTATCATCTAAACTCATAAAACTTACTTCAAAGTAGTATTAGAGACTATATTTGAAATGATTAAAATTAAAGTCTGCTCTTGAACATTGGTTATCTAGAACAGAAATTCTCAACTTTGGCTACACATCAGAATGAGTTGTTGACTTAAGAAAACAATAAAAAACCCCAACAAAACACCTAAGTTAGGTCTCACTCTGAAATAATAAAATCAATTTCAGGGATCAGGGTTTGGATATCTATATTTCTAAAAACAGACACGGGTAATTAATCTATACTTATTATTTTAAGGAAGATTAAATAGAGCTACTCTATAAACCTTTAGCATTAGCTATTACAAGTTTTTGTTTATATGTATAAAATATGTACTGCATATGTTAAAGCCATTTTATGTACTATATTTAAAATTTTCCTCAAAATTAATAAAAGTAAAAACTAAAATACTCTCATAAAAATGATCACATTAAAAATATTACCTTCAACTTTTCATTTTCCAGCTCAATATTAGCCATTTTTTCACTGGTCAGTATTCCTGATGCTTTTTTCAACTGTTCATTTTCTCTTTGGACTTTTTCAACTACTTTTTTCATTAAGCCAATAGTTTTTTCTAGTTCTGGGATTGTCTTTCCACTTCTACCAGACTACAAAAGAATATGTTAATTTTTTAATTCAATCAATTATTTTAGAGAATATAACATAAAGTACCAACAATAAGACAAGCTCATTATACTCATTATTAAAATTCCCAATATTTGATGCCAAAGGTGAGTTAATTCAATTCATCCTTAAAAGAACCCTATCATATAGGAACTTTTACTTTACATAGAAGAAAACCAAGACTTAGAAAATGTGATATTCCTAAAATCATGGAGCTAATAATAATAGCTTAGTCTAGCCTTAATGTCTGATAAAAATGAATAAATCTAAATATTCTATTTAGCTAATGTTCTCTCCAGTATACCAAAGTTTTCTTTATATGGAATAAGTCTACACCTCAGAGTGATACTGAAGAATGAGAGTGTCTATAACTATATACTAAGGGATAATTTAGTAACTTTTTTCTTTACTATCTTAACCATTTTTAAGTGTGCAATTCAGTGGCATTCGCGATATTGTATAACCATCACCAGTATCTGTTTCCAGAAGTTTTCACTATCCCAAACAGAAACTTTATACCCTTTAAACAATATCGTCCCTTCTTTCCACCCTCCTGCCCCTAGTAACCACCATTCAACTTTTCGTCTTTATGAATCTGTCTATTCCATATGTGGAATCATACAATATTAGTATTTATGCATTTATATCCAGCTTATTTCACTTAGCATGTTTTCAAGGCTCATTTATGTTGTAGCATGTACCAGAATGTCATTCCTTTTTAGGACTAAATAATAAAAAATAAATACAATAAAATAAAACCGCAAAAGAGAAATTGTGTCTTTAAAGAGCTTACGAGTAATCAAAAAGAAAATTTTTTTTTTGAGATAGTCTCTCTCTGTTGCCCAGGCTAGAGTGCCTTGGGTGTCCTATGCTCACAGCAACCTCAAATTCCTTGGCCCAAGCGATCCTCCTGCCTCCGCCTCCCAAGTAGCTGGGACTAAAGGCATCACATGCCTGGCCACAAGTAATCAAATTTTAATTACAGTATAATAAAGGCAATTTTCTCTAAGAATAGCTGTTGCTTAGAAATTCAGTTTCTGTCTAAAGTAAACAGAAGAGACATCTGAAATGAAAAATCTTGCATAAAGATTATCAACAGAGATGGGCCACCAGTTAATTAAACTGCTTATTATTTAAAATAAAAAGTTTTTAACAATTGTGTAAAATGGTATGCCTAATTTTTAAAATTTTAGTTAGTATTCATACTTTGCAATGAAAAACCCTGAAATACAAACTTTTATAACACTTTAGGAGATGGGGTATATTTTCATAATTAACTTAGATAGAAAAGGTCAAATCAACACATATATTTTCACTTATGAAACAAATGCTGTCAGCAAGATATTTTTTCTATATACTTTCCTGATAACACTCTTAATGTTTTCACTGAATCTATCATATATTTAATATTATGATTTGAATGAATTTTTACGTTATGATTGTTTCCATTTGTACCACTGACCAACATGAAATCAACAGGAGCTTAAATCTTTGGCCTTGGCCTCATAAGTAGTATTTATTCATTATACAAAGAAAATACACAATAACATGGGAAGAAAAATACCAGAATACAAAAGAAAATGGACAAACATTTATAAAGCATTATACCAAGAAGTTGCCATGGATATCTTAAAAAATAGTTGTGAAATGGTAGAATTGGACCACGGAACAGTTAGCAGTTACCTCAATGAACAGAAGGACTCCTGGAAGTTAAAGGTTTACAAGGTGCAGAGGGATATGCAATGAAAAGAGAGATGATGTGTAGTCCAAGTAAAATAAAAAGCATGTCAGGCATAAAGATGATAAAATACATTAACTTGAGACACAGAGAAAAGTTTAATGATGTTTTACATTATGGATGGAGCAGAATAAAATCTGTAACTAGAAGGCACTTAGTAAAGGCATATTACTACTGTCATGGTATATCTCAACTTTTCATTTCTGGCTCATTGCTTCTGAAACCAAAACAAATGTACAGCATATTCTCACATACTTACCCCTCTAACATGACCAAGTTTCCGCTCAACTTCTGCTTTTTCTTTTTTAAGGAATTCACACATTTCCTTCAAATCGCTTACTTGATTCTAAAAGATAAAAAAAGCAAAGGTAACAATTTAACATAACTATACCTATTGAAAAGGAAAGGCAAACAATCCATCTGAACTATCATTCTCTTCAACTGTACAGCCAAACTAAAAAACTAGGTCTCCAGGTCAACAAGGAAGATTTTGAACTAAGACATATATTAAATTAATACAAGAATATTTTCTAAATGAAATGTCAAGAAATACTTTCTACATGATTGCCTTAGTATACAATATAAATTTAGAACTCTGCTTTTAACTGTTCCCTAAATTATACATGTAGATCCTTATCCATGCAGTAGAGAGAAAAAGACAACTGAACCTTTAACACTCATTCTATCAATGTAAAAGTCAGAAAGAGAAGCAGGAAATAATTTAATTATATCACACCAGTGGAATTAATAGACTGCTAATATCCCATAATAGAAAATAAAACTGAAACAATTAGTTAACCAAGAGAACAAAAGATTCCCTTAAGTAAGATTTGGAAAACCAATGCTAAAAAAATATCAAAATAAGGAAAGTAAAAATTCTAAAATAAAAAATTATCCTAATATTTTTAAAGTGTGACAACTGTTAATGAAATATACCAAGTATCCTCCCACCTCAGGGCATTTTAACTTGGTATTTCTCTTGTCTAGGATTTCTTCTAGTATCTGTATGACCAAGTTCCTTACCTTTCCCCTAGCTCTCTGTTCATCTATCATCTTATTAAGGAAGCCCTCCCTTACTATCCCCTTTTAAATCATACCCCTCCTCCCTCCAGACCCTTCATATCAATCGTGCTTTCTCTCCTTATCATTAACATCAGCTGACATACTATATATCTGACTTGTTTACTTGTTTATTATCAGTCTTCTCCACTAGAACATAAGTTCTATGAGCGGAAGGATTCTTTTTGACTGCTGATTCTCAGCACCTAGAAGAGTATTTGATACAAAGTAGACCCACAACAAATAAAAAATGAGCAAATATACAAAGTATAATACCACCATGATATTTTATGAATATGCATTTTTTATTTCTTTTCTTCATAAGGTAATATAAGTAAACATAAAACTAAGGCAGGGGGGAGAAATTCCAGGCTTCGATTTCCTAACTATATAAACATTTAAGTTTACCTTTAATCTTGGCAAATCTTTATGTGCTTGTTCAAGCTGAAATTTCAGTTCAATATTTTCAGATGATAACTTCAAGTTTTCCCTCTGAAGCTCCTGTTCTCTTTTACAATGATCATCTGACTCTATTCCTGAAGTCTTTAGGAAAATGAAATTAGGAATGTTTTTAAAGTTTAATAAATAAGAAAACGCAAAAGACATACTGGATAAGAAAACACTATGTCAAAAGGGAACTTTTCTCTCAAAAGAATGTGAGAAAATTGTAGAGCTCTAGAGAAAGCCAAAAATAAAAATTAGAATATAAAACTTGCATAAGACAAGGTAATGTCATTTATTTTGATTAAAATAGAAAGCAAAATCAAGCATGGCTAAATAGGCTTAATATATAATCTCATAATGGTTAAACTAATTTATGGTGGTTCTGCTAGTCCAAAATAAAGTATGATTGTTACCTGTTATGGGTTGAATTGTGTTCCCCCCCACCACTGAATTCATCTGTTAAAGTTGTAACTCCCAGTACCTCAGAATGTGAGGTAAACTGTAATTAGACCTGGATTTAAATGCTAGTTCTGTAGCTTCATGATCACTAGAGATGCACTTATTCTCCAAGCCTCCTATGTAAATTAGGATAATATTCTGCAAAGTATTGTCAGAAATATACATGGATACAGAGCCCAACACAGCATAGATAGATAGCGATATGTAACCTCCCTTTTCTCATTATAAAAATAGCTATCTGTTATAAAACATGGCAAAAAGACCACTAAAAGAACTTGCTACACATCTTAGGATGTCACACAACATCGTAACAAAAATGTCACTGGTATTATTCACTGTAGTGAGCCTTTACTTGTAAATACAGCAGGCTAAATTAGAAATTTCTAAGGCAAAACAAACACCTCTAAAGTGTCTTATTTTCGCTATTAATTTATCTAATATAATACTCTTTAAGTGAACACAAATGATAAAAAAGAGTGCTAAACTAAACTAGGAAATGCGTAACCACTAATTTTTGTAGGAACTAGTCAAAAATTTTTAAATTTAAATTTTATTAACTAATAATTAATAGTTAATAATTTTTACGAATCTTATGCACTTTTCCCCCCATTTGAACTATATATGTATGCATACTACTTGCTATAAGAAAATCAGTTAACAAAGAAATAAAGGACTGCCATGTATTCAAACCAGGGACATTTCATTTCTTGGCTGGACTATTATGCCTGTATATCATGCCTAGGACACTGATTCACTGCATCAGCAACTGTGGCATAATCATGGTCCTACACAACATATTCTTCTGAATCCATATTCTTCTGACTCACATCTTCAGCTGTGTGTCCCTTTCTGTTTTCATTCTTGCCTATCTTATTCTCTTCCTCGTTTTTATGTTCATCTTTATAATTTTCACAATATTCTTGATTAATTTTCAACTTTACAATCTGGTTCATTTTTAAAAATAGAGTTAAAATCTGCCAAGGTACTATTAGTTAACCTAAACGGACTTGATTTATTGTTTAGTCTTCTCCTCAGATATAATTAACTCAGAAGGATCTACAACCTCTTCTGCTTTGTGTTTTTCTTCATTACTATGATGCCATAAAATATTTCTAGGTACCCAATGATATAAGTTGTTACTAGCATCTATCCCCTTCCCATTTTTAATTCTGAGCATTGTTATACATTTTTTTGTTGTTGTTCCTGAATGAAGTGTTCTTTTTTGTGAAAAATATTATGCCTATATTTATTAATACTGGTAATAAGAGTAGAAAGCATAGTTGTGTCACATACTTGATTCTCCTTGAAGAAGAAAAAGAAGAAACATAAAAAGAAAAATAATAACAAAATATTAATACATATACTATTTAAAATAATATCTAACAAATAATTCTACATTAATGATTAATTTTCATAAACTAGAAATATGTCATACATATTTGAATAGAAATAGTGCATATTTTTCTATTTTATGTATGCTCATGCCATAGCAAATTTTATAACTACACTTAAAATTTCTGAAATCATTTGTAAAAGTTTTATTTAAAGCTTAAAAATCTTAAATTTACTGCTATATTATAAGTATTATACATCACTATCTAGTAAAAATAAAAGTTGAATTTATTATATTAGTATTAATGAGAGGGATCTAATGTTTATGGCCAGATAAAGAAGCTGATTTCACTTTTATATATTTAAAAATAGAAAAAAGAAAAGAAAATATGTACACTTACTGAAGGCCTAGAATACGTATCCTTTGAAGACTGTTTTTCTAAAGCATGAAGTTTTTCTTGGAGGTATCTATTTTGTAAACGCAAATCTTCTATAACAGAATCTCGAGGAAGAGCTTGTTGGGTCCTATGAATTACAACCACAGACTCTTTACTATGCAAGCTTCAATTTTTCCCTATTTTACTATATTAAAAGAAAGAAAAATTCAATGTATTTAACACTGTGTTAATTTTAAATTCTTCAAAACTGCTAAACTTTATAAAACATAAATTAGAACATCATGATTTATATCATAAAATAATCCCATACAGAGGATTCACTGAAGGGTTCCTTTTACTTTGAGTTAAAAAGTGTATTTTGATTTATTGAAATACATTAACATTTTAAAAGAACATGCTTCTATTTATGTAGAATTATGTAAGATAGTTAAACTAAAATATTCACTATTATAAAAACATTATATAATAATTGCATAATATACATGTCTTTCTCAAGAAGCTCAAGGATCTAAAAAAGCTCTTAATGGTTCCAGATAATAATCTATCACTTTAAGCCTAAACTCATCTGCCTGGCCTATAAGACCCTTCACAGTCTGGCATAGCCACGTCTATCCAACCTTATTGTCCAGGAGACTACCTTTACTTAAGCAAATAAATCCACTCTTATTCACGCAGGAAGCATTTACTCTTGCCTCTATGTCTCTGCTAGGGTTCTCTTTTTTGATATGTCCTTCCTCTATTTAATATCTGAATCTGATTCAAAAAATTCAGAAATTCAAACTTCTTGACTTCAAAAAGACAACAAATTCAATCTCTTCTATAAAGTCTTCTCCATTATTAACACATTATTAGAGGAAAAAAAGAGCCTCTAAAAGTATTAGGTTTCAACTAAAATGATTTGATCCTTGTGAAAACTGCAAAGGAGAATAAAAGGGTTTTGTTTGCAACATATGTTTATACCAAGAAAAACAAGGAAGGGAAAGATTCACTGTTAGGACCAGACACTAACTGTATCTTAAAAGAAAGAAAAATTCCTCAATCATTTTTTCCTTCCCTATCAAGGAAAATTCTAAAGAATTTAACAAACAAAAATTTAAAAGGAAAGGGGATAGAATGCAGCTTAGAAGTTCCTGAGAGTATTCCTTAAAGAAGTTCAAATTCATATGACTACATCACATTCATAATGACACAACAGTAGACATTAATAAAGAAGCACTAATGGTAATTTTTGAAGATTAATAGAAAGAAAAAAGAATTATAAATTTATGAAGGGTAAATATCCTTATATCCAAATATTATAGGTAGGTACCAGCCCTTGACAATGATCATTAACATGATTACAGATTGTTTGTAAGCACTTAGAAGAAACAACAAATTATATAAACTAACCTAAGCTTGTCTTAGAAGGAGTGAAACAGAAAATTAAATGATTTTATTATTTGTTGTTAGGATATGATTTTATTTTGCTTCTCATAACCACGACTATATCAGAAGATACAATTTAGAAAGGGACAGGAAAAAAAAAACAAACCAACAAATCTCAAAGGCTCTGATAAGAAATGACATGGGCTGGGGAGTAGGAGGTGGGTGGGTGCTGATTCCAGGCACAAAGAAGTAAACATAGTCAATCTTGTTTCTACCAACTGCATGGAGCAGCTATTTCAGGACTCAGGAAAGTAAACAGTAGAAACAGATTGGGATGGAATACCAGAATTTGAAGTATCAGCAAACAGGTGATGATTTTACCTTTTCTTTTCTTTTCCTTTGTTACTACCTGGCCAGAGCACCACATTATTTGAAACTTGAAGGTGGGTGTCTGCAATGATAGCAAGCACTCCAGAAAAACCTTATAGTTCTAGCTCAAGTAAGAAGAAAGAAATCTTCTAATATTTACAGAGAATATGAAAATAACTCATTTTTTCTCCTCTAACTATTCTTTCACACCCAAACCTTAAGCAATCTCACAGAGGTGGTAACAGAGGCTTTAATGGGAGCCCATATAAGACCTAGTATTTTTAGGGAAGGGAATCTCCTCTAATTAGCAGCACTGTTTTACTAAGGGGGTAGGGTAAAAGTAGTTTTGTTTCCCTTCTTTCTGCCCTCCTGTTGCTTGCTTGGCTGCAGAACCCTGAAACTGCTAACGTACTCAGCATAACTCAGTAATTAAAGCCTCAGATTTGTGTCCGAAGTACCAAAATGAGAAGCCTTACGGCAGGGGTGGGGAACCTGCGGCCTTAAGGCCACAGTGGCCTTTTGACTGAATCCAAATATTACAGAACAAATCCCTTTTATTTTTATTAATACATTTTTGTTCATATTTTATATTTTTATTTTTAAAATGAACATATTTAAAATATCAAAGAATAAAGAAAGTTTCAAAGAAATAATCCTTTCAGATTGCCCAGCACAACTAGAACATTAGTAAGCTGTAAGGGCTAAATTGAAAGCTGCCATGCTCATGATTTAGTTCTAACTTCCCTCACCTGACTGGAGCCACTACTGTACAGGGATGGTTGGTGAGAGTTTATAGGGGTCGAATATGCCAGTCTGTTACCAGCTTTTGACAGTGGTGCACTATGTTTACGTTTGAAGTGGAATTTGTGAATAGGTGCACAGCTCAACAGTATTTTCTAATTCTAACAGCCCGTCATGTCAAAGAAGACCAAGAGAATGTTGAAGTAAACAAATTTTTTAATGAGGATTGGGAATTGCAATATTATCTTGTTTCTGCTAAACATTAGAAGATTTGCTTGCTTTCTGATACTGCAATATCAACATTAAAGAAATTCAATGCTCATCAGCATTATAACACTCATAAGGACCACAAATATTTTAAATCAGAGGGAGAGGCGTGAAAGGTTGTTTGGAGAAATTAAAAGATGAAAAACAAAAGCAAGGACAATTCTTTCAAGCAGCAATAAGACCTGGAAATAATGCCACTGAAGCAACTTATAAAGTAGCCTATATACTTGGAAAAAAAGGGAAGGCATTTAGTAATGTAGAAATTGTGAAAGAATGCAGCATTGTTTAAGGTGCTTACACCCCAATGACATTTCAAAGTACAAACAACTGTCTCTTTCAAGGAGAATCATAACTGATCGAAACATGAATTAGCCTTCAACTTAATAGAACAGTTTCATGCAATACTTCAAAAGGAAAATATATTTTATTCAATTGTTTTGGATGAATAAACTGATACTACTGACTGGATTCAGGTTTTATGCTTTACTCAGCATAAAGTAACAGAGGATTTTGTTTCCTATAAAGAGTTACTTGCTTTGGGCAATCTTGTGGTACAAAACATAGGGAACAGATACCTTCAACAACTTTCAAGATAAATGTTTTGAAGTTAGATTGAATTTGGTAAATTTAGTGAGTGTATGTACGGACGGTGTACCTTCTGTGACAAGAAAACATGAGGCGTTTATTACACAGATAAAGTATTAACAGATCCAGATGCTCTCATTTCTTTTCATTGTATCTTACATCAGCAAAATCTCTGTGCTAAAGCTACTATTTTAATTGACACTTTGCAACAAGTTATAAGCATTGTTAACTATATGCATGTAAACACAACTTGGCATTCTCAGTTTTATAACATGCTCAAGTTGAATGATGTGGTATTCAGTGTGGATGTGCCATATCATTCTAAAAGGATGTGGGCTATATCGCTGGGATAGATATTAGCCAAAATTTTATCTCTGTGAGAACAGATAGTTAAATTTCAGTAAGAACAGAATTAGTAATGTGAATTATTGAAAGAAGATTTCTATAGGAATGTAGCATTTTTGTGTGATACGTCAAATCAAAATAACTTGAATACTTCTTTACAAGGTAAAACTAAGTCTTATATGATATGTGGCAAAAAAATCCAAGCATTTCAAAAAAAGCTATCTTTTTTCAAAACACTTTTTCATCAGAAAGTTTTGGATGAACATTTTCCCCAGTTAGCAAAGGTCAATGATGAACAGGATGACATATACAAATCATTAGAAGAATAGGCAGCTGGTATAGACCTATTAATTGGAGAATACAATGAAAGATTCACTGAAAATCAAGACATCAAACACAAATTAGCATTTCAACCTCACCTAGTTGATATCACCAATGCACCTAAAGAACTACAGATGGAATTGATTGAGCTCCCAGTAGATGATTTTAAAGTTATTGTTTGATGCTAAGAAAGATCCAATTGAGATATGGAAAAATGCAGTAGAATACCCATGACTTCAGCAACATGCCCAAAAAGTGCTTTTTTGGTTTTCAACCACTTATTGCTGCAAATCCACATTCTCCTACCTAACCCAAATCAAGACGTCCTGAAGGTCACAAATGACTCATACCTACCATCTAGAGGATCAAATGAATATGTGGACCTCCATGCTAGAACTAAGTATTCAAATGATTTCCAACAAAAAGTAGACACAACAAAGTCATTAAAAGGTTAGTTAACTTTAAAATTAAGAAATAGTTTACATTTTTTGAAATTAAGTACACAGTAGTTAGATTTTTACAAAATACTGTACATTTTTAATTATATCTAACTGAAGTTTCTTGAATGTAGCTTTATTTGATTGCAGCTAAATTAATGAGGTCTTCCAACATTGTTGAGAAATATGATTGAGGAATTAATGAGATGTAGCTCATAAGACCATTATTTTATTATATCATCCAATACTGCTATGTTAAAGACAGAAACAGGAGTTTGCAGGGTTTTGCCCTGAAGGAATGTGTAAACTCAATGGTTCACTTATCAGAGGCTGCTATCAAAGGAGGGCTCTCCTAGCTCCAGTAGGGATGTTTTCCAGGAAGGCTTCCCTGTATCTCAAAATCTGTGCACTTCCCTGTTTCTTTGAAAGACAAAGCAGGGCAAATATGGCCCACAGGATGGGAACTGGAGACAATGAGTGCCCTTTGCCCAGAGATGCCCCGGTGGTTATAAACAACTTGTTTTGTAGAAAACAGGCTTCCTGTTCTCTCCTGACTGTCTGCCTTTAAGTCCACAATAACTAAATCAAAGAAATATAAAGTCACTATACCTCTTTGGTTATATCTTTGTTAATTGACAACTACCTCTTAGAACTTAGAAGTTAACCCCTGGAAGACTTTGTACCTGTTTGTTCACCTAGATAGATTAGAAATTGTTAGAAGCCTTTTGAGAGGACTTTTGACCCTAACTCACTACCTGTTACTATCTGTTACCCATAGCAACTGCATTCCCTGATATGTAAATATGTCACTATAGCAACTGGTAATTGATATCTGTGATTATAAAAACCTGTGTGAATCAGACCATATTGCTAGACATTCATGGAGAGTCTAGTCTCCTGAGTACCCTGCTGTGATTATTGTGATCTTTTTATATAAAACTATAAACTATACCTTTGACTCTGTGTATTCTTTTATTCTCTCTTCTTCCTATCAATTTTCTTATCCTCTGTGATGAACCCTACCTAAGGCACCTGGCTTCATGGGGAGAAGCGGCTGATCTCCTTGCCGTCCTTCCTCAACTTTTCCCCACACAACAGGAAAAGGTTTTATACCCTGTACTAGGAAAACAAAGTATCATGGAAAGATCACAAAGAATGATCACAAAGCTCAAGAAAGGGAGCCTATAAAGTTGTTTATGAACTTATGGGCTCACTCTTGAGCTGCACATGTATGTATCTGATCCTAATCAGAGTACCAAAGTTTCTGAGAACTGAACTAACAGAACATAGCCCACATACAGACCATCAACTGAGATGTGTATAGGCATGACAGATCCAAATAGTACTGCAAAGGCTTTGAAAATGGAACTGATATTGGCACAATAGCCCATAGAAAGGAGACTGAAACTTGCAGCCTGCACCTAATTAGACCAACTGCATGCTGAAACAAAAATATCTACGTTTTCTATAGAATTTAAACAAGACTCAAGAATCTCACAACATCTTACTTAAGATCTCAGGAATATAATCCAAACATAGGTGGCATACAAAGAATTAGGACTATCTCAACTCACATGGGAAAAGAGAAACAACCCAAGCTTAAAACAACACACATTTATTATTTATATTTCTATGGGTCAACTAATTTTTCTTCACTGTAACAGTTAGCACATTTCCATGTAATAGCTTACCTCATATACAATATGTCATTTTCTAAGTCAAGATTTCTCTTCTTTAATTCTTCCAATTCTTTTTCGGACTCCAAAGCTCGTACTCCCAACACTTGATCAACAGTCATGCCAGTTGTTTTTAGTTTCCTCTGTAAAGTAAGTTTCTCTTTATCAGCTCTGTGGAATTTAATACAGAAAAACATGAATATATGCCATTCATTGTTTAGCTTGTTCAACTGTTTACTCATTACTAGACCAATATATGATAATTATATCATTCTGTATTTGTTTTGAACTAATTTACCTCAAAATCACAGGAAACCCCATTTATAATTGTTAAAATATATTTAAAGCACATTTTAAAGAAAATAAAAAGTAGACAGTAAATCACCATTTAAACTAGAAAATTTCTCATATTATTAACTATGGTAAAATTACATAACTTCCAGGTCAATAAAGGATTTTACACATAATTTGTTCTATGATGAAATATAAACTCACTTTGCAAAAAGGTCCTTCAAAGTATTCAACTGCTTTGTTAGAGTACAGACTTCCCCCTCTTTCTCTTTTAACTTGTTTCTAATTCCCTCCATTTTAGTTTGCCATTTTTTACCTTCTTCCCACCTAATTAATTCTTCTCTAGAACTCTGTAAACAATAACAAAGAAGACAGAAAATTATCAATATTATTTTTAATTTCCTTTTAAAATTTATTAATTACAATTTACCTAGAGAAATGGTAAACCAATACTTCCTAGAGGATATGAGGGCTTTCTGGAAAGTATCCACACATGCAACAATTCTTTCATTATATTAACAATGGCTGTATAGTTTCTAGACAGCCCTTGTATATAAATAGATTCATTTAGCTATACAGGTTGAATATGGCTTATCTGAAATGTTTGGGACCAGAAGTGTTTCAAATTTCAGATTTTTTTAAATTTTGGAATATTTGCATATACATAATGAGTTATCTTAAGGATAGGACCCAAGTCTAAACACAAAATTCATTTACGTTTCATATACATCTTATGCACATAACCAAAAGTAATTTTATACAATATTTTTAGTAATTTTGTACATGAAACAAAGTTTTGACTGCAGCTCATCACATGAGGTCAGATGTAAAATTTTCTATTTGTGGCATCACCTTGGTGCTCAAAAAATATTAGATTTTGGAACATTGTAGATTATGGATTTTTGGATTGGAGATGTTCAACCTGTGTAAATTTTTAGGCATGCCAAGCTATTAGCAAAAATGCCTTTCAGTCTAAGTACATTTTATTCTATCACATGACAGATACAATTCTGGGAGATAATTTTGACTAATGCAAACACCCTTAATGAGTTTTTAGATAAAATATTCTAATACAGACTATCATGACTAAGGTAACCTTCTAATAAAGAATCTCAAGTATAAATGACCAACCCAATCTGTTACCCCATGATAGTCTCCTAGCATCAGAACTCCTTCAAGTCTTCAATGCACATTACTTTACTCATTTAATAGATATTTATTTAGTGCTAACCACATATCAAGTACTACTCGAGGCACCAGGAATAGAAGCAATGAATAAATCAGATGAAAAACTGTATCTTCATGAATTTTACAATATAGTTTATGTTGGTTGGTTGGGTAAACTGGTAGAAAAAGGAGCAAAATATAGATAACAAAACAGGAAAAATCTAAATATATTTTGTAGTAAGTTAGCTGGCGATAAATGCTTAAGGAAAAAAAAAAACATGACAGGTTTGTCATGGTTTGTTATAATTGTGATAAAGGAACCAAAGAAAGCCTATGTAATGCAGAATAGTCCCTTGCACTGAATAACTTTCAAACGTCCTACTGGATATTCAACACACTTAAAAATTTTGCTCACAATGGTTTGAGCTAAGGACTTATTTCCATTCTACCTATTAACATTAAGCTATTTTTTTTAATGGTTTTACTATATACTAAATTTTCTAGGAATACAATGGTCTTATGAAAACTGTACCATCAATTATTTACCTTTTTTTTTTTTTTTTTTGAGACAGGGTTGAGTGCAGTGGTATCATCATAGCTCACTGCAACCTCAAACTCCTGGGCTCAAGGGATCCTCCTGTGTCGGCCTTCCAAGTAGCTAGGATTACAAGCATAGGCCACTACACTGGCTATTTTTTTTTTTTTTTTTTTGTACAGACAGGGTCTCACTATGTTGTTCAGGCTGGTCTCAAACTCCTGGCCTCAAGCAATCCTCCCACCTTGGTCTCACAAAGTGCTAGGACTACAGACGTGCACCAGGGGTGGTGCCCAACCTGTTTACCATTTTAGAAATCAAATTACAAATGGTAATACTATCATGACATATGAGTTGCACATGTATCAGTCTACATGTAGCTTTAGATTCACATTAATGCCATGTAAAGGTGCAAGCACATAACTAGTTCATTTTGTTTTCTACTATAGTCATGCCGAAGCATTTATATATTGAAATATGAATACTAAATATTTTTATTATTTTAAGTCATTTCCTTTTATGTTCCTCCTATATATTTCACTTAGGACATTTATAATGATATTTTCCTAATTATGTTAAGTAGGTAGTTTACATTTTCTATGACTATCATTTGGAATAGTAAAAAGAATATTATGAAACATTATATTTATGATAAAAGGGAATGTTTGGTCTGAAAAAGTTAAGAACGATAGTTTAAAGTCAAATTCCCAACTAAGATTAGTTGCCATATCAAAACTATCCTCTCCAATACTGGAGAACTATTTTCTCCAATACTCTAATACTGGCCAATTTTTTTACCTTATTTGTACTTCCAGAAATGTAAATATTAGTTGGAGTTATACAGTACGTAGGTAAATAATCCTGCAGCACAGAGTGCTTTGTTGGGATTGGGCAATTCTATCCCACCTAACATTATCTGCTAAATTAAGACTGAGGGAAGCAAAGCTGAATTTAAAAATGAACAGAAAACAAAGGCAATGTCACTGTGGGTATGTTCTAGACTGAGGGAGAAGAGGGGAGAAGATAGGATAGGGACAAAAGTTCTCTTTTCATATTTTCTGTACCAAAATCCTCTTATGTATATTTTAAAATAATATAGCATTTTAAAATTTTCATTAACTCAAGAAATACTGAGCATCTACTATGTGCCAGGGACTGTTCTAGGCACTGAGAATACAGCAATGAACAAAAATAGGCAAAGTTCCTGCCATTAAAGCTTACAGTCTGATAAGAAAAAATAAAAGATGAGCATACAGATAAGTAAATACCTAGTAGTACATTCAGATAGTACTAAATGCTATGGAGAAAGGAATACAAGGTATGGTAGTGGGTTTTGTTATCTTATTTAATATATAGGTAGGCTACAGACATTTTTTACAGAGAAAAATTTCCAAATAATATGAGAGCATTCTGTGAGTATAAATTATAAATGGCCAAGCACTATAGAATATGAAAACATATTCTCACTAGATTCCTGGATATAGATTTTAATATTGGTGCTGCCCTCGGTGTTCTTTTTCTTATTAGTAGTATACTGTTATGGACTTGATGGCTTATGAAAGACTTCCACATATTATTTTATTTGATTGTAAAATAATATTCAGAAATTGGAAATACAGATAGTATTACATCCATTTTAAGGAGGAATAACCTGAATCACTTAGGTTAGGAGTCCTGGCAAAGCTACAAGGCTCTTAAAATACTCTCATAGGAATCAGATTAGGAACAGGTATCCAAGGATTAGGCTTATTCTCAATTAGGGAGGCAGCAAGGACAGTAATACAGAGGAGTAAGGACATATTCATCTTGCCATTTTCACCAGCAAAGCTCTGACAGCAAGCATGTTATGACTCCATGCATACAAGTGCTAATATTTTCATCAAAATTATACTGATATTGATGATTTTTCACAGGGAACATATTTTTTTGGAGTATACTCTATTAAAACACATGAATTTCATTATCTACTTTCTATTCAGTGCCATTAAAGACAATTTTATGTTTTCATGTTATTGAAATTATTTTATAGATATTAAATATTTTCTGGGTAAATTTTATAATAAAATTTTTTTCCTAACCATAGCTCCTCCATAGTGATTTTCTTCAGGGGCAAATATTACTACTAACACCAACACTCTTCAGGTCACTTTTGACACTTTCAATGTTATCAACAAGTTATCTCCAGTTTGTTGTTCATAACAAATTTAATTGCAGGCGTTTTAGCCAATTTTACTTTTTTTAGGGTTCTTCTGATTATCAATAAATTTTATTACCAAACATTTTACTATTAACTGTAAAATTTCAAGCAATTTTTCTCACATTACAGAAACTATGAACAGATTGATTATTGGTTATAACTGCAATACCGAATATATTATAAAACACTTTGTTTACCCTGAAACAGCGGCCTAGTCTACTGAAGGACAAAACAGACACATTTGGATTAAAGTAGAGGTCTTAAAATGCCCTGCTTTCTGTCCCAAAGGCCAAAGGCCCAGTTTATGTAAATGATTACATTGGGGACAGATGATAAATAGAGTTGGATATGTAGGGTGCGAAAGGACTCTGGAGGTATTCTAATGTCATAAAGATGACATGGAGATGATGTAATTTCCAAGTAAGAGTTGCATTATAGGTATCTCCTCAAGTAGACTGTAAATTTCTAAAGGACAGAAACTTGTTTTAGACTTCTCTGTGTTATCCAGTACCACTTATAGTGTGTACCAGGTCCTCAAATTAATATAGTGTATCATCTGTTCATCAACTACTTATTTAATTTACTCTATCACTATCTTAAACATATTAATTAGTATGTTTCTTCACATACCTTTTCTTTTATAGGTTTTATGTCTACTTCATCCACTTTTCTTTCCAGTTGGCTTTCTAGCTTTTTTACTTTCTTTTGTAGTTCTTCAATTAAACTTTGTTTATTATCTATCAAAGGTTTGCCCTGAAAAGTTAAGATGTTATTTTTATATCTTACAAACAAATATCAAATAAAATATACAATAATCCAATTAGAAAACTTTTCTGAGGCTACCGCTGAACATACTTTCTAAATGATGCTCTTAATACATAGGATAACCTGGTAGCTGCCTCTGCATTTTAATGAAATATGCTACTCTAGAACTATAAACACAATAAAGGTCACTACAGGAATTATTTACATTAATCAAAGAGATTTGAAAACCAGTTTTAGCAAATACCATAGACAAAATTACAAAGCAGGAATAAACTACTGCCTATATTTCATAAATTAAAGGCATTATCAGAATTAAACATAAAATTACCTGTAATCCACTGGCTAATCTTTTGATTTGCCTTTTCAGTTCAGCATTTTCTTGATCAATTCTATCTTTCTCTCTAAGTATTTTATTATAGGCTTTTTGGTTTTTTTGCAGTTCATTGTTTAAGTCATTCACATTATCAGTTAGTGAGTTTTCTCTATTTTTACTTGTTTTAAGAGCTTCTTTCAATTTTAAAAGATTTTCACTTAAATCTTCAATTTGTGACTAATAAGAGATAAAGAAAAGTCTTATTCATTAATCTTTATCATGTATCAATAACAAAACCAACACAAAACAAAAAGTATACCATTAGTACTTAATAAAAAGAAAATTTCAATCTCAATTTTTAAGTACACAAGGAAAAAAACCTCCACAAACTACATACATTCTTTCATGTTCATGCCAAATGAACAAAGTCTACTTCAAGAAAAAAAAAATAGTTAAAGCAATTCTTCTTCAACAAACGCCCAGAAACAAAATTTGATCAAATATGCAAATTTTCATTATGACTGAATTAATTAAAGAAACAAGTGCATATCAATATGCATGGCAATATTTTAAGCACTATGAAGCATAACAGTAGTATAAAACAAAATCTCTGATTTGAAGTAGTTTTTAATCTACTTTATAAAGAATGAAAAGATAACTTGCAATACTGCACAGTATATATTAGCCACTAGAAATGAATTCCTAGCTATCTTATACAATGAAAGTGACAGTGATGGGAAATATACTGTGTGATTGCAACTACAAGACATTCTCGAAAAGGCAAAACTATGGAAAGATTAACAAGATCACTGGTTGCCAAGGATTTGGCAGGGTGAAAAGGAATAAACAGGAGGAGCTCAGAGGATTTTTAGTGAAAATACTCTTTATGATACTATAATGATGGATACAGAACATTACACATTTATCTAAACCCAAAGAATATACAACACCAAGAGACAAATCTAATGTGAACTTGGACTTTGGGTGATTATGATGTGTCAATACAGGCTCATAATTGGTAACACATGTACCACTCTAGTCGGGGATATTGATAATGGAAGAAGCTATGCATGTGTGGGGTAAGGGATATACGGGAAATCTCTGTACCTTCCTCTCAATTTTGCTCTGGACCTAAGACAGCTCTAAAAAAAGTATTTAAAATAAAATCCTAAGTAAAATGTTTCTTAAATTTAATTCTATTAGGAAGAACAGCTCATAATGGCCTATTCTTCCTAGTCCCCAAGATGATAATCGGTACGTGAGTACCATAAAGATACTTATTGTTCAAAAATGTGTGTATGTAAATATATCTATCCACCAATAACCTATTATAAATTCTGTATTTACCAGCAAAAAGTACCATATATCAAAGTGAATTCTCTTCCAAAAGGAATTATCAAAAATTTTATTATTAGGCCGGGCGCGGTGGCTCACGCCTGTAATCCTAGCTCTCTGGGAGGCCGAGGCGGGCGGATTGCTCGAGGTCAGGAGTTCGAAACCAGCCTGAGCAAGAGCGAGACCCCGTCTCTACTATAAATAGAAAGAAATTAATTGGCCAACTAATATATACAAAAAATTAGCCGGGCATGGTGGCACATGCCTGTAGTCCCAGCTACTTGGGCCAGGAGTCTGAGGTTGCTGTGAGCTAGGCTGACGCCACGGCACTCACTCTAGCCTGGGCAACAAAGCGAGACTCTGTCTCAAAAAAAAAAAAAAAAAAAAAAAATTTTATTATTAATATATTAATGCATGTGTTGATGTTCACCTTTAGCTCTCTAGTATGTTGGTCAACAATTTGTTGAATGTTGAGTTGTGCTTCTTTCTGGGAAGTTGCAGAAATAACACGTTTTTCAGCAGCTGTTGTCATTTCTGCCCGGAGTTCCAAAAGTGCTCGACTAAGTGCCTACAAATTACAACATATATGATTTTTTTAAGAAAAACTGAAATTTTATATGAGGAATATATTATATAAAAAATAAACTTTATTGCTTTCTGCTATTTTCCTAAAATATTCTATGTTTAATCAAACATAATTCACAAATTAGCAACCCAACTTCTTCAAATACATTTCCTTTAGTAATTATACTCAATTCTTTCCAAATTGAATATGAGAGTTCAAAATCTTAATGATTTTGAGAACCCAGCACTAAATCAAGCAATCTGTATTACAAAAATCAGACATGTTTTGTTTTCAAATATCCAAGGTTAGATATTTAAATTACTTACTTACTACATCCTTCCATGTCAAATTAATTGAATTTAAGTGGACAAGGAAAGTTATAGACTAAAAAAGCTAAAAATTTACCAATAAATTTCATGAGCTAGTGTAGAAAAACAGCAGTACTTTCTAAAACAATTTGACTATATAAAATATGAGATAAACAAAAAACCTAATAAATTAGATAATCCATTGACCTAGTCCTTCCCACAAAACTATCTCTGTTACCCTCTTCTTTAATCTGTCCTTCTCATTATCATATCTCCCTCAATCCCCCAAATTGTCTGAAATTGTTCAACTGGTCAAAATTGCTTCAGTGGCACAAAATCTCAGTGGAAAAAGAGATAAAATAATTAAGATTCCCTTTCATTTCCTATAGATAATATACAAATCAGATTGATGACAACATGAAAAGATAAAATGGATTATATTTACAGTGAAAACCAGCACTTATTGAGGCTATCTAAAAGAACTGTCTTGAAAGACTCCCTTTAACAGTATAAGACAAAGCTCATACTTTTTATTAAAACCGATTGGTATTACCATCTTTTAGAAATTTACAAATCTCCTCTAAAAGCAATCTAGCAATATTGCTTATAAAAATAAAAATATCATATATTTTTCCTAAATGTTTTTAATTTTCTGTTATTCCTTACTTTCTGTTGTTTTTCTTTCAAAGCCAATTGGTTCTTTAGCCGATCTACCAGATTTCTCATTGTAGTTGTTGGAGCTCTCGAATTTGCTTCTTTTTGAGCCTGAAGTTCAGATTTTAAACTCTGTGACTCCTTTTGTGACTGGCCCAGAAGGCACCTTAAATCCTCTACTTCTGCTTTTACTTTTTTCAGTTCATCTGCATGGTTTTCTTGGAGCCTAATATAAACAAACATATTGGTGGTTGTTGCAATTAATACCTTGATTGATACAAATTCCACAAATAGCAAATGTTCAGTCCTATCTATCCTTACAATATAAATCTTGATGTAGACATCCAAATCTAAAAGAAAAATTCTTTATTCCACTTAACTACTCTTAACATAAAATAGAAATTTTTCTTCTTGTTTCTGCCTACTATTTTTGATAACAATATCATCAAGTTATTTTGTAGGCTCTAGTCAAATAGCATATAGAGAATGAATACAACAGCACTTTAAATGTTATGGCTCCTGCAAGATGTGACTGCTTCCTCCATATCATGGTTTCTCAACCATGGCACTATTAACATTTTTGACAAAATAATTCTTTGTTTTTGGGGATGTTGTCCTGTGTCCTGTGTCTTGTAAGATGTTTAGTAGCATCTCCTGCTTCTACCCACTAGATACCAGTAATATTCTCTAGCCTTGACAATCAAAAATGGCTCCAGACATTGCCATATGTCCCCGAGAAGGAGAAAGAGGACAAAATTAACCCCTATATTTGAGAACTACTGCCGTAAACTGACATGCTGCAAAGACAAAATATAAACTTTCACAGAAATCACGTGTATTATTAACTTGTTTATAGTTCAAATTTACTAGTATTGTATCTATAACTATATATATGGAAGTGGATACCATCAAGAGACTTAGTTAATTCAATTAATCCTACTACTCATTCAGTATTAATAAGTCTGATAAAATGAATTATATCTAGTTCACTGTGCATACAGACACTGCATCTGCATTACGATTCAAATTATTAAACTCTGACCAATGAGAGGGAGATTGTGTTAAGCCACGAACAAATGTTAAAGTCTTTGAGACTTGATGCTTTTAGTAAAACTTAAATCTAACTTTAAATAATTGTCAAATTTTGAAAATATCAGGTTTTACTAAAGAAATCACAGAAATATATAATTTCATAAGACGCATTAAAACATGCACACTGTTCATACAGAGAATACAAGTATAATTTAGGCTAAGATGACATAGTAAGTAAGGTACAAAATAAGCTCCTTAACAAAGCAAAAATAGTGTTAATTTTGTTAGAGGCATCCTGGATAAGTCAGTAATGAATCAAAGAGTCTCACAGATGCTTCAGAGCTGGAATGGAATTATAGGTAGTTCAACTTTCTCATTTTTTTCAGATAAGAAAATTGAGGCACAGAGAGATAATTCTACAATGATTAGAATCTGCATAACTATGAATCTATTTTAAATTTAAAATCTATGTTCTGATAAACTGATTAAACAGTGTTTAGAATGTCTAATATAGGAAATGCTGTGAATATGTTACTGTCACTATAAATTAATACAGAAAATAATGACTTTTTTATTCAACAAACATTTATTAAGCCTCTATTATGTGCCAAACACTGGCAGAGGTGTGTAAATAGAAGTTTTATATTTGTATGTTATTTTACAACTTTCAAATTACTTTAATATACAGTTCTACTTGACCTTCACATAACCACTCTACGAGAGCCAGGGTAAGTACTGTCACTTCTTTTTCAAAGATGATGAAACTGAAGCTAAAGAGGTTAAAAACAAGATTCTGGAGAAGAATCTGGATTAGCTTTTGAGTCAGACTAACTAGTTTCAAATTATGGCTTTCCCATCTCTTGCTAGGCATGCTCTGAGCAATACTGAAGCAGTTTCCTATCTGAAAAATGGGGAAATTAATAACATATGTCATAAGTAGTCCTGAAAATAAAAATAAGATAATATACATAAAGGTCTTAGACCAGTACCTGGCACAGCAAATGCTCCTGTTGTATCTTCATTATATCATTATTAGCATTTCCCTATTTTTACAATAATATATTCTAAGACTCACCGTAATTTGACATTTTCAAATTCTTTGACTTTTAATTCAGTGATTTCTCTTTGTCTCTCTAAATCTTGTGATACTTTCTTTAATTTGACCAACAGTGAGGAGAGAGAGTCATCTTGTTCTGCTACTGTCTGTTCCATCTCAGCCAGACGAACAAAATGCTTGTTGGTAGGAACTGGAGTGGGAGACTGTTTTATTAAATCCTATGAAAATTTGAATATATTAGCAATGGGCATGTATAACGCAATGCTGTACTTATTCTATAATTTTAATTTGGTTCCTCAAATGATCAAAATATAATATCTAATCTACAATTTAGTGATTTAACAGGAATGAAGGCTTAAAGAAGACAGGATTAAAGCTCATTCTTTATTGGTATTAACAAAATATAGGAAATAGAGAACTTATTCTTTGTATTCTCAATTTCTAGCAAAGTGTCTATATGTATTAGAGGGTCAATAAATGTTAACTAAATTAAGCTCAAAAATGCTAAGGTTGCACATTAAGAGACAAAAGACAGGCCATTTCACGCCACAGAACAGAAAGATCTCAGGAGGCAATTATCAGCTGAATTCAAAAGATGTAAAGCACTTAAATATGGGTAAGCTTAAACGAGTAGAATTTGAAAAGAAAGACAGGTAGGTTCATGGAAAACTCTGTATGGCTAAGGAGTGTAAATATAATTTTATGGGCAGTGGTGACCTACTGAAGGATTTGGGTCTAGAGAGAAGAGTAATCAGAGCTGCATTTTCAGAAGATTATTTTGGCAACAAAAAGGTAGGGTGGCTTCTACTCTAAAAAAAAGAGAGCTGAATTTTAAATTATATGCTATCAAAAATCAATAACAAATCGAACAAATTAGAACAAATTAGAATCTTACCCAAGCTGTTTGTTTGAATTTATTGAGTGAACTATCAGCCTGTAGTTCTAATTTATTATGAAGAATATGAAGGTCTTCCTCATGCTTCCTAACAATTTCTCTTTGCTCCTATTTTAGAGAAAATCAAAACTGTATCTTAAATTGCTATTTGAATAAATTTAGAAGATCTTAAATATTTTATAATCTCTAGTTTTTTCAAATCTCTACAAGATAGGGAAGAAATAACATCTTCATGCAAATATTTAGACCAGTATACATCTCCCCTAGCACATGTTCAAGCTGACAAGCCCAGCTTCAGATTGTAATTTATTCTAAACATTAGAATAACATGTGTATCTATTATCTTTTAATTTGTTTCTAGAAAAATTTTTAAATGTTAGATTTTCCTCCCTTAGTTCTAACTAATCTGATTTCCCCTGATTCCCAGTATGATAGAGTTCATCCTAAATTATTGCCTCAATCCTTACCTATAAATTGAATTAATATATTTCAAAATCATACGGTTTCACCATGACAGCTATTCCTGGTTTAGTCAGTCTATAAGAGAAAGATGCACATACACAAACTGCCAGTTTTACTGACACATCTATAATCCAATCATATCGAAGGAAGCATTCCTAAATAGAATCATTTGAACATAAGACATGAACTATCACTTTAGGGAAGAATAATATTTGGCATTTGGGTAAAAAACATGTTAATAGCATAACATAATATAATAAAATACCTCTCTGGCTTTTTCTAGAAGATGTTGATATTTCTTTAACACTTCTTCCTTTTGATTTAACCTTGCTTGCATGTTTGCAATGGTTTGATGAGCAATTTTCAATGTGTGATGAGATTTTGGTTCCACTTCTTTTCTGCCTAGCTCAGCTATAAGCTTTTCTCTTTCTGCAGTGGCAGGCAATCGAATCCTCAGTTCATTGATTACTTTGTCTCTTGAGAGAATATTTTGCTCTGCTAACTTTAAAGTAGATTCTTTTTCTTTTAGCTTCTGCAATGATTAAATCACAATAAATTATTAAAGTATTTTTTTCCTTTAAAATGCTTCATCTGAATTTTAGTTAGATTGGTTATTAGCAAAAAAAGGAGTTTCACTTTATTTTTCACAGCATATTTACCATAGCCATCTGATAGTTAGTAAGGTTAAACTATTTCTATGTGGCAGTACAGTTAATAGCATGTACTATTTATTTATAAGATTATTACATGTGTTAGCAACTTCACTGGTAAATGAAAATGAAATTTAATTAAGGTACTTAATCTAGATCTTGCAGTTGAGAACTAGAAATGTGTGGTGTTTCTGGATGTAGGAAGAAAATGTAACAAATCATCTCTTTTATTTTAGTCCATTGACTATCAAAGCTCTGGAAAACTAATCCATAAAAGTCAGCTGAGCAAAAACTGAAATTTTAGTGGCCCAAGCCAATGAATCATTATTATGAAACCTGTAGTTTATTAAAACAAACATAAAATAATCCAAAAAAGTTTTTACTCTTCAGAAGGTACTTTAAATCAAGTAACTAAGTGGCAATTCACATAAATGACAAATCTTACAATTACAGAAGAAAATCCAAGTTTCCTAGATTGATTTGAAATGTACAATATAATTTGAAAAGCTGTTTTGAAATTTATTTGCAGTAAATATGTTTAGATGGAAACTAAAATGAAAATCATATTTAGTTTATATAATTTTCTGAGTAATTTAATAAAGATGATAGATTTGATCACCTATTAATCAAATTCAATATCTAGATTAAAGTAATAAGTAATGTTTAGTTTACCTTCAACCATTTAACCACGCATAAAAACAAATGAGCTGAAAAGTGATTCACAGATTATATAATAATACACTACAAAGTAAAACATAAAAATAAATCAGAATGAAAAGATCATATAAGGAAAGGTAATACATTGCTCATAAAGATATAATTAAATGCTTTTTGTTTCTTTTCATGCTCACTATTACTTACCAGTGTACCTAAAATGACAAATAGTTATTAAATGAATAGTGGATTCAAATTAGTCATATTTGCTGTTCATTATTGGCTATTACAACCATTATAGGAGAATAGGGACAGAGAGTGGAATAAGCAAGAGATTCATCATTCTATGATTTGTCCTCAATAATAAATACTATTTAGAAAATTTGACAAACATAACCAATAATACAGTAATTAAAAAGCAAATTCTTCTAATTACCTCTTCTAGTGATTTGCAAGTTGCCCTTGTTTCTACGATTATTCGAACATTCTCCTTAATTTTTCTTAGTGCAATCTCAAGTTGATTAGGGAGGGGCAAAGTAGGGTCTGGTATTGATCCTGTAGCCTCTTCAAACTATTAAGAAATGGTATGTTTTTTAAAAATGCAGTTGCAGCATTGAGAATAACATTAATTTTTACAATTGTATGACAAAAGATAGATTAAATTCCACTTATATTTTAATATAAAAAGATAACCTCAATTAAAATTATAATACATCTGATTTAGAAAATATTTCTGTCAGTTAATGCTCTAGGCCATGCTACAAAGTAGCAAACAGGATTAATCATTAATACCTTTTGTGCAGCATTTAGTATTTCATTTTGCTGTCGGTCAAAAATGTCTAGTTGACGTTCCAGCTCAACTTCTCTTTGATCCCAGGCCATTTGTCTTTCTTCATGAAACTAAAAAAAAAGACAATGTGTGTCAGATGTACACACAAAGACACCAGGTATGTAATAGGCATTTTACATTTATTTTCTTATTTAAAATCATGACACTAATACTTGAAGTCACTATAATTATTTTTATTTTAGAAAAGGATACAAATTCAAAGAGGTGAAGTAACTTGCGTAAGATCACAGACATAGGCAGATGTGAGGTTAGGATTTCAACCTCTCCATCCATTCATTTATCCATGCATCCATCCTAAACATAAACTCAGTACTATTCTAGGCAGTGTAAACACAGCAGTGAAGTGTCTGTCACTATGGAACTTACATTCTAGTGAGAAGGAGACAACCAACAATCAACAAGTATGTAAGTAATATGTAAGAGGGAGACAAGTGCTATGGAGAAAAATTAAGATAAATAATCTCTATTTAAGGAATCTTTAGGTAGGATTTACTGTTACATATTAGGTGGCTGGTGAAGTTTGCACTGATAAGGTAAGAAGACATTTGAGTTAAGACCTGAAGGCAGTGAAAGCATAAACAACACAGGTATCAAGGATAAGAACAATCTAAGCAGAGGTAACAACAAAATTTCTGAGACAATCACATGCTTGATGAATTTCAACTCTCTCCAAAGCATATGCTTTAGTGTATACCAAGCTGCCCTCTACTACAATCAGTGAGAGCCAGTAGAAACTTGTAACTGTGAAAAGTCAAATGACCAATATCAAAATAAAAATTAACTTACCAAATAAATTTGCTTATATATTGCTCCTTTTAAGTCTAAGACTACTGTTATAAAAACTCAATAAATATAAAGTTTTAGAATAGTTTAGAAGATAATACATGAATTATTTTATAATCCATTAATAATGAGAGCTGCATTCAATTAAGAGAATAAGTCATTCATGCAATGTTCTTAAAATTTTAGCAAAAAAACACCAAAGTAAATATAAAATGAAACCTTGTTCTGCTGCACAATTTCTTCCTCTAGACTGCTGATTGTATGCTCATATTCAGAAATTATATTATTCAAATATTTTATTTCCTCCTTATCCTTGACTAATTCTCGATTTAGTTTAAGCTCTTGAAGACGAAGTTCTTCTATTTTCATATGCCAATTGGTTACCTAAAAATTACAAATTATATATACAAATGTAAATGCTATATAAATATTTCTCCATTGATTGTAATAATTTTAATTGAAATTAATGGATACCCTATAATAAAGAAAGATATAAAGTAAGATATAAAATTATCCTTTGTTGAGCCACATGGCAAATGTGATTTAGGATTTCATAGACATTTCTAAGAATATGTGGGCTCTTAAAACATTCTTCAAATTATGCTGGAATGGATATCACTAATATTCATTTTCATTTGCTATCATGTATTTATTGACCACTTACTATAATCATGTCACTGAAACATTGGTATTATTTTCAAAAATGGAAATCCTAAATATTATATTTCTAGCCTAGAAAATAGGATTCAGTTGCAAGACAATTATTTTTCATTTAATTCCTTCCAAATGGGGGTACAAAGCAAATCATATTAAAATAAATGTGGGCCCATTACTTAATATAAAATTATTTATAATTTTAAACAGATTATTTTATGTCTAAATAAATTGAGGAAGAAATCAATTGATGACCACTACAATGTTTAAAAATAGTATAATTAGTATTTAATTAAATATATGAATTTTTCTAGAGAGTTTAAAATTCTTTGCTGTTATACAATTTGAATACTTTCACTAAAATCTTTTCTTAAAAATGTTCCATTTTATTTTCACAAATAATAAACATTCAAATAGCCAAAATTCCTAATTTATAAAACCTAAATTAATGAATTATAATTGGAATTTTGGTTGCATATTATGCATTTTTTATATAGGCAAATATTAAGAACTTAAAATTATTATGTAACTCTTTGGGAAATACTGAATTTAAAATCAACATTTACCTTTTGGGCTCCCCTGGCATCCTTTAAAGTGCTTATTAACTCTTCTAGGCCCTTTAACTTTAATTCCATCTCCAAGGTTTTGTTCTCCATATTTCTATGTTCTTGCTGAGAATTTTTCATTTCTTGCATTATCTTAATTTTGTCATTTTGTAGTTGAATCATTATTTTAGAGAACTTTTCCTGTTGTGCCAAGGGTAAAGCTCCACTAAACTGTCGTCGTAGAGACTGAATTGTTTGGCGCAGATGTTTTGCTCTGTTTCTCCCCTCCAAACGAGCATAATAGAGAGCCTGTTCTTTTTCATCGAGTTTCTGTTCTAACCGCAAATTGTAGGCCTCCACCTTCTTCAGTTTAGACGTAACTGACTCCAACTTACCAAGAGCAGTAGCCTCACTAATTTGAAGAGAGACAATACATTGGTGCAACTTGGCAATTAGTGCCTTTTCATCAGACTGTGCCTAATTTTAGAAAATACATATATGTAGTAAGTTCCAGGTTTGTTCAATGAAACTTATCAGGGATTTAAAAATCACAATTTATTAATACTAAATAAAGTTTTAAAATGGTATGGTAAATGAGATTCTACAAAAATCTAACTTTGCTTTAATACAAATAATTACCAAAGAAATGTAAAAGAAAAAAATCTAAAAGCAAACAAACTTAAAATCCAAATTTAACTAAATAACAGTTGGAATATTACTAGTTTTTTTAAAGTTCCGTATACAAATAACAATTCTGGTATAATCCTGACTCAGATGATGTATATATTTTGGAAGTCAAAAAAAAGTATAATGTGAGAATATATGAAAAGCTACATATAAATATAAGAGAAAATATTGTTATTAGAAATTTACTAACTATTCTTTCTCAGTGTCTTAACTTTGTTCAGCAGCATAATGCATCTGTAGGCATCTGAATGCTTTTCTGAATTATGAACGGTATTTCAAATTATAAATGTTTTCTAATCAGATTCCAACTAACAAGAATAGGAGCCTCTGACTGGTATATCTTCTGATTAAGACTGTAACATCATCCCAGTATCTAATGTGAATTTAGAAAAAATGCAGATTCTATATAGCAGAGCCAATACTGCACATACCTGATAGTCCAGCAGTTGCATTCTGAGGGACTCTACTTCCTTGTCCCTGGACTGTTGATGTGCATTCAAAATTTCAACTTGCCTTTTGGCAATATCAGAAATCTCTCTCAGCCTGGGAAGTGTTAAGATATTTCAGGAACAACTAAGTATACTTTCTAAGTAAATAATACAATTAAAAATTTCTAGACCCTTTTTGCAAAAAGCCATTAGTTTTCAGCTTTGCACAAAATACTAAAACAGGGTTTCCTGAACTGTTTCATGAAGCATAATTCCATGAAATGATAACAAGTGTACTATTTAAAAACTCCATTCCTAACATCCCTCCCCATTGAAAATTCATAGTATACAATATTAAATGTTCTCAGAAGTTCTAACATAAATAATTACCTCAAATCGTACTTAATACATAGCATTTTCCAAATGTATGTGGCCAAAGAACCTCCACTTCTATACTTTTTATAGGATATTCATCGTAATTTGGAGTAAGCTAGGATAAAGTATTAAGTAGGTCTATCTGATACCATCATACAGTTAAGAATACAGAAACATAAAATTTCTAGATTCCATAACTGTGTTAATGGATGTTTTGACCTGTTTTAACTTATAAATTTTCACATTTCATATTCAGAAATGTGAAAACACACCAAGTATGCATTTACTACAATTACATAAAGAGGGGATTGTTGATGGTCCGTAAGTGCTTCCATTTCCCTTAAACCTACTGTGATAGTACAGGCAAAGTAAAATGTAAAGTCTCTTTACTTTTAGCTCAGATAAACCAGGTTTTCTTATACTGAACAGAGCTCTCATTGCCAGATATACGTTTTGATTAATAAAATTAATAATTAGAAATTAGTTTATTTCAAAAGGTAAGGTCCATGAGGAGATAGGAAGAATAAAAAAAAGTTGTCTTTCACAGTGAAAAGGGCATCAACGACTGATATTTCCAAGAGGACTATGAAAGCTCTAATGGAATGACTATAACCTTATGAGTAAGCCATAAAAATATTTTCACTAATTGTTTGTACTTGACAGATTCTCAGTGCTCCTCATATTTGCTACTGAAATAGCACTTAATTACAAAAGAGAGTGAAAGACAGCATCTAACTGGCACGCAGTATTCACTCCTTACATATATTTTGTGTACTAAACTAGCTAGGCCTGTTTCCTCACATAAAATGAAAACAACAATGTTACTTCAGGGTTAATAAGTATGAAAGAAAAAAACCTAGAATCAAACAAACTTAAAAATCCAAATCTAATTAAATAACAGTTGGAATATTACTGGTTTATTTTTTAATTTTCATAAGCAAATAACAATTCTGGTATAATACTTATTCAGTGTATTTTTTTAAGTCCCCCAAAAATATATAATGTGAAAATACGTGAAAGGCTATATAAAAATACAAATATAAAAGAATATATTATTTTTAGAGATACAATCAATTATCTCTATCTATAATAGAGTAAATATATGTTTAATACTTTGCACAGTGCCTAGTACATAGCAGATGCCTAATAAATGTTAACTTAAATCAAAATTTAATTTTTTCATTATATTTTTACAATAACCTTATAAAACAGGTAGAAGAGCTACTATTACTTTCTTACTCCCTTATTAGAGTGAAGAAACTTAAGTTTAAATACATTAAATAACCATTCCTGCTCCATTGCTCCTTCCCTCAAAAAAATCATTATGCAAAAGAACTGGACCTCACGGGGTCTTTATTCCAAATTCAGTGCTTTCTGCAATAATATTCCTGGACTCTGAAAATTACAAATCTTGAAAGGTCATTTCCTGAACTTCAATATTATTATTTAACCCTGTTAAAATCAATCTTGTTAATACTATTTATTCCTGTTCTTATATAAAGAAACCAGTATTAATTGCCACTAAGATTATTACCGCTATATGCTTGTAATTAGGTTTCTTAAAGACAAATTGGAGCTGACACACTTAATCAAATGACTAAAGTGTTTGTATGCACTTACTTTGACACTTCAACTTTTAGTTCCATTTCATTCTTCTCTAATTCTAGAATCCGTTGCCTATCAGCATCACTTACTGCCTTGCTCACACTATCAGCTAATTCATCTCTTAACATCTGTTCCACCTTCTGTGCATCCAAGTTGATTTTGGTAAGCTAAGAAAATGTAACATAAAAAATTGTTCAGATACATCAGTTTTTGGTGGGGTTTCTCTTGTAATTTAGCTTTTGGAGTACTACAGTCCTCTTTACTTTGTCTTGGTCCAGATATTAAATTGAGTGTGAGTATTAAGAACAGACTAAAGAAAGGAAAGAGATGAAAGAGTCAGGAATAAATTATGCAAACTCTGGTTATATTCCAATCCACTAAAAGTCATTTTTATTATGTAACTCACTAATAATGTCTTAACTTCTACTATTCTTAATTTGCTTAGAAATGTGGCATATTCATTATATTTTACTTCAATTATATCATCTATAAATAAATCTAAATGAATTAATAAAAACTTATTAATATAGATTTAGAGATTCAGTTAAAATGAACACAAATGATATTTATGCTTAGGAAAATATATTAAATCTTAAGGTAAGCAAGCACTATAAGAATGTTGTTTAAGCATACATTGTCAAATATTTGCAAACTATATTTACTGCCAGTCAATTGATTCTGACCACATCTAAAAATATAAAATCGCCTAGTAGAAGGTCCCTGAAAGCAGAGATTACTGTCTATTCTATTTCTTGCGATAGTCCCAGTCCCCATACAGGGTCTGACATATAACAAGCAATGAATAAATATTTTTTAAATGAAGGGATGGTAATGGAAGGCAATTCCAGTATTAAGTAAATAACATCCTTTTTGTACATTAAATCTAATAATGTAACCTTGGTGAGAAACAAGAACTCATTTACAGTTGTTTCATGTTTCATTTTAAACAATTCATTTTAACTACTTTCATTTTAAACACTTCAGATTTAAAAGTAAATCTTTTATTTACTCATTACATGCAACCCAAGCAATGTATTAATATGCTACTTTAGAGATCTAAACCAACCTCATAACAATGATACTAATTCTTTACTAATTGCATAACAAAAATTATAATATCAAACCTCTGCAAATTTGGTTTCCAATTCAAAATTACGTTCTTCCATTTGCTTTAATGAAGTCCTTAAGTGTTCATACATTTTTTGACAGTGTTCAGCCCGCTGCCTTTCATTTAATTCCTTCATTTCCAACATAGTTATTTTTTTTGAAATAGAAACAATGTCACTGTTCGTTATTGATTTCTTTGCCTTATCCATGTGAGATTCATTTCCTATATGTAATAATACTTAAGTCAATCTCATGTTGTTTACATTAAAATTACCTAAAATCTCAGGTATTTTAGCTATATATAAGGAGGCAATATTGTTCCACAGAAAGCAAATGAATTTTTGAATTACAACAAACCTGGACTTTATTCTGAGCTCTGTTACTTCCTGTCTATATGATGCCTGTCCCATTTAATCTCTCTGGAACGTACATTCTTCATCAATCAAATGATAATAAAAAATAATTGTTGAAATAACAAGGTAAAGGACTTAGCGCAGAGGTGTCAAATAGAGGAAATAAAAAAATGGTAAATAAATTTATATTTCACTCAAATGAGATGAAATGTATCAAAAGCAATGCAATAAAGCAACATGACTTTGTGACTATAAGTGCAATGATTTGATTTTTGAAGTCTCAAGAGCCAAGCTGAAAAGTAAAATCTAAAGCCGTATGATTGATTTTAACCAAATATGATCTTCTCTAACCATGAGTATTATTTAGTCTTTGTATACATCTCATATCAAATATTTTACATTCTTTTATTATTTGTTATAACTTAACCTTAAATATGTACTTATATGGCTTGTCTTTGGACACAAAAGTCTGTAGTTAAATGAAAAGAGAACTAAAAGCCCCAGTTTATTATGAAAAGGTATCACATAAGAGTATCATTAGTTACTTTCTAAATTGGGGGGAGAAGGAAAAAAACTTACACTTTTCCTTTATCTGACATGCTCTAGAAAAAGACAAAATTTTGTATAGTATTTTGCTTTTTAGAGACTTAATTAAAACCCATATGTTTAGGGTAGCCAATTATTTAAAAGAATTAATCAATGGCACACTTTGTAGATAGTCTTTTACAATATCGATAATGTCCCCTCTTATTTTTCAAGCTTCCTAAATTCAAGTTTTATATAACTTAGTTTTCTCAAAATAATATACATTTTTTTAAAAGAAAAAAATTTTGGTGACTGTCTCAGTTTTAAAAAGTACTTCACAATTCAGAATTGTAAAAATGTGGAAACATCCCAAGTACCCATCAATACATGAGTGGATTAATAGAATGTGGTGTATGTATACTATGGAATACTACATATTCACGAGGAAGGATGAATTAATGCCTTTTGCAACAATTTTGATGGAAGTAGAGACCACTTTCCTAAGTAGAGTGTCTACAGAATGGAAAAATAAACACCACATCTGCTTGCTATTAAATTGGAACTAACTGATGAGCACACATGTGCACAGAGGAAATGAAACCAAGCAGAAATCAAGCAGTGGGGAGAGGGGATAAGGGGATGGGCAAAAACCTACCTAACAGTACAATGAACACTATCTGAGTGATGGGCACACTTATAACCCTGACTCAAACATAACAAAATAAATACATGTAATTAACCAAAAATATGTATACCCTCACAATATTTTGAAATTAAAAAAATAATAAATTAAATTAAATTAAAAAACAATATTATGGGTTCAGTTCTACACCACTGCAATAAGGCCAAATCACCATTAAGTGAGTCCCACAAATTTTTTGGTTTCCCAGTGCATACAAAAATTATATTTATACTATACTGTAGTCTATTAAGTGTGCAATAGCATTATATCTCAAAAACTATGTACAATGTTAATTTAAAAATGTTATTTCTAAAAAATAAAAAGTACTTAATTATGTTCTCTACATGTCTTTAAAATATTAATATATGATTTTAGAATAGTTACTGTAAGTAGCGATCAAGTAACTAACAGAAAATCACCAAAAGAAGCTAAAAGTTCGTAAATCTGTTCTTTATGTAATAAGAGACCCATTCAAGCAACCCTAAGCAACTTGAAGAAAAAACTGAACTACATATAAATATATAAAGAACATAAAACCCCTGTTCCATTTTGCATTGTGCTCAATTCTGACAATGAAAAAAGTGCATTGCAGGTGCTGAAGCAGATTAGCCTCCTGATGTTCTTACGTTTGGAGTTTTCTTACAGAGATGGATAGAGTATAACAGCCCAGCACCAACAAATTCCTGGATGAAAAAAGCTAATGAAGTGACATTTTAAAACAAATATATAAGGGCAACAGGAAACAGGGAAAAGCTCTTAAAACTTCAGTGATATAAATCCATGTAAGGAAGAGATTAACATACTTCAAAATAATGGAATTGAAGTATGGAATTTGGCACTTAATAAAGTGAACCAAGAATCTACTAAAATTGTATATAATACTCTTACATATATATATAATACTCTTACATCTTATATAATACTCTTACATCTTAGTTTCAATGAAAGTCAATTCATATTTAATCTTTTTGAGTTAAAAAATTACATTTCTAAAAGTAGAAATCATATCTAAGATTTCCCAATGTGAGGCCTTTCTAAACCAAATGTCTTCATTACCAATTTAATAAACAACTCTATTTAGTAACAGAAACCTCAAATAGCTCCAAAGTCTAGAAAACTAATGAAAATATCTTATCCATAGAAGCAAATTTATTTGAAAATTATAAAGCACAATGGTATGAGATAAAATTATCAAAGCGTTCTTAACCATTTGGAAAACTAATAAGGAAAACCCTTGCAAGAGCCACAAAAATTTCAATACCTTCTGAGATAGTAATATCTCTTTCACATATACATGAAGATGTTCATTGTAGCATTATAAGCAATAGCAAAAATAAGAGCTATTTAATCATTCAGAAGAAAATTGCATGAATATTTACATTTATAAGTATGATAAATAAAATGGGAATATTTTTGCTATCTACTAAATACAGTATATAACAAATAATCTGCTTATTATAATTTAAAGTATATAAAATATATAAGCATATATAAGCAAAAAATGTGATTGTATAGTAGTGGAAGTATGGGCAATATAAAGGCAATACAAATTCTTTTCAAATTTTCCTTGATGTTTTATGGTGATCTTTTAACTTAAAAGTATCAGGAGATGTATAACTAATATAACTTACACTCTGAAAGAACTCATAATACTATTAATATTACACTATCACCAGTTTTCATTATTAAATAGTTCAAAATAGCTAATGCTTAGTCATAAATTTTTAACATGTATGACTTCATTAGAAACAAATCTAATTCAAGAACTGAAAACCAAATTTTGGTGGGGATTAGTACTGGATATTATTCATTAACTACCTACAAAATTAAAATGTTAAGCAAAGAGTTCATTTTTTTAAAATTAGTACTTTCTAAATATTGTCTAAATATTTCCTTTTCATTTGGTAGAGAAAAAGAATTTTACATGAAAAATAATCACTAGTAGATCTTAATCATTTTATATGATCAGAGTCATAAGACTTACCTAATTTAGTTTCTTGTTCCCAGGCTTGTTCAATAGTGTGAAGTTTTTCCTTGGTAATCTCCAGTTCTTTATTTACAGCCTCTATTTGTTCTTTTAAGGATGTATTTTCACACTGAATAACATCATTAAGAAACTACATTGCAATTTAAACCAATAACACAAAGTGATATTCTCTTAATTTTATGTAATATCTTCGAAAATTTACAATCTAGTTTTTTTACAAAATTAGAATTTCTTCCATATGTTTATACATATACATATATATACATATAATGTAAGCTATTATTTAAAAATAATCATCAAAATACTGTGTTTCTAATATGTGACCCTCAACTTTTGAGTATTAGCTTCTACCATTAAAGCTATACATTCATTTTGGCAAGCTAGAATACTCAAGAGTTTTACAACCTTCACAAACTGGTGCTTACTTCCTTCCATTAGTTACTGAGCATCCCTAACATGCTTTAAGTGACAGATACTAGATGTTCATAGTGAAAAGAAACATAAAATTCTGGCTTTCAAAATTCTGACCATTTAGTGTCTGTTTCTATGTGTATGTGGAAGGAGTTGGGGAGGGTGTGGAAGGCAGCAGATAATAAAAAGGTAAGCAAACATAAAGTCCATTAAAAATCTCAACACCTAGAGAGAAAATACAGGGTACTGAGCCAGCGAATAATAAATGGGTGCATATATAAATAGAGTAGTTGAAGAAGGTCTTAAGCACCTAAGAGGTAATATTTAAGCTGAAGTGTGAGATCTGAGAAGGAGCGAGTCTTGACAAGAAATCAGCCATGGAAAGATCTGATGTATTTACTGGTCAACCCAGATGCTCTAAAAGCAAAAAAGGGTTTTGGAGTATTAGACAACCTGAGAAGAGAAAAGGTCTAAAGCAAAAAAATATCTGAGGTGTTAGAGGACTTGAGCAGAGTAAGCAAAAGTAAGAGTGAAGAGCGGTTTAAGATAAAGCTGGAGAGGTAATCAGGGGCCATAGCAAGCAGGACATGGTATGCCAAGATAAGGAACAAGAATTTAACAGTATAATGGGAAATAATTTGAGGATTTTAAGGAAGAAGCTTTAAACAATCATTTTGCCTGTGATGTGGAGAATAAATAAAGGATTAATTAAATAGAAACATGAGGGAAACTAGTCAGAGAGACGTTGTAGAAGTCCAGATAAGTGCTGATGCTGGTTAGGACAAGGGTGGTATCAGTGAAGATGGAGGAAAGAGTACACATATGAATACAATTGGGAAATCGATATGGTAAGGGAAAGGAATGACTAAGGAATAACTGTAAGGTAGCTCCTTGACTAACTGGGTAGGTAAGAGCAGCATATATTGAAATAAGAGCGATGATGAGAGAAACAGAAATCAGGAGTTCATTGTCAATATGTTAAATTTGAGATCCCCTTGAAATATGTAAGTTATAAAGTAGGTAATTCTATACAGTGGAATAGAGCTGTGAGAAAAAGTTAGGCTAAAGACATAAATGTAAGAGTTTAGCAACATAAATGTAATATTTGAAGTTCCTTTATTGTTTCTTTCAACAAATAGAATGCTTACTACATGCCAGGTACTCTAAGCAGTGGATTTCAATGGTAAATAAATTCCATCCTAGAGCTTGCATTTTAGTGGAATAGCTGGAAAATAAGTCAATATATATTACAATGTCAGGTAATACGTTATGAAGAATAATAAAAACAGTATGATGAGATTTTAAAAAGAGGATGCTATAATAAGTAAAATAAGGGAATAAAATGAGATTTTTTTTTGGTAAAGTACATAATTATAGTCAATTTTAGATACTGTGAAAACACGGAGAAAAAAAAGAGGGCTGAGGGTGTTTTAAATAACTTTTAACCAATTTTTTTTCTTCCTTCCATCTTCTTTCACAGGATAACCCTAATCTTGCTCCAAATCCCATTTTCTCACACATACCCTGATATTTTACTCCCTCACTTATTACCACTCTCATCTCTAATATTCATCACTCTCTCTTTATTAGCTCTAAATTTTCTTTCCATCTTCCCTGAAATTTCATTGTTCATATTTATTACAAAAAAACCCCCACAAAACATAAAACCAAACAAATCCCCTTCTTGATTCTACCTCAATCAGATAATTTCTCATTTCTTCTATTAAATTTAGAGTTTTTCTATTGTTTTATTATCCATCAGTTTTTGTATTTCCATATCATCCACTCTGTTCTTTATATTTTGAAATCTGATTTTCACCATCTCTATTCTCATGAAACATTAAGTCTCAAAAAGTATCAATGATTTCCTAATCACCACATTTGATGACTTCTGCACTGTGACTCTTCATCACTAATCAGTCTTAGGTCAACATATCCTAGCTCAAACTCTGTGCTAAACAGGAGATGCTAAACACACAAAAATAAATTAAATAGAATTCCTCACATTCCAGTAAGGGAGGCAGACACAGAAACACATACAATATGGGGTAATATAAATGTGTACTATGTACAAAACCACATATAAGATATAGAACTAGTATAGACAGAGGAGTCACTTTATTCCATAAAGATCCTTGAGGAAAAAAGGTAATGTCTGAATAAAGTTTTGAAATATGAATAGAAATTCACTACACATATACACTAAAAGAGAGAAATGGTTTGCTAGACAAAGGAAACAGCATGTACAAGAGAACATATGTAAGAAAGAACACTGTATTGCAGAAAACTGGTAGTTCAGTTTCTAAAACATAAATTGCAAAACTCCTTAGGACATGAGTTAAGAATAATTAGAAGAGGAATTTGACCTTTACCCTTCAGGTGACTAGCAGCTTTAATAAGTTTTAAAGAAGGGAGCAACATGGTCAGATTCATGTTTAGAATGATCATTCTTGTAGCAGTAAAGAGGATGTAAAACTCGAGACAGAGATATGAGTAAACCCTGCCACAATAAATACAATAAAAAATAAAACTAAGACCTTGCCAGTAGGGATATATCCCTAGAAATGATGTTTAGAATTATAACTACAATGCAGGAAGTACAGGAGAGAAAGAGATACAACTAACAGGCTCTTAATTGGCTGATGGGTCTGCTATAAAAAGTATAGGAAATAGCCTTGAACATACTGAGTTTGAGGTAGCTGTCAATTAGCCTAATAGAAAATTCCTTGAAAATGGTGTAGGTGACAGTTTAAAAGAAAAAAAGACCACAAAATTTTTGGCATTCCTTACATTGAGAGGTAGGGGCTATGTTCTCTTTCATTATCTTGGCAGCCTTGTGACCTCTTTGAGCAATGGAAAACAGCAGAGAATAACACTATGTCACTTTGAAAGCTAAACCATATAACGTATCATGGTTTCCACCTTTTTCATTAGAATACTAGAGCTGCAGTCCTGAGTAGTCATGTATTTGTTAAGTTCAACTACTCTTAGACTACCATGCTGTGGGGAAGCTCATGTGTATAAAAAAAAACACATGTAGATACTCTACTGTGTTTTCCCAAAAATAAGACCTACCCATAAAATAAGCCCTAGCAGGATTTCTAAGCATTTGCGCAATACAAGCCCTACCCAGAAAATAAGACCTAGTGATGGGCGTGGCTACGCAGGATATCTGCACAACCCATGCATTTCCTCGTGGAGCGGAAAAGAAGAGAAGCAGCCCTTCTCATTTGCCCCATGAGAGCTCTATTGCTTGACATGAGAGTTGGGGGGCCAATGGTTCTAAAGGAAATAGAGTTGCAAGAAATTCAGGATGGAATTCGGGGTTTGGAGAATTATGATGATGTTCCAGGAAGAAGACAACGTAACTCTATTTGAATAAATGTAGATTGTTGTACCGTACTTAAAAAAAATAACACATCCCCTGAAAATAAACCCTAGGGTGTCTTCTTGAGAAAAATAAATATAAGACTCTGTCTTATTTTCGGGGAAACACGGTAGTACATTCTCAGCTGAGAATCAGCCTTAGTGTCATCCCAGCCCAGATTCCTGTGTGAAGAGAAGCTTCCAGATGATTCTAGTCTACACTGATGAAGTCACCCCCAGCTCAAGTCTTCCCAGGATGCGGCTCTGCAGAGTAGACAAGCCATTCTCACTCTGCCCTATCTGAATTTTGGCTCACAGAATCTATGAGCAGAATAAAAATGGTTGTTTTATACACTAAGTTTTCAGGGTTGTTTTGTTGCACTGCAATAACTAGGACACAGGCATTTAACATATTCTGTTGAACTGAAGTAATTAACTTAGTATATAAATGCATATATAAAAAGACAAAGATTAAATTATAAGGTATATCACATTTTTTAAAATTTTGAGGAAAAATAAAAAATATCCTTTTGGAAAATGATAAAATAGAGTTAAAAATTATTCAATGGTATGTTATCTACAAGAAATCTCTTACCTAGGATTTTCTAATGTTAGAGAGGATAGGACAGAGGACATGGAGAATTGGGAAAAAAGAAAATAAATTATTACCACACCTAAACATAGAGAATTTTCTATAAAAATTAACATAATCTCTTTGGCAAAAGAAGTAAAAAAAGTAAACTGATCATGATTACTTCTAGATAGCATTAATAAATAATGACCCAATTTTGTAGGAGTCATTGAAAGCTACACAGAATGTTTTATTTCAACATATCTCTCTAAGCAAGCAAAAGCCTTTTTGAGCTAACAGAATTAGATCTCATTCTACTCTTGTGAGAGGATGTTAAAAGAGAATAAGGCAAAGGACATAAGCCCTTATTTCTGATGAGGAAGGTGAACATATTAGTACAAGGTATGGAGGTCAAGGGGCTATAAGAGAATTACAAAGTCCATATTCACAGTTTAAGTGAAATTTATGATACTCCACTCTATTATTTTTTTTTTTTTTTTTTTAAGACAGAGTCTCACTCTGTTACCTTGGCTAGAGTGCCATGGCATCAGCCTAGCTCACAGCAACCTCAAACTCCTGGGCTCAAGTGATCTTTCTGCCTTAGCATCCAGAGTAGCTGGGACTACAGGCATGCACCACCATGCCCGGCTAATTTTTTCTTCTTTTGGTAGAGACGGGGTGTCGCTCGTGCTCAGCACCCTACTCTTTCACATCTCTAAAATAAGAAAGGATGGAGACTTGTATAGCTCATCCATGGTCCAGGAAGAGCCATAAAGGTCATCCACTTTTGGCTACATCCATCCTAATGAACAGAATTCAGAAACCATGAGAGAACAGTTTGCTCTGACAACAGGGGTAAGAGAAAGGGATGGGTACTTAATGGATACTTACGCCTCCTATGATTACAATACCCTATCTGTTTCATGCTCCTTTTTCTTTTTTAACACATTGACTGCCATGTGAGTTGTATTTAACTCAGGCTAGTTTTGAGCCTGGAGCCTCATGAAGCAAAACCCTGCAGTTGGTTCCTAAGAATCTTACTTGTTGATGCTCTTATTGTTATAATTAATATTTAATTGTATTCTAAAAATTAATATTTAAATTAAATTTTTAAAAATTAATTAATTAATTAAAAATTAGAATGTATTCTAATTTAATTCTAAAAACATGGATTGCCTTGCATATAACTCATGCACAGAAAACAATAAAAAGAAACAAATTAGAAAAGATCGCTTTGTTTTAGTGAAACACCGTAGCCCCAAGGGAAAAAAAATTTTTTTCTACTATTGGAGTCAGTGCATGAAGTGCCTAGTTGAAAAGATTCAATGCAGCTCAATCATGCAAGTGAGCTGAGGATGACCTGAATGAAGTTCTCTGGAAGTCATTCTGCAACTATAAATAGATATGTTATATATGTGTGCATGTGTGCGTGTGTGTGTGTGTGTGTGTTGATATTCAGGAACAAAATATTTAGGATAAAATTTTTACCCAATTATACCTTGGTTAAATTTACTTAAATAGAGATAAACTTGAAATTAAAATTTCAAAAATCCTCCAAAACGCAAAGACATCATCAACGAAAAATGGCTAATATCACAAAGTTCAAGGATCATACAAACTTACCTCTAGGTGTTCTAAGTTATTTGTTCTTTGAACAAGCATATTATCTTTCTGCAAGATATCCCTGTATTTAGCAGTCAGTTCATTGTATTGTTTATTGGCCAGTTCTAGTTCAGACAGAGAGACACTGTTATCTACAACTTTTTGGAGAGCTGCAATCTTGAAAATGGCCATTTCCTATGTAAATAAAGATACACTGAGTTATGTTTGTATATTTTTTTTGAAACAGTAGCCACTTTTGAGAAGGATAACACAAGATAATACAACTAAAAACAAAACAGATTTTAAAACCATTTAGAAAATACATGATTTCCCATGTGAGTAAAAATCTGCAAGAATATTAATTTCTTCCTTACAATGATGCTATTTTTAATTTTTAATCACAGTAAAAATAAAAATAAAGTAAATCCTTTTATAACTCCTGTCATAGTATAATAAAATTTAATTAATTTGAGAAAGCATAATAAACAGCAACAAGAAAATATATCATTCAGAATGTATCACTGAATGACTCTTCTAAATTTTTTAAGATCAAAAAACAACTTTTGATAGTTGAATGGCAAAATTAGCATTATGATAAGTAACTTTTATAGCTTAGTTATTTCTGCTTATTATAAGTTAGACAGACTAGCTTTGTATCAAAAGAAAACCTTGTTCACATAAAGGAAACATTGTTTGAGGGCAAAAAACTTCCCATCATAGTTCTCTGTAATAAATAATGTCAAGGACTTTCAGTTATTTTGCTTCATATTCTATTCATCAGCTGTATAACTATTCAAAGATACTTTATTATTAACACCAAGAAGAAATGTCTGAACTTTTAGTTCTCTCCAGTAAACTGCTCTGTGATAAGCAAAAATTACATAGAAAAGTACAGTGAAGACTGTGATGGAAGCTGATTAAGAAGTGGTACAAAGGAATAACCAAATTTATAAAGTGAGGAAGAACTTAAGGTTATAATTCATTCTGAAGTATAAAATGATGGAAAAATATTTTTAATAGGGCTCCAGATCTCATTTGACAGCTTTTCTTCTCCATCTAAATAAGTACATCCTATTCTACCTTACCCTTGAGATTCAGTTTTACTTTTGTGAGAGGAGAGAGGAGTAGATAGGGTTCTGTTTCCTATCCCTTAAAAATATCTTTTTGGTGCCTCCAATTTTGTAAAAAAAAATTAAAAAATCAAGTTGAACGAGCAGGTTGAAGAGGAAGAAAATTCCAGTTTTTGTTTTCCTTTCTATCTCAAATACTAACTATATTTGTAAAACTCTAAGAAGATCCTAAAAAATCTAACACAAAAATAAAAACAAGAACATTTCTTATATCTCAAAATTCCCTTATTACATGTCAGAATAAAAATAGCTTTCATTTTATAACAGGTTTCTTTTTGTATCTAGGATTCAGCTTTAAGATCACCCTGAAATAAGTTTATCAGCATGACAATATCACCTATTACTATCTTTAAAGTTGATGGTAAAGTTCTCAAGTTCATTTTATTTTTACTTTAAATTCTGTGTTCATATGATTCTGTCTAAATTTAGTCATGTAAAAATGAACATTTACATGCTCAAAAATAAGCTATAAGATGTAAAGCAAGGTGCAGAAGAGTGTTCATATGATGTAACCTTTTCTGTCTTTATTTATGTTTGCAAAAAGAAACATTAGAAGGATAATCAGTTACCCAGACCAGGTAGGGCAGAATAAGGTGAAAGGTACAAGGAGAGAAGATTTCTCTGATTAAATCTTTTGAATATATAAATGTTCTATATATTCAAATTTAATAAAAAAGAAAACAATGCCTACAATTGAAAAAAATGGAAAACAAATGAGTTTAACTATGCATCAAATACATAACATAACAACATGAGGAGCAAGATTATTTCAAGTAACTGTAGAATATGTTACTTTGCCTACACATCCTCAGCAAGATATATTCTGAAGAAAAAAAGACCTGTAATGAAACTTTAAACTCTGTCTGTTAGCTTTGCTTTTGTTGTTATTGTTAATACGAATACAAGTATTATTTTCAAATTAATGTATGCATATTGTAAGATAAAAAAATATTTTAAAGTTAATAACCAAGATTTTCTATGTAAGAAAAAATAATACAAGCACAAAATCAAAGAATGTTAGCAAAAATCCCATACTATTTACTTACCCTATAATGTTAAATTTGAATTGGAAATAACAGCATGAATTCATGGTTTAGATACATACATATTTTCCTAATTTGTCCACTGAAAGGGACTAGTAGAAATGACACTCCGAGAGCAATGACGCCCAGTGGCCAGTTTTTGGTATAGAAATGCTTTCCCCTCTAAAAAAAAAACTAGGGTTCTTTAGAGAAATGGCTATTCCAAGTACAAACAGGAAATATATAAGGTAAGTCTAAGACATTTTGTTGTACCAGAAAACAAACCAAGCTTTGAAACATAGTTCAAAAACTAATCAATTTTTGTTAAAAGGACTTAAGAGCTAACTTTAAAGGACTCCCACTGACCCAAGCTGAAACAAAACATTATGACTCTAATTAACTAAAACACACTGAATATTTAAAAATCTATGAGTCTGTTATGATACTGGAAGAGAAAGCTGAGGGGGCAAAAAACAGGTAGAAGCAGATGACACCAATTGTGTATTCTGAATACTAGCAATTAAAATGAAAGAATGAAACATTTATCTTGTCTTTTTAGTAGGAATTATACTTTAAGAATACCAAATTGTCTGAACTAACAAGGAAAAGCTCTTCTATTTTATAGAATGTCTGTTAATAAATGTAAAAGAATAATATAATGAGAAAATTATGATTTCTGCAATTCTTAGTGAAATAATTTAATCAGGCAACAATTATCAGAGGATGCTAAAATCATTAGGAGGACTGAAGAACTTGTTATTTTTATGGGACCAAAATATCACTAAACAGTAACTAAATCACTTAATAATGGAGGTATGTGGCTGTCTTCTTTAACGTAGTTATCAATCACAACACGTGGAACAACCAGACATTCTTGAAGTGATGCAATGTAAGGTACAAAGCATTACTTATGAAGTACTGTGGCCAAGTTTAATCTGACTCTGACAAAGGCTTAAAACTAACTTTCAGTAAATGTAGGTGATAGAAGAACAAAATGACATACATGAAAAATCAGATAAATCTTTAAACATTTTTCAGAGAAAAAATAACCAAGGGGATTCTATATTAAAAAGATTTGACATGTAACATACAAATGCAATAAATGCATGATCCTTGATTGGAAACTGAGGAAATGTGAATATAATCTGGACATTAGGTAATATTAGAGAATTACTGTCAATTTTGTTAGGTATGATCAATTTATCGTGGTTATGTAGACAAAAAAAGGCTTTATTTTTTTGAGATGTACACTAAAATATTTAGGGTAGAAATTTCTGCAATTTAAACATTCCTACAAAAAACAGATGAAGCAATTATGGCAAAATGTTAGTAAGTGGTATTAATCCAGGTGGTGGGTGTTAATGATTCTATCCTATCTTCTGTATAACTGAAAATTTTCATAGTCAAAAACAAAACAAGAATCAGAAGTACCTTAAATCTTTGCAAACATCCAATTTTTTCACAAACTTCAGCCTCTATTGACAACAGCTCATTCTTTTGTTTCCCATTTTCTTTTCTAAGTTGTCGCTCCATTTCTACCAAAGTTGTATACTGCCTTATGAGTGATTTTTCATTCACTTGCAAAACAGTCATTTTTCTACTATTTTCTGAAAGTATTTTTTTCATTTCATCTGAATCCATCTGAAGAGCACTGAGCAAATTCTGCAAAAAGACATGTGGATATTACTTATTGAAATCTAGTTATCTTAGTTTATACAATATTGTATACTGATTTTAAGTGTTTTACTTACATTATATTCTTTGACTTTTATAGCATCTTGTTGGATTTGATCCTCAAGCTTTCTCTTTTCCTCTTTTATTGTGTCAGATTCCATTTTCCAGGTTTCCTTTTCACTAAAAACAAAAACAAAAGAAAGACAATATAGTAAATTTAATAATGCTTAATTATAGGAAGAGATAACTTTAGATTATAGAAATTTAAAGTTTTCTTAAAAGAGACATCATAGCTACTCAGTGTCTGATAACACAAGAAGTTAAAATTTCATTTAAATAGGTTAGCCTGAAATTCTTAAAAAATAAATCCAAGATAACAAGGTTATCAAACTATTTTCATTCTTCCTTGATTCATCACTCTAAAAGGATTACAATATAATAATTGAAGCAGAATCTTATAAACATTTTTTTGAAAATAGAGGACTAAGAAAATAATATCCCAAATGAATTCTAGATATCAGGTCTCACATTCTGATCCTACTTTTAAATTTGAGTGGTATTTACAAAATATTTAAGATACAAACAATATTTGAAATCATTAGACTTAAAAGAAGGACACAAAATTTCAGTTAGCCAGGAGGAGTAAGTTCAAGAGATCTATTGTACATCATAGTGTCTAGAGTTAATAACAATACATTATATACCTGAAAACTGCTAAGAGTCGACTTTAAGTGTTCTCAGCACAAAAAAATAAGCATGTGAGGTAATACATAAGTTAAATAGCTTGATTTAACCACTGTACTATATTTATATATACATATATATATACACACATATATACACACATAAAATACCATGTTGTACACCACAAATATACACAATATCACCCTGTCAACTAAAAAAGTAACTCAAAAATATGTTAATTAACTTTTTTAAAAGGGATGTAAGACACTATTGCCTACACAAGTGACACTCCATAATTGCCTGTAATCTGCCTGGTACATACCAATTATGATGGCATTATTCTCCTTGTCACTGAATGGTTCAAAATTAGACATATGACCTAATTCTAGATCATAAGATCTGAGTCAAAGTCAGCCAAACACCTCTGGAAAAAATGTTTAAAAATAAAGGCTGGACGTGGTGGCTTATGCCTGTAATCCTAGCACTGTGGAAGGGCGAGCTAGGCTGTGAACTAGGTGGATGCCACAGTACTCTAGCCTAGGCGACAGAGCAACACTCTGTACTAAATAGATAGACAGATAAATAAATAGACAGATAGGTAGATAGTAGCCAGGTGTGGTGGCTCACATCTGTAATCTTAGCACTCTGGGAGGCTGAGGCGGGAGGACTGCTTGAGCTCAGGAGTTGGAGACCAGCCTGAACAAGAGCAAGACCTCATCTCTACAAAAAATAGAAAAAATAGCTAGGTGTCTTGGTGCACACTTACAGTCCCAGCTACTCGAGAGGCTGAGGCAGGAAGATGGCTTGAGCCAGGAGTTTGAGGTTGCAGTGAGCTATGATGATGCCACTGCACTCTACATGTGGCAACAGAGTGAGGCACTGTCTCAAAATTAATAAATAAATTAAATTTAATTTAAATTTAAATTAAAAGTAAGGTGGAAAAAATGCTCCTCTTCTTCAATGGGCATGGTTCCATCTTCCTTAAACTCATGTAGCTGTTTTACAATCATTGTAGGCATTAACAACAATCCCTAAATATAACCTGCCCTACAACTAGCTTTGGTAAGATGAAAATCATCCTTAGAGTTTAAATTACCTTTGACAATCACCCTTAGTATTTAAATCACCTTTGATTAGGTATTCTAATTCCTACTAAAGAAATATGGCCGGGCACGGTGGCTCACGCCTGTAATCCTAGCACTCTGGGAGGCTAAGGCAGGCGGATTGCTCGAGGTCAGGAGTTCGAAACCAGCCTGAGCAAGAGCGAGACCCCGTCTCTACTATAAATAGAAAGAAATTAATTGGCCAATTAATATATATAGAAAAAATTAGCCAGGCATGGTGGCACGTGCCTGTAGTCCCAGCTACTTGGGAGGCTAAGGCAGCAGGATTGCTTGAGCCCAGGAGTTTGAGGTTGCTGTGAGCTAGGCTGACGCCAGGCGGCACTCACTGTAGCCTGGGCAAAAAAGTGAGACTGTGTCTTAAAAAAAAAACAAAAATAGAAAAAGAAAAAGAAAGAATTCCATTGATATAGATAAGATGGCAGAGATAAGGAGAAGTATGTTAGTTCCCTCTGAGCATGTAAGATTAATGATAACAATGATGATGATAAATGATGCTAAAAACAGGTGACATTTACAAACTATTTATATGTGTCATACACTCATTTGTGCATTTTCATGCAATAATAATTTACATTTCATAACAACTCTATGAAAAGGGTTATTTCCAGCACAGAAATTTACAAATAAGGAAACTGAGATACAGACAGGTAAAATAACTTGTTCAAGGTCTCATAAATAAATGTTAAAGTCTGGATTTAAACCCAGGCAGAACGAATCCAGGGTGGGCTTATAATCACTAAGCTACACTGGGTGTAGGGTGATGGGGAAAAAAGAAGACGTAAGCAGGAAATACAAAACAAAATATGTAAATTCTTTTTAAGTTACTTTCACTTTGAATAAGAATATACTGCAATTACATTTATAAAGTTTTGCTAATACCTATACCTTAGATATTCTTTATACAACAAACTTTGTTGATGACGAATCACTGCAAATTTTCGGTTATAGCTTTCAAGAGAATCTTCTAAATTCTTTAATTTCTTTTCTTTATTTTCTAGTTCCTAAAAGTTGGTTTAGAAATAAGAAAGAAAAGAAGCTTCAGAATATACTTTGAATTAGAAAGTATAAACTCATATTCTGACAAGGTTATAGAAAAGTATATAAAAGAGAAAAAAAGTCATCAACCTATAAGTAACATAGATCATTTCTAGATTATTTTGGACATTTTTAGTTTAAGGCACATGGAATGAGTAATTTGCAAAAAAGAAGCAATTTACAAGAGATAAAATAATTTTTATCATATATGATAGTTACAGTAAGCACACAAATTACCAGATACAATAGTTACCGTATGCATGAATTTTTTTATCAGAACAGTTGCAAACTCACCTCCATTCAGCTATATACCCTTTTGTGAACATATACTTTCATATCCCCACTTAAATTATTCTTTCAAATTACTTTACTTTAAAAATGAAATTAAAACTTAAAAAGACTAAGTAACTTATTCATCATCAAAAATCCATTAGCGCTACAATTGGAAACCATTTACCAAGCACATATGCCAGGCTTGGTGCCAAATACTTTCCATATAGGCAGATCCAACATTTGAGGTAGAGTCTACCTAACTCCCAAGGTCTTGCCAAGTCCTATGCTGCTTTAGGATTGAGAGACTAAGTATCTGTTTTAACACTTTGGACAGGTTTTCAAACTCTCTATTAGCTGCTCTCTAATCCACTACAATGGTTCTCATGTTTTTTTAATAAAGATGAAAAAACATGAATCTTATCTCAAACAATATAACAATGCCTACTGTCATTACTTGCTAATAGTGTCCCTATATTTCAGGAGAATGAGAGAAATCATAAAGAGTGCTAAAATTATACATTGAACTATAATGATATAACATGAATTATAAAGTAATGTTCTGATAAATAGTTAAGGTGGCCCCTACCTGACTTAGATAACATACAAACTCCAATATTTAAAAAAAGATTAATGTAATTTCCAAATACAAAAACAAGTATTTGATAATCATAACTCAAGTATATTCACCAATGGATCATCTAGCAGAAGGAAAGAGGAGTACTTATCATCAAAAACATATTTTCATTGATTCTGAATTACATTTTTGTAATTGAATTTGTAGTGTAGGTGATGTTACAAATATTTAAACTTCAAATCAAATAATAAAAAGCATCTCTCGTTAAGCCATTTATAATGACCATGATATAGATAGCAAAAATAAGAAACAAAAGCAACACAGGCACTATAGTATAGTACCCTTTCTTATTTGCTGATGGATTAACTAACCCCTTGTAGGGTAAAGGGAAGAAAAAAAGACAATTTGGCTTAACAACTTTTTCTTATGGTTAACACAAAAAAGGGAAAAATTCTGATCATAAATCTAAAAAACTTTGAAAGACTTTATTCTCTTGAATTGTTTTCCAAACAGCAGTAAATAAAAGTGCTCATCTTATTTACACATCACTACTTTATAGTAGTTGCTGCTTGTTCTACATGTCAATCATATATTTCATATGAATGACATGCATGTGAACAAGATGAATGAACATGCTTCTCATACACATAAATTGAATGGAGTAAATTGCTCTTATTTGTCACATTTGATATAACATCAAAATCCATTAATAATAGATCTCACTATTATTATTCTGAAAACCCAAAGGAATATATGCAGACTAAATTAAGAAATATACTATCAGGGATTTTTGTTATTCATATGTGAAATTTTCAGTACCTGTAAGAGATGTATTAAATATTCATTCTGAGAATTAATAATATTGGCACTAGATGGTGCTATCCCATCAGGTAAATCAACTCCTTTAAACACAACATTTGATCCTTTTGATTGTCGTAAAAGACTGGTTTCTTTTTCAAGATGATCTATCTGGAAATAAACAATCCAGTGAAGAGAATCACATCTGTTACACTCAAAGAAAGACAAACTGAAAAGCTGTAACTTATACTTCATGCTTTTTCTACTGACTACTTTTTAAAAATAGATATGTGAATGCCCTGCCAGGAATTAATTAAACCATACTTTAATTTCTACTTAGAAATGCCTAAGTATGACTTAGAATTTCTGTGTTATTTTTTATGTTATAAAGCATTTGTTTTTCCACTTAATTTTATAAGAAAAAATCCAAACAGTTTTCCTAATGTTGAAAAAATTCACGAGGTATTTCATCATAAGGCAGTTATTTAAAAAAACAAGTTTCCTATTAAATCTATGTTATTATGCTTATGCATTTTCTTTTGTTTAATAAAATTCTCACCTTTAAATTTGCTTTTGCCAACTGCTGCGAGTAATTTATAGCCTCTTTCCGAGATTCCCTGAGTTCCTGTCTTAATTCTTCATTCCTTCCAGTAAGTTGATCAACTTGAGCTTTCAAATGCAGACTGGCATCAAAGATTCCTTCTGCATTCTTTGACTCGATAGCCTAGTATAATTATATTATATATTAAAAATATAAGGAAAAACAATAAAATCATGGTTTAAAAAGTCTACCTTTAAATAAAACTGATATTTAAGCATTTTTCTCTTCCCATTGCCATACATAATAAAATATACTAATTCAAATTCTTATTTATAAATTTATAAAACTTTAATTTATATTACCAAGCATAGTAATTACTTCATTATAACAACTAACAAATATCTAGTTAATCTTAATAGGCTGGAACACTAGAAAAACAACCAAACAATAATAAAATAACTAGGGTTCGACTCTTAACCAGCCTTACTAGCTGGGCAATTGACTTAAATTCTTTATACCTTAGTTTCTTTGTCTCTAAAAAAAAGGGAAAATAATATTAGCTCTGCCCACTACACAGGGTTTTTATACAGTCAAAATGAAATAATTTATATGTAAATGCTTTTAAATTACGCAGTGTCTGAATTTAAAGCATGAACAAAGGAATGAAATAGCTACTAATTTCCAGTAAGTGAATTTTTCAGTGCTTCCTCTCTCCACAGTTGAAGCATACATGACAACAAAGGCAAGGTATGGTAACAGAGTATTATCCACAAGTACTGAATAAGCAAAAATAATATGCCAAATATTAAAATATTAGAGTGTCTTCAATTGCCTTAATTCCCAACAATGGCATACATAAATACACATATGCCACACACACATCTACACAATATATGTATATAAATTATTTGGACTTCAGAAGAATTGTAAGGAACAAAACTGTTAAAGGCAAACTAAAGGTTCAGAAATGACAGTAGAAGAAAAATAAGGTAAGATGAGAAAAAACAAATGTAATCTCCTACTCAGGAGGATCTGTGGTTTAACTCTAGGTAGTAGATTTATAAAAGCCTTCATCTGAGGGAGATCAGAGCAGGCCACACAGAGTAATAAGTTATATTTAATTCAAAGAGGATACTAGGAAGACAGAAGAACATAGAAGGAGGTACTCTGAATGACAAGGTAATCTAGTTAGTTGTCTTGTTGAGGAATAAGTACCATGTTGTCTAAATGGCCTTTTGGTAAAATGAGGTTGAATTAGATAGTGGTTCAGAGTACTAAAAAATATCCTGTATTAATATAAAGTAAACTGAGGTGCATAATGCAGAATTATTTGGTCTAAAATGTCAAGGATTCTGAAAATTTCCTAGAAAAAGGATTGCTAGAGGATTCGTGAATTTCAGAAATGGCATATGAATCAGAGAAAAAAAAAAAAAGATGACAGTCCAAAACAGAAGTAAATGAACTCTATGGAAACAGTGGTTCGGGAAAAGCCCATAGAATGTCAACAGAAATAGAAGTTATCATTTCCTGGGCTGTTTTCATTTTTTCATTTGGTCACTAAGTAGAGTTTCCCTTGTAAATGAAGTTGGATCTGGGAAACAGTATTAGTAGTGGGTGGCATGATAGACAAAAGATGTTCACATTAAAAAAACATGAAGAATCATTTCAGACATTCAAAACAAGAGGCAAAACAAAGTCACCAACCAGAAAAGTCAGAATGAGAAAAATATAATGGAAATCAAATGGTTCCCATAAATTTTGTCAAATGGTTTTCTTGCCTTAGGAAGTTTTTAACATACCAGTATCATTCTTTCTCTCTGCTAACAATTACAGATTATTAAAGTATTCAACTATTGATTAGTCACAATAAAAAAAAGCAATTTGATGAACAATTAGATTTTTTTTTCTATTTTAAATCAAGCATAAATTTGGGAAACACCATATTGTTTAGTATGCTAAATGTGTTCAAATAATGTAAATGACATATACTTAAATATTAAGAATCTAAAATATGTGTTTTATTCAAGTTTATGTAACAGTCAATACTGTGGAATACGTAAGTCCCTGTATGGTAAAATATAAATAGAATATTATTTGATGGCTAAATCTTTCCTATAGTAATAAGTCTTTAAAGATTTACAATAAAGGGCCGGGCGCGGTGGCTCACGCCTGTAATCCTAGCACTCTGGGAGGCCGAGGCAGGCGGATTGCTCAAGGTCAGGAGTTCAAAACCAGCCTGAGTGAGACCCCGTCTCTACCATAAAAATAGAAAGAAATTAATTGGCCAACTAATATATATAATATAAAAATCAGCCGGGCATGGTGGCTCGTGCCTGTAGTCCCAGCTACTCGGGAGGCTGAGGCAGGAGGATCACTTGAGCCCAGGAGTTTGAGGTTGCTGTGAGCTAGGCTGACGCCACGGCACTCACTCTAGCCTAGGCAAGAAAGCGAGACTCTGTCTCAAAAAAAAAAAAAAAAAAAAGATTTACAATAAAGCCATTCCATAAAACTTTTAGGTTTATTGCATAAGTTCCTAACAGATCTACACTCCCATATTTAAAAATAAATACAAAAGCAACTACCTAAGGGTTCTAGAAAATAAACAGAAGTAAGCACATTTTGGACTTGAAACCTGGAAGCCACGACCAGCAAAAATTGAATTTGCCATTTTTAAGGCTTTAGTTAGAGATCAAGCTATAATTGCAATGACCTATCATCTTTCTGGTCTCTAAAACTAGAGGATAGAGACCAAAGCCCCATGAAAGTGAGCAGGAAATCCCAGTAAGAAAGTCAGCAAAAAGGAGCTCCAAATTCTGTATAAAAAACTCTGGTAGGTCTCAGGCTAACCCTTGAACCAAAAGAATAAGAGGACAAAGGAAAGTGTCAGTGAACTTGAAGACAGATCAATAGTAATTATCCAATTGGTAGAAGAAAACACAAAAGATTAGGGGATTTAAAAAAAGAATAAAGCTATAGACCCTCAGGGCCTGTATGAAAATATCAAAAAATGATGCAATACTTGTGTCACTGAAGTTCCAGATAGAATGAAACAGAAAAAATTATTAAATAATGATAGAAAACCTCCCAATTGTGGTGAATAGCATAAGTGAACAGATTCAAGATGCTCAGCAAACCCCAAGAAGATACAGATACTCTCATGCACCCATAAATGCACACACACTCCTTGGCACATTACAGTCAAAACTGGTGAAAAACAAATATAAAGAAAAAGCATTGAGAGCAGCCTGAGAAAAGCTACATATTTTATACTGTGAAACAAAGATTCAAATGACTTAAAATGCCTCATAGGAAACTATGGAGAACACTATATAGTGGAACATCTTTAAAGCACTGGAGGAAAAAAACATTAACATGAAAAATTAACTTACATTAACTAGTCTTTCAAGACTAGGGATAATTAGAGATGTTTCTCCTCCTTTAACATCAGGATCTTTCTGCATTTCCTTAATGGCCTGCAATATTTCTTTCATACCTTCTTCAAGTTGCTTATTTTCTTCAAATAATTCTTTTACTGTAATTAAATAGTTTTCTCACTAAATGAAAAGATCTTTTTTCACAATTTACACTATTCTATAGAGATGATGAATATTTTACATACAGAAAAAACTAAACTCATTGGGAAATGCAAATGTAAATAAATATACAAAAACATTCAACTATAAATCCAGTGCAAACAGTTGAATTAAATAGTCAAATGTTAAACCTATTTATTAATATATGTGTGAAAATATACAACACATCTCATTACTGGAAGAAATAAATCACAAGTATACTCTTACCTTAACTTAAACTATGTATTATATTAAAAATCTTTTAAATTCGATTTTCTAACTTCATTTTAATTAGAGAACACAAAAGAAAAATTATATGTATCTTCACAAAAAATTCAGATGAATAACATTCTTTGGCAATAAAAATAGCAAGATAAACCAATAGTATGAGTGAGAGACTGAAGTATATACATTATGGAACTAATTTAGAGTAAAAAAGATTAGAAGACAAAATGTATTTAAAGTCCTTTCATAACCATGATTTTAAGCATAGAAAATATAAGTATAGAAAAATAAAAGATAACAGTAACTTACATTTATTCTGAAATTTGACTATAACTGTCCTACTTCTTTCTAAATCTCTTTCCTTTTCAAATAGTTCTCTTGAAAGAAATTCATTCTGAATAAAACAAAGAAAATAAAGTTGACTTTTTCTTTTACAAAATATCACAACAGTCTACAGTTTCCAATTTGAAAAAGTTTGATTGAAGTATATAGCACAAACAGAAAAGCTATAGAGATATAGCAGCAATCATAACAATAAAATCTAAATGGTAAAACAGATGGTGATCTTCCTCCCATCTTCTCCCTCCTCCAACCCCTTGGTAAAAAGCAAAGAAATATAATGAAGGTTTTTATCTTTAGTATCATAGTCATTTCTTTAATGGTCTACCTTTACACTACCTGTTCTGCCTGGCTTCTATGACGTTCAAGCTCTATTTCTGCATTTCTACTCTCTGCTTCTTTGATCAATAAATCCTGCGCTATGATTTCATTCTAAAGAAACATTTAATAAATTAGACAAGTCAACGAGTTCAAATCAAATGTACTGCATTTTTAGATTTTTAAAAATACAATATGTATAAATTAGTGTTAATGTGCAAACAAAAAAATTCTTATTATAATTGTTAGAGAACTTTGTTACAGAAGCCAAAAAAAAGCAATCCTAGGAATATAATTTGGAGGAAAGCTCACCTGAGATCTAAGAAATACTAGTTCTCTCCGTAGCTGTTCTATAAGATTGTCAAGAGGATCTATCTGAGATAATTTTGCTTGTGCAGTAATAGGCACAGGGTCCAGAAGATTAACCTCAAGCTTACTTTTCAAAATCTCTGTCTGTAAGGGTACTTTCCTTTTTCTTTTATCTTCTTTCAAATTGATATCAGAATACTTTATTTGAGTATGAACCTGTTCATCTTCTGATGCTGCTAACTGTGATTTATCCATGTCATCTCTATGATCGTGAATTTGTTGACAAAATATTGTAGATTTTTGCCTAAGTGATAACTTCTGCATTAAGTCTGAAGCTGTTGATAAAGCTTGAAAAGATGAATCACTTTTTTGTATGAAAGTCTTCTCTACTGTTTGATGGCTTCTTGATACTTTCTTCATATAGTCATCAGAAAGAGAGCCTAGGTAGTCATCTATTTCTTCATGGCTCTCCCTACTAAAGGTACTGACTAATGATTCTAGATTTCTTAAAGATTGTAGATAGGGTGCTTTAAAAATCTTTCTTATTGTAATAGTTTCTGGAGTTGAATTATCTTTTACTTGCACAGATGAAGAATGTCTAGTTAAAGACACAAACGGATCCACTCCACTTTCTGTACTATGATGGATTTCAGATAACATTCTTGATAATGATCCTAAGGTCATATTTTCTTCTGGCTCATTCTGATCTGATTGTGGAATACTGAATGATGGTCTCCTAGGGAGCAGCTCTATTTTATCTGAACTCCTAATCTGTATTCAGAATAAATAATGGCTCATTAATCAATCTTTGGATCAACAAGTTATTTAAATAGCAAACATTTTTCTCTACTTATTATTTAACAACTATGAAAAGAAGTAAATGTTCAAAATGAGACAAAGGGGGAAAAAATGAAAGCACTGATAATAATGTTTTCCTTTATGCTCTTTGCCATAGCGTTACTTTATTGTTTACCTTTGATTGTGCTTCATTCATATTTCTGAGGCTCATTAAATCCCATTTTGTTTCTCCTACTCTATCTTGAGAAACATTTTCAGTTAGGTTCAGGTCCTCAATGGTTAATCCTAAATATAAAAAAATTAACAAATTAAAAACATAAAAATAACTCTCCTACTATTCCAGTATTTTAATTCTTAAAAACTATAATTAAGTTTTAACCCAAACAAAAGATAGAACAATTGTTTCCAAAATCCTTGATTCACATGTAGCCAATACAAACTTCTCTCTGATCTAGCTCACTTTTAATAAGCTATTAATAATGTGAGAAACTAATTTGAATTTTTTCTTCTCTACCATTCTTTGCCCATTCTACATTAAAGTGCTAATTAATAGGCACAAAAGGAGTTAAAAGATACATAAAGTATCTTTAAGTAAAAATTATGAATGAGTAAACTTACTATACTAATAAATTATGAAGTTCCACTTCTACAGAAAATTTTTGGTGTATTATATTAACCACAATGCTAAAAAACCTCTCTGCTCATATTCTTAGATGTACTATTAGACTTGGGGAAAAAACTTCCTTCTCTATGGTCTTCTAACAAAAATGCACTGCAATGGCTAGTATAAAACTTAACTAAATGTTCTCTTTATTTCAAGTAAAATAAAACAAAAAAGGATGCTAATTTATATTCAATAAAATATTACTTTCACATAGTAAAGAATAACTTACAAAGATTTTCAATGCATAGCCCTTAACAAAAGGAAAAATATTAAGAACACACATTAACATAAAAATTACTAAGTGTTATCATTCATATTCACAAAATAGTATATTTATGATGTACAACATATTGGGGCTATCTAGAATTTAAGACTATAATATAAACTTTTCATAACTCTACAATTGTTCGGTTCATTTTCATCTGCTTATTGTTTTTTACCTGTTTCATATTCAGGGCTGAACCCAATGATACACACTTATCTCTTCTTCAAGCCACTTATTTTCATTCATTAAACTTGTAGCAGAATCACAGTAATGTATTAATAGCAAAAATAATATACAAAAAATTCCAGATCTAGACAACTCACTTCCCAGTGATTTTTTTTAAAGGTTTGGAATAACTGAGTATACCTGAAGTTACACTTCTTTTTCCTCTTTCTTGAGCCATCTGACGAATTTTTTTTTTCAAATCAATTCGTTCCTCCTCCAGACTTTCAATCTGCAAAGTATGAATTATTAGTATTTCTCTTTAGTTCAACCAAGAAAATAATCAACTGACCAACATACTTGCCTCTTTCAAAAGAACCTGGTTTTCAGCTCTGTACTGCTGCTGTTTTAAACGTTTACTATTTCTAAATTCAGTTAAGTCAATCATTGTCTTTGGTTCAAGGCCTAAAGTAAAAAGAAATATAATTAAAAATTTAATAACATTCAAATAAACTACAAAAATTCATATACCATCAAGCATCTGGTTATAATTCATATAGCCAATATCACTGAAGAATGGGGTACTCTTTGTGTAAAAATTTTCCAGATACTTGAACTATAACCTAAGTTAAAATTGTATCGCAATTATTAATGGCAATCCTGAAAAAACCTAAAGCAAATTATAAACCAAGATTTGGAGCCTTTTAAACACAGAAAATAAGGGTTTGAGACAGCTATCTAGATTGGTCAGAGTTATCGTTAAGAACTTCCAGATTCCCGCCCGGCGCGGTGGCTCACCCCTGTAATCCCAGCACTCTGGGAGGCCGAGGCGGGCGGATTGCTCGAGGTCAGGAGTTCAAAACCAGCCTGAGCGAGACCCCGTCTCTACTATAAAAATAGAAAAAAATTAATTGGCCAACTAATATATATAGAAAAAAATTAGCCGGGCATGGTGGCACATGCCTGTAGTCCCAGCTACTCATGAGGCTGAGACAGGAGGATTGCTTGAGCCCAGGAGTTTGAGGTTGCTGTGAGCTAGGCTGATGCCACGGCACTCACTCTAGCCTGGGCAACAAAACAAGACTGTCTCAAAAAAAGAAAAAGAACTTCCAGATTCCTGGCTATGTGTAATCTGACAGGTCGAGTTGATCAGAAGTCTGACTTGAGGTCCTATTATAACTCTGGGTCTTTGTTAGACAGACATCTTTACAAATATATAATCTCTATAAAATATTTATGTTTCCTTCCTCTAGAGAAAAGATTTTACAGATTGTCATTTTAACTAAGAAAGCATTAACTGAAATTTAGCAACTTTAATAAAAATCAGTATTTAGATATTGATTTTCATTTTAAAGATGCAGCAACTCTGAACGTCATAACATTCAAACTAGTAACATTCACTAATAAACTATTTATTGAATTCAATATATAAACTCTCAAGCTATATTTACTAATTATCAATACTTTGCAGAATCAATGGAAACTATAAAATACTCAACCTAAGTAAAACGTAAGCAGTCTAGATTTTAAAAGTACTTAAGAGTCTTTAAAAACTTTAAAAAGTATTTTTAAATATCTTCAATGAATTCATATTCATTAACGCATTCTGCAAAAACATGGCATTCTGCAAACAAACATGGTCATACAGACAAGACCGTGCTTTTGCTAAAAAAAAAAAGGTTAACTTCTAATATGTGGTATTAATATAATAGACTAATTTTTTTAAACAAGCAGTTATTATTGCGCAGATGCTAGAATAAAACAATGTTTAAGGCCTGCCCACTCACCATTAAAATCCCATCAAATCCCCAATTTCACTTCAATCAGAGCAACTCCACTGTTGTTTTAAATGTTTTGAGAGAAGTATTTATTGGAAAAAAAGCATTTAACTACTTAAAAATAGTAATAATAAATAAACAAAAAGTAAAGCAAAGAAAGACTTGAACATCAGAGTTGAACAAACTACATAACTTAAAAATTGGCTTACCCAAACGCTCTCTAAGTGCCTCATTTTCATCAAGGAAATCATTTATCTTCAACTCAAGTTTATTGATTTCCTGTGTCAATACTTCAATCTCTCGATCTCTTATTTTAATTTGGTTTTTACAATTCTTTATTTCAACAACAGCATCTTCTAAACCATATACTCCCTGAAAAATATCCAATCTAATTTAAATATAACATTGTTTATTTGAATACATGTATCAAATGCATGAATTTTTATTAAGTCTAAGGGAAAATACACATATACCTAGAATTATACATCACTAAACTGTGTTTTTTATTGTGATTTTATAAATCCAATATAGTAATAATGATGATGATGGAATGTGGGACAGTCCAAACTTTCCAGTAAAACATCCTAATAGCAAAGTGACTCAGAATATGTATTACATATAAAAAACACTTAATACTTAATAAAACACAGAGAAAGAATAGTAAAAGAGAATCGGCAATACCAATAGAATATGTATGTCATTAGTTGCCTAACTTAGTTGTAATAAATTAAAAAGTACAAAAAGTACAAAGCAAGTTGTGCTAACACAGTAGGCAACAAAACTGTCCCTGTCACACATTTTATCAACCTAGCCAGTGGTGTCATATCTACATGGTGGCAAGAAGGACACATATAACAAAGAATCTAATTCTGCTGTCTCACCAAAGCTGATTATTTGGGCAAAATGCCCTGATCAAAAAGCTTGAAAACAATTCTCCTGCCAAAAAATGCCCAAAAGTTTAAATAGCTTCATAAAAATTAATTAGGGTAACCCTTATCAAAATATATTCATAGAACATTTTTTAGATGGTATAAACAGCACAGAATACTCTAACCGTGAGTGGCAAGAATAATTCTAAGCTTCCTGATTGACAAGATAAAAATACATACCGATTCATAATCTTTTAATCGCTTCAGAGCCTCAACTAATTCTTTATCCTTTTCCCTAGCATCAGCCTCAGCCAGTTCAGCTGTTCTCTCAGCCTCTTTAGTTTTCTCTTCTAAAATTTGTACCTTTGACTGAATTTTCATGTAATGACTCTGTTGAGAAAGAGTGGAAGCACCTACAGAGTAAAAACAAAAATCATGAATTAACTGAATTGCATATTCATTCCTTCAAATAAGTGGTTCCAATATGGAGGCAAGAGAAGTAGAATGCCACATAAAAAAGCTCCCTTAATGTTACAATTTCATACTTGTAAGATGAAAGTTTTATTCTGGTTTTATTAATAAAATTAACTAAAAAAGTGAGTTCAGTAAAATCTTCTTAGCTAAAAGGGTACAGATTACAAAAGGCTACAAAACACTGCTTTACAAAGATCAACTTTGTTTATACCACAGAGAAATAAATTTCTATCTTGTTTAAACCATTGTTCTATAATTGATTTATTTTTTTGTCGCTTATAGCTATACTTAATCCTGAACTAAAAAGTTCCTAAATCACTACTTGTATTATCTTACAAAATTGTTACTAGACAAAATATTCCTATCATTCTAAAATTTACTGACATAGATCTTCCTCACACTCATCTATAAATAAACATTTAGTAATAAACATTTACCATTCTATATGGCATACACCTACCTACATTGGACTTACGCTATACATTGGACTAGTGTAGGAGATCACACATTTTCCTCACACTCATCTATAAATAAACATTTAGTAATAAACATTTACCATTCTATATGGCATACACCTACCTACATTGGACTTACGCTATACATTGGACTAGTGTAGGAGATCACACAAGTTTTTAAAAATGAGCCCTGCTCTCTGGAGCTAACAGCCTAGCTGTGGAACATAAGAAGGCTGAGTTGTCCTCCGGTACCCATTCTCCCTTTCTTCCACGTGGCCCTCCACAATAAAAACTATATTTGCCCACCTATCCTTCAGCACATGATTTTGTCTCTTGCCCTCTCTTTCTCTATCTTGCTGTTTGGGATAAAGACATGATTGTAAAGCTCCATTCCGGATGGGGCAGATGAAGGCAACATCCGGGACTGCCTAATTTTAGGCCACCGTGACACAAATGAGAAATAAACTATCTTGATTTTGCCACTGTTCTTCATATTTCTGCTGGTGATACTTAAACCTAATCCTAGCCAATGAAGGAAGGACACCATTAGCCATAGATACATCTATGTATCTACTTATAGATACCTAGATACTCTGTATCTATCTGTAGGTACAGAGTATAGTCTAGTAGACATGCCTTCTTTGAGTTTTAAGGTTATATGACTATGTATGGACCAAAATGTCATTAGATAAGACCTTTTCCTTATTTGATAGCAAACATCAATCACTACTTTCCTCCTGGTGACTGGAATATGTAAAATCCACACTATCAGTCATCCTTTTAAAGCAGTTTAAACTTCTGTCAAAGTATTCTAATACAAACATAATACACACAGAGAGTGGGCCCATATATAAGTGGACCCTTGATACCATTCAACAGTTACAGTACACCTCCCAAGTCTTCATGCTTTCATACAATCATTTTATACTTTCTCTCCTCTTTTCTCTCCTCAAACTTGTGATATATCTTCCCCCACTCTCACTTTCAGCTCAGAACTTTGCTTCCTTATTCACTGAGAAAAAAGCAGCAATCAGTAGAGAACTTCTACAAGCTCCCCCAACTAAGACATCAACCCAGCCACCAGCATCTGTCTCTATACACTCTATCTACTTTCTGTAATTATGGATGAACTCTCTGTGTTCCTAGTTAAGGCTAGGATTGATGTTTGCTATCAAACCTCTTCACTGGTACAGTAGAATCCATCCCACTGCCTTCTCCAGGATATTGCTCCAGAAGTTCCCTACCTCCTCTGCTTCACCAATTCATCAAATGTTTCTTCTTTAATGGAACTTTCACATGAACCTAGAATCATGAGTTATTTCTTCCATCTTAAAGAGAAAAATATAGCCAGGCATGGTGCCTCAACAGCTATAATCATAGCACCTGGGAGGCTAAGATGGGAAGATCACTTGAGGCCAGGAGTTTGAGACCAGTCTGCGAAATAGAATAAGGCCCCCATCTCTACAAAAATTTTTTTAAAAAATAAAAAAAATTAGCCAGGAGTGGGGGCATGTGGCTTTAGTCCTTGCTACGTGGGAGATTGAAACAGGAGGATCGATTGAGTGCAAGAGTTTATGATTATAGTGAACTATGCCATGCCACTGCACTCCACCCTAGGTGACAGAGTGAGGTCCTGTCTCTTAAAAAAAAAAAAAAATTAAATTTAAAAAGAGAGAGAGAAAAAATCCTTTTAAAATCTCTTTTCTTTCTCAATCTCCTTCCCTTTATAGAAACAGTCCTGGAAAAGAGATCCTATATTTCTTCTCCCCATTTCCTCTTTATCCATTTTCTCTAGATCCAAAAATGACCATTGCTAAGCCCAACAGTCAATTGTCAGTGCTCATCTTAACCTATCAGCAGCAATGAACACATCTCTGACCACAGTTGTTTATTTTTCCTTGATTACATTCCTCATGTGGTTTTCAGCACCCTCCACATTCCTGGTTTTCTTCCCATTTCACTGGCCATATCTTTTCAGTCTCATTTGGTTGTTCCTTTTCACCTCCTCAGCCTCTGAAGTAGAAGTATCCCAGGCCTCACTCTTTAGATTTTTCTTCCTAACCAACATTCATTCCCTTGATGATCTTAGCTAACCTCATAACTTCAAATACTACTTTGGTGGAGATGGTTCCCAATTATCTTTAGCCTAGATTGTTCTTCTAAACCTCAGACTTTTATACACAAGTGCCTACTTAACACTTCACCTCAATATCTAAAAAGCATCTGAAACTTCATGCCCAAAACTAATTACCTAATTGTCTTTAACCTGCTCTTCCCACAACCCTCCCCAGTGTTCAAACCAAAAGTCTTAACTCTTTCTCTCACATCCTACATAACTGATCTGTTAGAAAATTCCATTTCTATCACCTTCAAAATACATCCAGAACAGGCTACATCTAATAACTTCACTGCTACCACCATGCTCCAAACTATCATCAACTCTCTCCAGATTACTGCAATAGTATTATAACAGATGTCCCTGCTTCTGTAATTACTACTGCTACAGTCTATCGCAGACAACAGCCTAAGTCAAATTATATCATCCTTATCTTTAGAAACTGCCTTTGGTGCCCCTTCTCACTTAAAATAAAAACCAAAGTCCTTACAATGAACAGTAAGGCCCCATATGATAATGGTCTCTGGTTACCTCTCTGATCTTATCCCTTCTCACTCAGTACAGTGAGTACTTCACTTGCTCACTCTACTTCAGCCACAAAGTCTTCTTTGTTGTTCCTTGAACATGCCTAGTACACTCCTTCTTCAGTGCTTCTTCAGTGCACTTATTCCCACTGCTTAGAGCTATCTGTATGACTAGTTTCCTTACTTCAATTACCTCTTCAGTGAGCCTTCTGCCTCACTGTCTAAATTACAACTCTACCTCCAAACACCACCATCAGCACTACCCTTACACACATACAGACTCACTACTTCTCCTTCATGTCTTTTTTATCTTTAGCAATTATAATAAATATGTCCATGAATTTATCATGAATAGCTGGCCCTAGTGTGCCCTGTATAACTATGGTATGTAGTACTATGGAATTATAATACCATGGATGTTGTGAGGGCTTATATGCAGAGGATTCGATGTGTTAGTAAGGCAGTACTAACACAAGGTAGTATAATTCATGGTAAGGAGAATATGATGAGATATTAATTTGGGTAAGATTAATCCAAATGCTGACATGTCAAATTACTTCTGAAAACTATCTGCAATGCCACTGTACTGATCAAAATTTTACTATCCTCTATTCTTAGTTAATTATAAAAAGGTTAAATAAAATAATTATACCACCATTTTTCATTTCTTTCATACAACCAATCTGGTAATAGAGTTAATATAATTTTCATCAGAGGAGAAAAATTATAGAAAACACATCCACTATTTACAAATTTAAGCTCTAGTAATATATGTAATTAGTAATACCCTGTATAATTTTTTGAAAATATGAAATTCAAATGAAGAGACCTCAATAATGTATCTATTGACATGACCTGATTTTATTTTAATAAAAATAAGATACTTTAAAAACATAATGGCATATAAAATAACCTTTATATACTTTTAATATATTTAATTACCTTTGTTTCTGTCGAGCTCATTTTTTAAATCTTCAATAATAAAAGTATTTTTTTCCATATCTTTCGTATATTGTTCTACTTGTTCAGTGAGCATCTTAATTTGACTGTCTCGTTCCTGTATACCCTATAAAATATTTTAAAACATTACACAGTAACATATATTTTAAATGAAAAGGAAAAGGTAGGTCTCATATTTTTCAACAATACTGTAGAATATATTTTCCTATAGGTAAAACTATGCCTTTTATTATTTTTTACATCTTAAATGCACAACACAGTATTAGGTATACTGCTGTCACTCCAACACTGAAAGATGGATATAATGGCTAACACTCTGGCAAATAGGAATTCTAGAACTCTCTAATATTTGTAGCTTCTTTCAACTCCTTAGGTGTCACTTTTCCTCATCAACCACTGAATTTTATCTTTTACCATTTTGTATGTTTGGGCTTTGCCTTGTGCTTTCTCTTTTGTTCCACTTACCTTTTACCCCTTTAGAACTTCACACAAAAATATTGCCCCCTGCATCGTTCTTATTCTCCAAATATTTCTCAATCTTCCTTACTTCTGGACTGTGATTACAGCACTGATGATGACTTCTTTCTATGTGAGTATATTTTCACTAAAATATTTTCACAATCAAATTATAAGCACACTTTTAGCTTATTTCACATTGTATAGGCCATGTCAGGACTAAGATACAACATAATAAACCTTAATAACAGAGTATTAAGATATTTTAAAATTTCTGAAAGTTTTTAAGTTTCTTATTAAATAATTCCTAACTGAAACAATGTATTATCCATGTCAACATAGAAAAATAAACAAAATAATTTAGTCCTAATTCTAACCCTAATTCTAAAGTTAATTCTAAATTTTTCCTGGAGACTAGATGGTAAGAAATTTCAAAAGACTTTATTATACACCTAGGAGTGTAAACCACTAGATTAGGCACAGATGATATATTTAATAATAAAAAAGACATTGTTCAGAGTTCCAACTTTAATAAAACTGGTTGATAAACCAAATTTTGAGAAGATTTTACCTGTTGTAGAGCCATAACATTACTTTTATTAGCATCAAGCTGGGCATTTTTAAGTTTCTCTCTCAGGTTATGTAACATTTGCTGATATTCAATAATTTCATCATCTTTAGAAGACAAAATTAACTAGAAAATAAACAAAATAGGATCTGTTATATAAAATAAAAATTAATAAAATATTCCTCATTATGATAAATAATATATAACACTAGTACATTTAAGAAACTACAGGAAATAAAATTCTTTGAAGTGAGAAAGTATCAGCAACTACTGATACAATCTTTATTTCTTTAGTATATACAACTTGAAGTTCCAACAGGAAATGATTCAAAAATATACACTGTAATTTTCTCTTTTTGAGAATCAATCTTTCAAAATTCATTTCTAAATAAAAAGTTATAAGTATCTCCATAAAACTACAAAAAGTTTCACATAATTGATCTTTAAGAAGTTAACATTAAGTATCTTGAATGAATGAAAGGAAAAGTACCTTGTGTTCTTAGTTAAAAGGACCAAATATCATAAAAATTTTTATCCCAAATGAATCTATAAATCAATTTATAATTTTAATACATACTCAATAAAATAATAAACAAGATATTTTATAAAAATTGAACAAGCTTTGTTCTTTTCACATTAAAATTCACATTAAAAATGTTCATAAATCTAAAATCAGGCTGGGCGTGCTGACTCAGGCATATAATCCTAGCTCTCTGGGAGGCTGAGATGGGAAGATCACTTGAGGTCAGGAGTTCAAGACCAGCCTGAGCAAGAGCGAGACCTCGTCTTTACTAAAAAATAATAATAATAGGCCGGGCGCTGTGGCTCACGCCTGTAATCCTAGCTCTTGGGAGGCCGAGGCGGGCAGATTGCTCAAGGTCAGGAGTTCAAAACCAGCCTGAGCAAGAGTGAGACCCCGTCTCTACTATAAATAGAAAGAAATTAATTGGCCAACTGATATATATATAAAAAATTAGCCGGGCATGGTGGCACATGCCTGTAGTCCCAGCTACTCGGGAGGCTGAGGCAGGAGGATCGCTTGAGCCCAGGAGTTTGAGGTTGCTGTGAGCTAGGCTGACGCCACGGCACTCACTCTAGCCTGGACAACAAAGCGAAACTCTGTCTCAAAAAAAAAAAAAAAAATAAAATAATAATAATAATAATAATAATAAAAAAGAAATTAGCCAGACAACTAAAAATATAAAAAAATTAGCTGGGCATGGTGGTACACGCCTGTAGTTCCAGCTACTCTAGATGCTGAGGCAGGAGGATGGCTTGAGCCCAGGAGTTTGAGGTTGCTGTGAGCTAGGCTAATGCCATAGCACTCTAGCCCAAAAAAAAAAAAAAAAAAAAAATCTAAAATCAGAAAAATAATAAGATTAGCTTTTAGATATTAAGACATGTAATAATTAAAATGAGTATATATGATTAGAAAATAGATCAATTGAATAAAAGAGAGTCCAAAATTACATCCAAATTCAACAGGAATTTTGTATGTAATAAAAATGGAACTCTATTTCAGTAAGAGAAAATAATATATGATGTCTGGACAACAGAGTAGCTCTGTCACATCCACATTACACTCTTTATACCAAAATGAATTATATGGGTTTCTATGTTTTAAATGTAAAAGGAAAAATAAAAAGATATTAGGAGAAATGGTGAGAAAACAAGTTTATACTTATTGAAGCTTTAATTATGGCACAAAGGCTAAAAGCCATTAAAAAACAATAAATTTAACTATTAAATATAAAAAAAATATTTCATAGAAAAAAATACCATAAGGAAAAAACAAGTGACAAACTGGAAGAATGTGTTTGCAGCATATATCACAATTACACTTGTAGCAATTTATTTGACAGATATACTTACACATTTTCAAAATAACATTTATATAGGGACATCATTAAAACACTGTAACAGCAAAAATTGGAAACCTCATAAACCTCACATAATAGGAAATCAATTATCAAATAATATATGTATTTCCAAAGAAAAATTACATACCCATTGAAAAGAACAAAGCAATATTATAGGTACTGATATAAAATAATTACCAAAAGATATTAGGTAAGAATACATATAACATGCTATCATTTGCCCCCACAAAATTAAATATGGTAAAAACAACTGTTTCTTTCAGGGGTTTGTAAACAAACTATGGCCAACATGTCAAATCTGGCCTGCCACCTGTTTTTGTAAATAAAGTTTTAGTAACAGCAGTTCTGTTCACTCATTTAAGTATTGGCTATGGCTGCTTTCATGCTATAACAGCAGAGTTCAGTAATTATACTGGAGACCAGATGGTCTAAAATATTTACCCTCTGATCCTTTACATAAAGTTGACTAACCTCTGATTGATTCCAAAAGCCTCATTCCATTGCTACTACTTTTGTTTAAAATATAGGTTATGTGAGCTTCTCATATGATAACCAATTTAAAGTGCTAACAAGACTTATATATCCCCACTAGAAGCAATGACTCTAGAAGTGGTAGCTTTTAAAATTAGAATTATTCATTCAGAATCATCTCCAATGTTTTTCAAGTATACAACCATTATAATCTCAGCTTCTGACATGGTGAGACCAGGGAATTTGGTTGAGGTTGGACAGTGGTGAGGAGGGAGAGGTGTATTTTGAAAAAGTTCCCCAAATGATTCTGATAGATCTCTTTGCTTACTCCTATTCGCACTGATTAATCTGACATGAAAGACAAGATTTGAAAAAACTAAAGTTAAATCTGGAACTATACAACTAATACATATAATACAAAGTAACTATGAGTTAAGTAAAAAATTCAATTATATTTAGAATTATATAATTAGATGACAAATATATTTTGGACTTAGAAGTCTACCAAAATGTTTAACGTTCAACTCATTGATTTAGAAGAGTTTATGCAATAATAAATTAGCTAGAGGAGTGCATAGGTTTTAGAGCTTCTTTAGCTAAGAAATATAATAAACTTTTTAAAAACCCTAATAAAAATGTTATTAACTAGTCTAAGGCCTTTAAATAAAAATAAGACTATATTTTAAGTCTAAACTACAAAATGAAAAAGCTATTATATCAATTGAGAAAAGTACCTTCCATTCTTCTACTTTTGCATTGACAGCTACCATGACTGGATCATCTTCTTCATTTTTTGCTTTCAGAAGATCTGTAAGCTCCTGGACCTAAAATACAACAGTTATTTCAAGAATTGATGCAAACTAGTATATTTATTACATATGCATATTTATATATACATTATATAAATACATATATACATACATATGCATAATTATTACATATATGTGCATGTATTTGCATACACACATATGTACATGCAGACACGTTTCTGTATGCACATATATACAGATACATTACATTACATATACCTATTTGTTATTAGAGTAGTCCTGGAGATAAAGATGACTTTTAACGGTTTTTGCATCTTTATAGTGACATAATTATCTTTCATTACTAGAGAATTATATTTTTAAACATTATTCTACTTTTTAATACCACATAAATAACAAAGAATGCATTGGTTTCTAATATATTTATATTATATTTATTTTTAAGATAAAATTAAATTTTAGGACTTCCAAGAATCTTTTGTAGAAAATTCCTACAATTATGAGATTTATAGGATTGTTGTCTACACATTTATTCAAGCACCATTTATATACCTCAGATGACAAGAATTACAAAGTGTTTGTGAGGGGATTAGAGAAACACATATGAATAAATATGTTATTAACATAGCAAAATATTACAATATTGAGACTACAGACAAAAATTTACATTGCAGAAAGTTAAAGTACTTTCTAGTTTCAAATAAATAGTAATAAGACAATATAAAGTTTGTATAAAAAAGTCATTCTAACAGTAATTCTTACTTGAAGTCGATAATGATCATTTTCTTTTTTTAATTGGTCCATTCTATTATCTGTCTGATGCACAATAGCTTTCATTCTATTATATTCATCAGTCATTTTCTCCATTTCTTGTACAGACTCTTCTAGATTTTTTCTCATTTCTTCATTTTGAACTTCAATTCTCTCATTAGCTTCTGTTAAAGTCTAAACCAGTTTAAAAGCATTAGGTTAAAAAATAATTTTTTAAAGAAACTGAAATTTAAACCAAATTAAAACTAAATGGAGCCATAAGTGTCCACTGGAAAAAAAATAATTCTTTATGAACTTTTACTCTAAATTGGTGTTGACCAATTAATTCAAAGTAAATATCAAGAAAATTGTACATAAGGCCCCCAATTGTTCTTTATATCCAATATAGGCACATATAAAAACAATGACTAAACAATTGTAACTTCAAAGATGCAATTTATATCATGTTTTACAAATACATAGTTTCAGATTTACACTAGAATTTACATGTAGGGCTAAATATTCAATTTACATTATAATGAAATTTAAGTTTTGTAAGAATCATTGTTCTGAACCCATTTCTATTCATTTTACCTGAATTTCATCTAGATATTGGACAAGTTCATAGTTTTTTTTAGACAACTGTGATCGGTAGTCACTGTCTTCTCCTCTTCTTGATAAAAGTGTTTCTTTTTGTGAATCTATTTGTTTCTGGTAGTCCATAACATCCTGTCGAAGCTGTTCATTCTAAAAGTAGACCAAAGACAATAATCCATCAAGAACTATTCATTCATTGTAAAGAAACAAATTTACATTTTCTAAATAGTGCTCTCAGAACATATCCTTAAATTCCCAAGGTTTCACCACCCTTAAAGCCTCACCTTTTTCTTTAGACGTTTGTTCTCCAGAAAGGACAGGAAAAAGGTAATTAGAAATGAGAAAGGCAATACATAATTAAAAATAATAATTAGAAATTAAAAAGAACAAAAAGGAAATTTTAGGAAAATGAGTTTTATTATTTTGAATAACTAAAGAAAGTGACAATGTTAATTATCAACCAAAACAAAGAACATTTTGATTAAGTTAGAAACTTAAGAACTCTTATCAGAATGAACAATATACAAACATTATTTGGCTCAGAAGAACCAAATAATGCTCAGAATTTATGAGATTTTATGAGTAACAAAAATTTTAAAAGAATTCTGGGTAAAATAAGAGAAATAAGAACAGAAATCCAATAATCTATTCAATGAGCAAACTAACACAGAATAGCTTAAAAAACAGAAAGAAAGATATACCCACATGGATCTAAGAGATGAATGTAGTACTTAATGGCCTCACATTTTAATTTGTTTTCTAATTTCCTGAGACAAAGTCATATCCTAAAACCAGCCAGTTTGAAAACATCAGTTACTTAGAAGATTCCAGTTCTAGTTATAATACAAATTTATGTAAACTTTTTAAACAAGTATCTTCGTTGAACCACAACTACTAAAATTTTTTACCAACCTCTCTTCTTAATTTGCTGTTTTCATTTTCTGCCTCCTCATTTCGAAGAGCCAACTAAAATAAAAAAAGGTAAAATTCAAGAGCAATTTAATATAAAATTAGGTATTTAGTAACTGATTTAAATTTTAAATCCTCTTTAATAAAGTAGAGAAGTTTTAACTACTAAGGACTTTCTATCTACCTAATACATAAATAAATAATAGGCCAAAAATTCAAAAACTAAGGATTAGGAGGGATAAAACAGGTTCAGTTTAAAAGATTAAACACACACACACACACACACCCCTCTAACCAAAAGATATAGAAACAAACAAATAAATCATCCCCTTTCCCCTACTAAACAACCCTAATAAAATGAGTGGTTTTCTCTCCAAGATCTTCACATTTCACCATTCTTCTATGTCATAGCTAGACTATTCTTTGCTCTAAGTGAGATTTAAATTACTTAAAAATACAAGGCAGTGCAACGTCAGGGTTAAAAGAAGCAATCTGAAATCAGACTGGCCTAGGTTTCTATCCCTTGTCTGACAATTTCTATGGATATTGGAAGTGGGGGACTATGAAGGATATTATTGAGGCAATAGAGAAAATCTGATTGTGGACCAGATTAGATAATAGTATTGAATCAATATTAAATTTTCTTAGCATAATAATTATATTGTAGTTATACAGGAGGATACTCTTTTTTTTCAGAGAGACATACAGAAATATTTAACTATGAAATATCATGATATCTTAACTCAAATGGCTCAGCAAAACAAAAAAGAGAGAAAGAGAAATATATCTGTGTGTACAATATATCTGTGTGACAGAAAGATAAAGGAAATGTGGCACAATGTTAACAACTGGTGAATCTATATGAAAGGAATATGGGTGTTTATTGTTTTTCTTTTAATCTTTCCGAAGGTATGACATTTTTCAGAAAGCTGCCTTACAATAACTTCAATAATATCTATGCTGACAACCCATAAACCCTCATTATCTACCCAGTGTCTCTTGAGAATTCCATATCTACAGATAACCTTTTTGAATATGCCCACAAGGACTTCAAACTCAACATGTACAAAATTGAAATAATAATCTCAAACCTTCCAAAGTCCTCTTGTTCTCCTTTTTAGCGAATGGCACAATTTACCTATTTTGTGGCCCAACCCACAAAATTAAGCAGAATTTCCTTTCTCTATTCTCCTCTAACAACCAATAATTCATCACAACTAATTACATCTGCTTCACTCAAACATGTCTATGTCCCTTAATACTCTCAGTCATTACCTTAATTAGGCCATTATTAGCACTTACCTGAATCAACACAAATATCTCCTTACTAGTCTTGGTCCCCTTCAATACACACTCTACAAAGCACAGTAAACTTTAAAAGTATAGTATATCCTGTGCTCAAAAAACTCTTTCTGTGTCTCAATTTCTTCATCTGTAGTATAGTAGATAGAAATGACCTATCCCATAGGATAAGTGTCAAATAAGGAATAATGAATTAATGCATATAAAGTATCTGGCTCATAGTAAGGACTCTATGGAAACTATTTTTATCTGTATTCTAGCCAAATGAATAAATGTAGTTTCCTGACTATACCATAATATCTCTTACTTTAACAATGTGTCTTCTACCCAGAATGTTCTTTCCTTAACCACCATGTTCATCCACATCCCCCATGCCAGGCTGACTTCTACTTCAGGCCTCAGTTTACATACATATCACTTCTTGAACTCCATAATTCATTTAGGTATCCCTCCTCAGAGTACCCTAGGATACATCCTTGTGTCCCCTTAAGTATATTATCCTTATGTTATGCTTGTTAGTGCTATGAATATCCTTGAGAACCAGAATATAGTTGCCCACTGTATTTCTAGTAACCAGTACAGTCTCTGACATGCTATAAATACTAAATATGACTGAATGACTGTTAAAGGAGAAGGAAAGAATTTCCAGCCTAAATCCATATTCCATCTCAAGGATTCTAGCAGCTAGAAATGTATATCAGCCATATATTGAAGTATTCTCTGTGTGTGCACCTGTGAACAAAGTATTCTAAGACATGAATGGAAACGGTAGTTCTGATTAGCTAAAAGTGTGTGGTATGAATGCTAAGTAAACTGATATATAGCCTAGATAAAAGAACAAAGGACCAAAAAACCAGACATCCTCCTAAATAATTCTATAAGTGAATAAAATAGGTTGGACCCTTTACAGTTGCTAAAAAATGCATAAGTATGTTATGTTTTGCTGAGTCAACTAACCAGATAATCTTCTAAGAGTTTATTACTAACCTTTTAGGTAGCATCAATGCATACTTTTTCCACTACAAAAACTGTATTGATAACTAACTTTTAAATGATTCTTCTAAATTAGAGAGTAAAATAGATATATCAAGAATGGGGATATTTTTCCCTACAAATCAATTTATGATAGATTTTCTTTAAATAGCAGTATCATCTGATAATCATTGTTGTTTACTTAAAATTTATAACCCTCGATTTCTGACAGAACAATGGACAAAATAAGAGATATAATACAGCAGTTACCTTCTAAAAGACACAAAGGTAGAAAATGCTGCTGGCTATCAGCGATGGAAGAGTTATCAGTTAGGTACCAAATTTGTACTAAGTTTACTGACAGCTAAGGTAAAATAAGAATTGTTAAATAAACATTAAATAGGTATGCTAAATAAATAAATAAAATACTGACTAAGAATCTGAAGTAAAATAGACTTTTCTACCCGGAAATACAAATTTATCTGCAGAAAACAACTTTTTCCTAAAATTAAATTTAAGTGAATTATTTTATGACTAATAAGAAATAACTAAGGGGTAATAACAAAATATGCTAGTATTAGAAAGTCATGATTTTAAATAGGAATGATTTATAAAATACTGGCATTAAAACAACTTTGCAAGAATGTATATATACTACATAAAGTAAGGTAGATCTGAAAACAAGGAATTTAACCATTATCAAAGACATCATTAAAAAGTTCATTTCCAAATCTCCTTCTAGTATAAATATGTTAAAACAAATAAATATAACTTTTATGCAAAATCAACTATGATAGTAAAAATCACTTTACGAATGACTGTTAATTTCTTAATACCAATATTCAAGACCAAAGCATAAATTTTATGTATGTTATAATTTTAATGTCCTAAGAAAAGTGTACCTCCAAACATAAAGAATTAATCTCCAAGTCATATTAATGAGAAGTATCAGATCCATTATATTTTAAAGTTGTGATGACAAAATGAACAGTGATATAAAACCTTCGAGATAAGTATGCATCATTCCTCAACTATACAACATAAAAACTGATACTATAACCAGTAACTGCAGAAAACAAAAGCAGGTGTTCTAACTGAAGTAACATGAATAGTTAAGATTCATTGAAAAAAAAGTGTTTTACTTGTTCATTAACTTTCTTCTCTTTCTCCAACTCCTTTTCTATGTCCTCCAATTCTCTATCTTTTTGTTCCAATTGCTTTTCAAGTTGGCGAATTTCATCACGTAAAAACCGAGTGTCCCGTCCACCTACAGACTGCTGAGCCATCTTAAAGCAATAAATCAAAAGTATAAATTAATCCTATTACATTTAGAGGTTTGACTTTAAATTTTTATTATACTTTAGCACAGATGTTTAAAATCAGATTAGCTTAAGGACCACTTTTTTAAAAATTCAACTTACACAAACTTTAGTTCACAGGCTGACAACTCCTTAAGCTCTCCCTGAGCCATAGGTACCAAACTGAACTACAAAGGCATACAATGTAGGCAATGAATTATCAAGGCTTCTCCTGAATGGCAGAGATCTGAAACTGGCTATAAATCATCAGAGCCTCACCCTAGCACTAAACTTTGGTGCTTTTAACCTGCCGTTTCCCTCAGAACATGCACTATTTAGACCAGTGCTGTCCAACAGGACTTTGTGGGATAATGGAAATGTTCTCTGTGCTGTCCAGTTTAGTAGCAATTATCTACATGTAGTTATTGAGCATTTGAAATGTGGCTAGTGCAACTGAAGATCTGAATTTTTAATTTCAATGAATATAAATAGCCATAAGTGGTTGGTGCTACTATATTAAACAGCCCAGATTTAATTTATCTTTAAGATCTTGCAGAGAACTAAACCTATTTTTCCTCATATTCCTATTAATTTAGGTCACAGCCCAAAACATCATATCATTTGGTCTCTATTCATCTTTCACCATACAGTTCTGTTACTCCTTTACCTTAACCAAATTTTTCTCACTCTTTCCCTTCTTCAAAAAGCCTTCCACTGTGCTCTTTAAAATCCTCTTTCAAAATAAATTATTATTTTACCTCCTCAGCTTCTTTACTGAATGTTCCTTTCCATTTCTTTGTCTTAGCTATAATTTAGTTCCTTCAGTATGCTAATTGCCTTGGAACTCTTTCAATTGGAAACTGCTCAATCTTTCACATCCCCTATACATCAGGGTCAAGAGAAGGTGTTGGTACTCTACTGGATTTACCTTATTCTGCAATTTCTAGATTATCATTCCTCCACCACCCTGCAAAAATTCTGGCTGCTTTGAATCTCACATGACATCCAATTATTCATCCCTACTTACTCATGGTAGCAGCAAGTGACCAACTTCCCAGTCACTCCTCAAAATTCATTGAGAATTTAAGCACATGGCATACTGTCTTCCATCAAAAGCCTGCCTAAGCAATTTCTATATAATTTTGCTCAAGTCTATTTTTTTATCTTGTTTATTGAATTCACTACCGTCTCCTACTTCCACACACTAGATCCTTATCCAAGCAGGAACATTCTCTCAATTATTACCACCATATCTGCTCTTTGACCTCACAGGACATTTTAATTTCTTGACTTCTCTTCTCCCTCCCCATGTCTACATTTTCTCCCCACTCAACTCCAATCTTGACTTCCTTACCTATTCACCTAAGATTTCACAATCCTCACTTCAACCACTTCCCTACCAATATCTTCAACCACCCTACCCTTCTATTCTATAGCAGCTGCTTGGCAGAATACTAACATAGAATCAATCCAACTTCATAATTCAATAAATAGTTATTAAAAATGCTTGGCATTTCTCCAAGAGCTGGATATACAATAGAAAATAAAAAATACTCATCCAAGTTCAGAGTTAAAAAATAAAAGAATCAGGACTAGAACTCAAATCTCATCCTATTCTCTCCCTTATGCTTTAAGCTTTATCTGATTTCCTTACAATGTGACCACACCATTTCCCACTCCTGCTTTTAGCATATGATGTCATCTCCAACCACTCAACTTCTAGGCACTACACCTACAAACATAAAAGCTTCCGTACACATCCAATCTTCCTCTCTCTCCTAATACAAAGTGGGAGAGTCCTCCTTTCAAAGGCTAATCCATTTGTATAACTTCCTACCTTCTCAGGAATTTCAATGTATTTAGTTCCTCAACAATACATTCATATTTTTAGTCCTTGGTTTTCTCAAAAGCTAATTCTCCTATAATACTCTTCTTTCACTATTTCTCAAATCTTCACCCTCTACTTTAGTTACTAGTAATCGTTTTGTATATTCCCTTAGACTGTAAGCTCCATCCAGCTACTATTTTTATTGTATTGTATTATATTGTATTGTATTATATTGGATGCTCAATCCTTACTAGAATTTAAGGCACGTAATAGGCATATAGAATATATACTGAACAAGTAACTATGAGCACAATATTATCCTCGTGATTTTCCTAACCAATAATAAAAAATGATTAATTCAAAATAATAAAATGAATGACAATTACATTTTATATTTATAGGGAATACAAAAGGACATACCTCCAGTTCATTTTCCAGTTTCATGACTTTAGTTTTTAATTGATTTTCTATTTTTAAAAAAGACAAATGTTTAAATTGGTTAGAGTTATCTCAAAACAAGCTTTTAAATGAATTTAAGTAAAATAAAAAAATTCTTTTAAAAGATTCTGTTATGATTATAACAAGCCAACATAAGAAAACGTATTTCACAACAGACCCATAAAATAGGAGTTAAAAAATATTTCTAAAAATAAATTGAATATGTACATTTAATAGAATACATTAAATTTTCTACTGCTTAATGAATAAATGGAATTCATTATTTAATACTATAATAAACTTTTTTCAAGATACTTACCAAATTTTGCTTGTTCTTCTCCAGCTTTTTCAACTTCTTCCAAAGCTAGCTCTACTTCTTGAGCTTTCATCTAAACATTAAAAACAAAAAAATTATTTCAATATGACCTCATACTGGAATGTAGCACTGAAAATAAAAATTTTGTTTTATTTCCTATCACAATCCTTAGTGTCTGCAATGATTGCACATGGAGACACTCAGTAAATATTTGGTGAATGAATAAATGAATTATTTTTGTACTTAAGGCTACAATTTCTAGATTTTTAAGTTTGAAATATCTTTGATTCTTCCTTTTACCTCAATTCCCTAAGTCTTATATCCAGTATTGCACCTTCTCCCTTTGTAATGTTTCTTACTCTTTTCTGTTTCAATTGCCATTATTCTAATCTATAATTTTATGTCTAAACTCCTTAATCATTCTATGTCTAAACAGCTCCAATTCCCTTCTATTTGTCCTATATAACATACTCAGTTTTTCCATCCTAAGGCATATTTCTATATCTATTAATCATGGTTCAAAAACTTTCATTGGCCGCTCAATTGCTGATAGCATATAATATACCTTTAAGGCTCTGGATAGCCTACCCCAAACTATCTATCTAAGATTTGTTTTCTTTACACCCTGCTAAAAACTTTCTGTACTTGTTTCCTCAAATGCAAAAAATAAGCATATTTTCCATTTCCAATATTTATTTATGGTAACCACTAGCACTACAATTCCATTACCATCTTACCACTGCTTTCCACTTATCTAAAACTATTGCTCAGTCTTTGTCTTTTATGAAGTCTTCTGATACCTCTTAAATCACTTTCCCCACTAACATATCCCTATAGCAGTCATTGTCCATATTTTCACTTGGTCCTCAGGGTATACCTTCCTATGTTATTTTTAGCAAACAATTCTGTTTCTGCTGCACATTCTTTCAGGAACTTTACATAGAAACTAGCAATGTTTTGCACATTAAAATCCTCAATTCACATTTGACTATGTGTCATGTTTGAGTGGTGATTTAGATATTACCAAGTACTTTCAGAGGGATTAGCTTATATAAGAACAGTTTTTAAATTTCCTCTAACATTCAAAGCTACCATTAAAGCCTACTGCATACAAACCTTCATCAGCGACTGAGTAATTCTGAAAAGATGTATCACATTTTCTTGGTCTTCATTTTTTAGCTCATTTACTTCCACCTAAGTAAAGAGAAAAGCAACTATTTTTTATCTTATAACTTTAACCAAAATATAAGAACTCTTCCAGTTGTATCATTCAATGATTTCAAGGACAACTTAAATTAATCATAGATCAATGTATATATCTATGTATTGTTTATCAATTAAACACCTTGGATAAGGAAATCAATAAATTATCTGCCAGTTCTTCTTGACGAGGTAGGTCATCTGGGTCAACTTTCATTAAGTCTTTCCAGTTTATATTAGGTGGCATCTTGAATTCTTTCACTGTGCTCCACTCTCTGTAACAAAATAGGTGAGTATCAGCATTTTCAAGCTAAACAGTGTTACTGTTTCTACAGTAGTTTACACTTTTCACAGATTACATCATTATAACTCTCTGTGGTGTTAAGCAGAGCTATGGCTCCTTAACTGCAAAACAGGTAAGTGCGCAAAAACAGCCTTGATCAAAATTATAGCAGTCAGCACAAATATTGTGCCGCCAAAACAAAACATGACTGGCTTCCTTGCTAAAACTAATCTAGGTCAAGACTAAGATTTTGAGTCCCCTTCTCCACACTCCCCACCACAAACGTGAGTGAACCCCTACTAGTGCCAAGTGCAAGGGTGTGTGGAAGGCTGAACGTGACCTCTGATTCGGAGAACCAGGGATTGAAGGTAAAAAAAAAAAAAAATGCAGAAATAAACAATTAAAACGAGTGAAGCTATGTCTGGGAAACCAGAACTGAAATAAGAAGGCAGAAGCATTGCGAACTACAGCCTAGGAAGGGGAGGGGTAACTACGCTGTTGCAAAGGGGCCCTGCTCCCGCTTACAAGGATCCACCGACCTAGACTAAGCCTGGTAGCCAGCGGAGGTCCCTCATCTACCGCACCCACCAAGCTGACAGCTCCCTAGAGCGGTTCCACGCGTTCTCTGGGTCCTGCCAACCGGTCCCGAGCTAGCCAAAGCGGCGACGGCTGCTAGGCGACACCATTCCCCACCCAGCTAAGGCCACAATAAGGTCCCGGATGCAAAGGGAGCCTACAGTTCACGACCGTGGGTGACGCTTTACGTTTAGATTACCCTCCAGGTTCCCTGGACTACTACTGAGTTAAAAACGAGAAGGCGTGGTATGAGGACTACAAATCCCAGAGTGCAGTTCTGCCAGGATTCTTGTGCATGCTGGGAACCGAAGTCTCAGGAGGGGCAGGGCGCTCCCGGCGTGCAGTGCGAGAGGCTGCGACGGTACAGGGGCGGTAGGGGAGGACCGGGAGGCGGGAGGCGCAGTGGCTGAGGTGCGTCCGCGCTGGTGGCCTGAACAAGGTAGATCATGACTGTGGCTTCGGTGGCGTCACTCACTGGGCTGCTCTTCCTGCGGCTTTCCTAAACCATCCCCTGAAGGAACCGCTCCCAGGTGAGGTCGAGTTGTCGATCAGCGGATGGGGAGAAGTGGAGGGGTGCAGTCCCGGCTGTGAGAAGCTCTTACTATTGGGGCGTAAGGGCCTGGCAGGGTCCTGAGAATCTGGGAAGTCCTCTCCTTCCCATCAAGCGTTTGCAAGTGGCGTCCAGAGTAGTGCCTTCTCTAAGAAGGGAGAAAAAGAAGTTTTAGCTTTCTTTGGTATCAGAATCTGTCCGGGTATAGTAGCGTGGGGGCCGGGCAGCCGTGACCATGGTTTGGAGGCGAGCGAAGAATTGAGGGCACTGCATCCTCCGACCACTCCCGGGTTACCTGTGGCACCATAGCCTTCGCGGATAGAAGGGCCTGAAGGTTGAGGAGCTAGTAAAAAGTGAAGGTTCTAGAGAGGAGAGGTTAGTATTTGTCTTGGCCACTGCGTGGGGTGGAGAGAGACTAAGGGACGGGAGGACTCACCTGTGCTGCTGTTGTCACTTGTTTTGTTGCCCAGAGCGCCCTTTCTGGAAGCACCTTCTCAGGTATTTACCACTCTTAACTCTTGGCAAGTTTTGTTCATCCCACTGTTCACTGCTCTGGAATATGATACACCACTAGGTAGCTTTCTTTTAAAAAGCTGTAGACTTGAAATGATAAATGACATCTCCAACTATTTGGACCAGTGCCTCTCATCTTTAACTTTTTTTGTTAAGCACTTATTTTTTATTGTTTTACATAATTGATTAAATTTTATTTTTGAAAATAATGAAGAGATTTCTTTTTAAACCTCGAGTTTGGGTAAAACAAGAAGTATTTTAGTAGGAAATTAAAACACTGACTTTGTGAGATAAATTTTTAGACATTCATCAGATTTGTGAGAACAATTTTGTTTACTCCTTTTCTGAAACCTTTTATGACAAATATTGCTCATTATCTTACTTAATGATAACAATCTAGTGGAACAGGTGTCTACCTACTTCTCATTTTCCATCTATATTAAGAAACTGAGGCTTGGAGAGGTTAAGTACTCTGTTCTAAACTAAATAGTGTGATTGAACACAGATCTTTGTGCCTGGAAGACATATTCTTAACTGCTTATACTACCTCTTCAGATATTCTGGGAGACAATAGCTATAAAGTGCTTTTTCTTCAATCTTATTATTTTTATTAAATATTGTCATATTCTAATATAACTTTGATTACTCAAGAATTTGAATAAATATTCTTCATGTTAAGTGTTTTGAATTGATAATTTAGCAGAAGGTGGTAGGGATGAAATTTTAATATTTGAGCACATACTATGTCATTTACTATGTTTACTGTGACCTATTTATTTTCATAATAGAAATCTGTTATTTTTACTGCAGCACCTTGTTTTTCTTTTGTTTTTTTTCATTTATTATAACTCTTATTTTTACTAATTTACTAGTTTTGTTTGTGTTTTTTACACCCTTTCTTCCTTCACCCTCTTGCTTACATTTATATTACCAGGAACTCAAGGTGCCTGGTCTAATGGTAAGTTTTTTTCTAATTTTTAAAAAATGAGAATGAGTACAAAGGAGTTATTTTCTAATAATTGATGAAGCTAAGATTGTAACCTAGATGACAATCCTGACTAAAAGCAAAATCACTTAAATTTCATTTGTTAACTCATTCTAACAATATTTTTGATACTGTACACTGTGCTAGGTGATGGAACTACAGCAGGGAACGAGTTAGCTGGTTCTTATGCACTGTGATCAGTTTGTACCTGTGAATGAGAAAATTTAACTCAAGTTCTAGTTCAGTAACTTCCTATGTTTTTTGAGGAAAATTGCTAAAACTGTATTATTTTTCATCAGATTTTCTGCATCTGTCAATTTTCATCAAGAGATGGGATTTTTGTGACAATTTTTCAGATAGCCTATTAGAGGAATACTTATCTAGGCCTGCCTTCTTCCTTTCCTAGGATTTTATGAACAGCTTTATCTGACCAAAATCACTGCACAAGAAAGCCCCTTGCCTTTTATAATTGCTACTTTGTTCCCTGTACCAAAGAATCTGTGTTCCTTAGATTTTACCTCCATTTCCTTTTTGCTGACTTATCAAGAAAATGGTAGCTAACTTTTCTAGTGTCTACAATAAAGTGTGGCCATGAGAATTTAGTATCCTGTGTATAGTAAATGTTTTGTTTTGTTTTGTTTTCATGGATAGGAATGAGTGTGCAACAAGCAGACACTTGTTTTCCTTCAACATGAGGAGACTAGAAAGTTTAGTAGGAGTCAGTGTAAATACAAACTTTGCAAAGTTTGCAAGCCAAACTACATTTAACAAACCTTAAAATAGTACAGATATAGTAGATTACTCTTCTTGTAAACGATAATATAATAATAATGAAATTGAGAGGACTTTCCCAACTTCCCAGGAAATTAAACTGGGAGAACGTTCCTTTCCAGGCTAAATATTTTCAAATTCATGTAAATTTATCCTGTGGATTTATTTTTTCTACAGTCGTAATGTTGTATTACAAACTCAATATAGTTTTGTTGAAAGAACTGTGTTTTGTATCTCTACAATGTAGCTTGTGAGTAGACTTCGATTGCAGTTGGATTTGGGGCACATAGATGGTGATGTCCCATTTTTATAAGCAAACATAAATTAGTCATCCCATCCATTTAGAACATATGCATCTGAGAGTGTCCTTGTGTGCCTAGGAAAAACTAGAAGGTCCCACAGCTAACAACAGTGGTATGTTACATAATTATAGTAATGGCCCCCAGTGAATCATGTCTATTTATGCCCTTGTGTAAACCCCTCCTTTCCCCCCAACTTCTATTTTGCAGATAGACTCTTTTGGACATAACCTAAGATGACTCCACATCTGAGCTCATGACATGCCCTCTCTCCCTTTCTCTCATATTACACTCCTTTGAGGAATCTTAAAAATTTTGTTACCTTGGTCCTTTAATAACCTCTCCCTCTTTGATTCTGGATTTAGCTTGCTTGATTAATAGTAAACAAATACGCAGTAAACAGAGGCATAAAAAGGGCTTGTGCTTTGGGATTTACCCTCCTACTGTCCTGAGATCATCATTTAAGAAGCCCAGGCTAACCTAATAGAGGATATGACCATAAGTAACAGAGACTAGCTTTGAAAGCTGAGACTCCTACCCTTCAAACCATCCAGCCATAGTCAAGCCATAGGATAACTGTAAGCACATGAATGACCCCAGGCACAACAAACAAAAGACCCATAAATGTGTGTGTGTATGAATATGTATATATAAAAGAAAATATATATACACATGTATATCTGTATCACATGAGGAATTTATAATGAAGAATAGAATTGGTTTGAATGCATTCATTTTTACTTAAGTATTTCAATGCCTAACTTAACAAGCAAAACTTTCTCAGTATTTAAGTAACTGCTATAAATCTAACAAGTTAAACTTAAAACTATAGCAACTCCGAAGTTCTCATAAAAATTCCAAAGCTGTTTGTACACTTGCCTAAATTTTAGTACTTTTCAACTAAAAATTCTAAATTCAGAAATTGCATAGTCAACAACTTAAAATAATATATATTATATATCATATATTTTAAAAGTATAGTTATGAAGCTAATGTATCAAAGTCTCCAGGATGTCAAATCCTCTCAAACATTACAAGTATTCTAAAAATAAGATGCATAAGTTACTCCCAAATATAATTTCAAAGTATTGAAACCATGGGTTTAATTTACATCTTTTTCTTCTATTAATTTTTTTTTTTTTTTTTTCTGTTGCCTGGACTAGAGTGCCGTGGGGTCAGCCTAGCTCACAGCAACATCAAACTCCTAAGCTCAAGCAATCCTGCCTCAGCCTCCTGAGTAGCTGGGACTACAAGCACATGCCACCATGCCCAGCTAATTTTTTCTATGTATTTTTAGTTAGCCAATTAATTTGTTTCTATTTTTAGTAGAGATGGGGTCGCACTCTTGCTCAGGCTGGTTTTGAACTCCTGACCTTGAGCGATCCGCCCGCCTCGGCCTCCCAGAGTGCTAGGATTACAGGTGTGAGCCACCGCACCCTCCCGTCTTCTATTAATTTTAAACTTCCCTTTGGTTAGAACATTTAATCAAACAGAACTTTTTTATACCCAAGTGAATTGGTGTTATCAGGTCAAGGACTTGAGTTATTTATAGGAGAGGGGGGTTTCTGACCTATGCACAAAACTTGATTTTTACCTACCCAATGACAGGTACCCTGACTTGTTTTCATTTTGTTTTTCTAAATTACATCATATGTATGTTACTGTCTTGTGTTGGATCCCATTTCTTAATTCTCTTTCTGTTTCTTAGTCTACTCCCTCATTTTATTACGATACCTCTCTTAGTTTCCTGAGAAGGGATATCAGAGGTAAATTTTTTGAGGCCTTGAATGACTTATAATGTATTCTACTTTCCCATTTGGGAAATTTTGGTTTATTAATGTAGAATTTTTGATTGGAAATCATTATTTCTTAGAAATTTGAAGCATTACTCTCCTTTTTATTTTGAGGGGTAATTTTTATTTTTTTCCTAGCTTACAGAATTGTTGGTGAAAAAAATGATTTGTTTTGATTCCTGGTCTTTGATCTGGAACCTGCTTTGTTTCTGGAAGATTTTAGAATCTTCTCTTTGTTTCCAGTGTCATAAAATTTTACAGAATTCTGTGACCAGTTGAAGAACAGGGCTGGAGGGTCTCAACATAAAATACTTTTACTTAAGCTTTATTTTCAGTATGCTACCATTGTTCTCATTTGTGTCCCCTGTTTCAGAGACCCTGTGTTTTAAATATTCCAGAGGGGAAATCTCTAGTATTCTGCCATGGTATACGAGGGATGGTTACTTAGCTGTATCTAGTAAGAGAGGGGGTCTGAACTTTAACAGTGTGGTCCACTAATGCTGTGTAGAGGTGGATGGCCCTTGAGCTGAACGTTTCTCTGGATAATTAACATACAATCTTTATTTTACTTATTATCTACCTACTAATATTGAACATATTTGCAAATAACATGTTACTTATTTTATCTTCATGCTTTTTTTTTCCAGTTTTTCCCCACAAGTACTAATAGGAAAGATGGCTGATATTAACCTCAAAGAAGTAACCTTAATAGTAGGTGTAGTTGCTGCCTGCTATTGGAACAGCCTCTTTTGTGGTTTTGTTTTTGACGATGTTTCGGCGATACTTGATAATAAAGATCTTCATCCATCTACACCTTTAAAAACTTTATTTCAGAATGACTTCTGGGGAACCCCTATGTCTGAGGTAATTAATTATATACTACTTATACATATCTCAAATTTTAAAATATTCTGGTAGTTTATTACTTCTAATTCTTTCTTTATCAACATTGTCATCATAGCAATTATGAATTTTTTCCCTTAAAGTTTTATATGAGACAAAACATGTCTGAAATAAATTGGACAGAAAATCGAAGGTGTGATTATCTCCTATAAAGCAGTACTTGATTATTTTTTGGCTGTGTACCTTGGCTTAACTTTTAAAAAATATTATGTGTATGTGAAAACCAAATATGTAAGGGAAGCAATAGGTGTAATAGAAGTCTATTTCTTGCTAAATGACTTTTTCCTTCTTTTTTCTGTCTTATAAGTCAGGCGAAAGAGATGACTGTTATATTTCACCATTTTAAAATATGGCAACTTCAACATTAAACAGATTAGACTTTAAGGGTAAAAATAGTAAGTACACATTGCCAGATCCTCTGCAGGGAAAGAAATGGTTATTAAAAATTTTAAATCATTGTCATATCTCTTACCTACTAGTCATTTGAGTTTCATATTGACAACTCAAAAGTTTAGTTCATTTTTATGAGGGTATTTTTACTCTGCCAGTAACTTTATTTTGAAGAGCAACTGGTTAAACTGTTTAGGATTAAACCCTTGTCAACTTGGGATCATATAAATTGGGTTCTAATTTCAGTTCTATTTTACATTAACTGCAAAATAGATGGGAATACAGCTTTTATGAATAGACGGCAAGTCATTTTCCTGATCTGTCAAAGAGAATAACACTTTGAGGATAAATAAATGAATTAATATATCTATATACAATGCATGGCACATAGATATTGAATAAATTATTGTTAATACATAACATGTAATAATGTAATAGCTTGTTTCTCAGCAGTCATTTGTGGCCTCTTTCATCATTCCCCAAATTTGGAAACTTCTCAATGGTAGGGATGGAATCTTTCATTCCTCTAGGCACAAGCACATAGTAAATTTTTTTTCTTATTAAGTAAACAGATCTTATTCTCCTATAACCTTTCTATTCTCACCCAATTCTAGTTTTTGAAAAAAAATCTTTTGATAACGAGGGAAAAATATGGCCCTATTATAAATTATTTCTAGGCAGCTTATTCCTTTCTATGCCTACCCTTGGTTTCCAGAGACCCCTGGATATATGTGTTCACTCTCCCACCTTATGCTAGTATCTGTAGTGATTTTAGTCATAATGTTGAGATTTTGAACTGAAAGTTTAGCTGGCCAGATTAAAGGGTCTTATACCATGGTGTCAATGATCTGTTTAGTGATTTTGTCAGCTTTTCAGATTGAAAATTTGATTTTGTTCAGACCACCCATAAGCAGACAAAGAAAAGGAGTCTTAATAGTATACTTAGACATAATGGATGAACAAACTAAAATAACTATTTGTACTGAAGAGTGTAGTTTCCTTATATTTTCTGATGGGCATATTCTCTCCCTGTAGGCAAATGTGACACAAAGGAAAAATTGTTCTAAGTAGTATTTAGGTGTTATAAGGTTTCATGATAAGCCTGGAATTAGCACATTCAAAGATCTAATGGTTGATGTCATTAGGTAATTACAGCCTGGAAGCATGTGTGTGTGCATACATACAGGATTTTTGTGCCAATATAGATCTTAAAAACATATTTTAGGACATTCTCTTGAGCCATATGAAAGTACTACCATAGTAAGGGTCTTTAGACTCCTCTGGACTTCTCTGTGTTTAGATTATCTCTTTAGTAGGTCCATTCTTTAGATATGTAATAATCTGTTTACCGATAGTTGACTGAATCACATCCCTGGCTGCCATATTAGAATATGCCTGGGCATTTAAACAAAAAAAATATTACCAAGCTTCTATCCAAACCTGTTATTTGAGATAATCTCTCACAGTAAAATGTAAGCATCAATATTTTTTGTCTTATTTTGTGTGTGTGTGTTTTATTTTTTTGTTAGGGGGAAGGAGGATTGGTTTTGCTTGTTTGCTTTAAGTCATCTAGATGATTCTGTGGTACAGCCATGGCTGAGAACCACTGGGCTGTAATGAGCCACCCTTTTCCAGCATTTGGCCTATAAAGTACCTTGTGTTAAGGTAGCTTCTGGAGATATCCTATCTCACTATGTTTTTGCCATCCCTGTATTGAGATTCACATTAACAAAGCCTATTAGCCTATTCATTAGCATGTTCATTCATTATACTCATGCTTATTTTTATTGCCAACTAATATCATAAGTAATTTTTCTTTAAGATGCTTGATAATAATGATCTGTTTTGTTCATGATGGACCTAGCTGTCTTACTATATTTTTACAGAGTAAACATGATATCTAATAAGCTGATGGTTAGAATCTGAAATAAGTTTCAGATTCGCGGTAGAATCTGAAATAAGTTTCAAATGTATGGATAGTTATTTATAATAATTAATTTGTCTTTTATTTGGTCATTACTTATGGCATATGTACATTTAATAGACCTACCCAAGCATTTATGTGTACTGCAATTAAAAATATTCCCTTCTACTTTCTGGCTTTATCCTTTTACCTATCAGATATGTTCCATCAGAGCTACATTAACATTTCAAAATGGGAAAGGTTCGTTCTTTGTGTTTCCTAGTGTTCCCTAGTAAACACAAACAAACAGGCATAAGGCTATACCTATGTGCCAGAGAGTTACAGCAGAATATAATGAGAGGTAGAAGAGCAAAGAATCTGAGTGTGGATGCCTTTAAATAAAACTACAAAAAATAAATAGGGTAATATTATGTATATTTTTGAACTATGTGTTATATTATTAATCTGCTTTGATTTTTATCTTAGGATAGAAAATATTTCTGGTTAAATGTAACTTCTAATTTGTAAAGAAATCCAATACTTCACATAAATCTGATTTATTGCCAACAGAGAATACCACAGCAAAGGTGTCTGTTCTCACATTCTAACAAAGTTTTTGCTTTTGTATTACTTTCCGTAGTATTGGGGGATTTTAGTTTAATATATTTTGGTTTATACATTATGGACATTTTTTCATAAAACCAATAGAGTACCTTTTTGAGTCATCACTCTTTGAACTAACCTGGTAAGCATTATATTCTTATGTTCTTTTGAAGATCTAGCCAACAGTTATATAAACTTTTGTATTGGTAATAGTTAGGGGGGTAGGCTTTGGAGAGAATCCTCTACCCAACTTGACCATTGCCAGCATTGTCCTACTTTTTTAAAAACGTAGGTCGTTTTAGTTGGTCATTACCAACTAAAGGTTCAAGAGGAATTAATAGCCTTTCTTCTTCTACTGTTGGTTCTACTGTTGTTTCTATGATCATTATATATCAGGGAGGAAATTACCTTGTTGGTATACTAAGGAAGTAGAAAAACACAGATCATAAAGCTATCCTTTATGTTTGTGTTACTATTGGGACATTTTATTATCGTATTGTTATTTCTCAGTCAAATGTAGATATCTTCAGTAGTAAATGCAGTGATTAGTTTTTGTACCCTGAAAGAGCAAAGTACTTTAATAATCAGTGATTGTTTTTCCTTTTAGGAGAGAAGCCACAAATCTTACCGTCCCTTAACAGTATTGACTTTTCGTTTAAATTATCTGTTTAGTGAACTAAAACCAATGTCATATCATCTCCTAAATATGATTTTTCATGCTGTGGTTAGTGTAATATTTCTTAAAGTCTGCAAACTTTTTCTGGAGAACCGGAGTAGTGTGATTGCTTCTTTACTTTTTGCAGTACATCCAATACACACTGAAGCAGTAAGTAAAACTATAAATCAATTTTTTTCATTATTTCTTAATAAATCCTACAGTGATTATAATGTTACATATTTTTAAGAAAATAATGTAACCATGACTTTAATCCAAGTATTTGAAGACTTTTAAATTAGTACAGTTAAGTCTTAACTTTCTAGTGCACAGTCCGACTTCCCACTGCATAAAATTTTAAAATTTAAAACAATTATTGAAATATAAACATTTTTCATTCAAGAACATAAAAATGTCTTAACTTTAGTAGTATAAATGTGTACAGTTCTTTGCTAATTTTTTTATCAATGCAGATTTTAAGTATTATTTGTCAATTTGTCAATGTTTATGTTTCAAAGGACAGAAAATAGTCCATCAGTAAGCCAAATTAAATAAGGGATGAAAATATATCAAATATATGGGAATGTGAACAGACATTCTAGCAAATGATGATGCTCAGTCATATTGTCTATTGTCATGTGTTTCAAAATTATGAGCTATCTCTGCTATTGCCAATATATCCGTCAGGTCCAGCTACCAAGATATACCCAAACTATAATTTATTTTTCTTGGTAACCTTGGAAGTTCAAAATTACCTCCCAGCAAGAACAAAGATTACTCTGTTGAGTTGCTTTGTTACAAACTTTCAGTTATAAGCCCAAGTGTGTATGCAGGGGTGTGTGTGTGTGTGTTAGAGGGAGATTGTCTCTCACTGTGGTGAACCTTTTGGTGCCTAGCTGACCAGACATTTTTCAACACATTTATAAAAATAATATGTTGTTTTAAATTTTACATTGAGTTATTTGAATTTTTAGAATTTAAAAGAACTGAATGCTTGTATTTTAAGAAAATATGTAAGATGTACTTAGCTCTTAAGTTCTGGATATTGTACTATAATTTTATAAGATGTAACTATTGGGAGAAGCTGTGTAAAGAATACACAGGGCCTCTCTATTTTATTTTCTCAAATTTTTATGAATCTTTTAGTTATTCAAAGTTATAACAATAATAAAAAGAACTATTAAAAATTGCTGATGATTTTCCATTTATGTAAGATATACAAATTCACCACCTGAGGGCACTCAAAGAATGTTTAAGAAACAGAAATGTACACTTGAAAAGTTATGGAATTTGGTTTCTAGTTAGAATATTGTTGCTGTTATATATAGTAAATTTTCAAGATACTCTTTATTAATGTAAACCCCCTTCCTTTTCTCTATCTAGGTAACAGGAGTTGTAGGAAGAGCAGAACTTTTGTCATCTATCTTTTTTCTAGCTGCATTTTTGTCATATACCAAATCAAAAGGACCAGATAATTCCATAGGTAAGTATTTAACATTTGATGTTTTTTTACAGCTATAAAACCTGATCAAGTAATTTTTATTTACTCCAAGTGCTTCTGATAAAACATATGCCAAACTTTTGGGGTTTATCTTTATATATTGTTCTACTTTAGCATGTATAAAAATGTGGAAGTATAGAACCTTGTCAATACTTTAAAAAATGTGTGTGTGTACTTTATATTTTATCACAAGCAAATAGATTCTATATGACCTAATTTTAAAAACTCAAAACCCTAGCATATTAGAGTTTTAGAGTCAGTTCTAGTTTCATCTACTTATGATACAAGTACCAGTACTTCAGTTATCTTATGATAAATAATAAGTGGTAGGCTATGATATTGTTTAGGCAAGGTTAAAAGCCTGTTAGGGTATAACTTTTATTATGTGTTGATTATGGTTTAGCTATTTCTTGAGCCCCTACCATGCGATCTGTCCTGGAAAGTACTTAGTATACATTAGCCCATTAGTCCTGATGATGACTGATAATTGTCACAAAACAAGTTCCAGGCAATAAAAATGATTTTCTTTTAGAGTATTGGCATAGTGGGCATGAAAGGGACATAATAGCCTTAACTTTTATTTATTTGCTCTTAAAATTTAACTGAGATTTTTTTTCCTAAGTTCTTGGGGGGATTTTTTCACTATGGTCCCAAGGTACTGATGATAAGAAGCCTAGTTTTATATATGTGGAAACTAAGGTTCAAGGAATAAGTGATTTAACCTAACAGCTTAATGTTTCTTAGTTTTATAATATGAGTAGGTTTGCCTCTTACTGCTATGCATAATGCCTTCTTAAAGCAGTTTGAGTGGCAGCACACATAGTTGTTAAGAACATGATGAATTCAAGAATCTGGTTTCAAATTCCAGCTCCATTATTTTCTAGCTCCCTTTACTATCATGTGTAAATTACTTCACCATGCTTTCCTTTGTTTATAAAATGTGGATAAAAATTGTCTTCTACCTATGTAGTCCATCATGCAGTAAGAGGTAGTTCAAGAACTAATAGGAGTTGCAAACCAGTAATCTCTTTAAGTAGGTATACTTGTTTTGGAAAAAAATCACATGTGGTGACTTTAACTACAGAGATCTGATTATAAAATCAAAGTATATGTATTTATATAGTAATATAGTCACTAAAGGTTGAAGAACTGAAGTGACTGGTAAGGCTTTTTGCCTTTATTAGAGCTGTTAATTGGTGAGATTGATTCCAGGGTTATAGAAACAGCTGTTTTCTTTCTCATCCTTGGAGTGGAAATATAAATTAGTTGGAAGCTGTGAATTTAATGTCAGAACAACTATGTTAAAGTCATGGTCTCCTTATTGTACATGACTGTTGTTTTAAAACCTCCAAAATTCTTTCCTCATCTTAAAAAATGCGTATGATTACATCTGCCCTCTGAACCCATAGGGTGATTTTGAGATTCGGTGAAATGTAATATATGCTAAACTGGTTATATAAACTCTCTAATATTAATATATTTTTAAATTACCTGCTATAAAGGCCATTATTTCCCACTAATTTTTAATATATACATACCCATCCAGTCATACTATTCTCTGTATAATTTATTTGCTCAGCTTGTTCCTACTTCTACTCCTTTATTCATACATCTCCCTTCCCCAATTTTTCTATGTCCTATATATCTTTGAAGATCAAGCTTTAGGTCCAACCTGTTTTGTGAATAACCATATACTGATTTCTTTCCTCTATGAATTTCTTGTTGAATTTAGCACTAAAAGTGTAGCCCTTGATATAATCTATTACATTAGTATTGATGGTTTGGGCCTAATTAGAATATAAATTTTTTTAAGGAAAGAATATTGTTATAATTAGTATCCCTAACAGTTTTTTGGGGTTTGGTTTTTTGTTTTTCATTATTTTTCTTTTCTTTTTAGTAATTTTATTCTGTATAGTACTTTAAAACTGAAAGCAATTTTAAAAATAGATGAGTTTCTATATTAAGCCCAATGACAAAAGAAAATTTATTATATTCATGAATTAAGTTCTTGTTTATACTTGGACTTAAGTCAATTATTTGAGTTTTTGCTTTAATGTTCTTAATAAAAACTGAGGTCACACGATCATACTACCAGGTATTTTTTTTTAACTGATAAAGAATTGGAGGTTATATTTTCCAGTAGGAAACCTGTAGCTCAGAAAAGTTGCTCAGACTCATAAAGCAAGTTTGTAGTAGATCCAGAATTATTCTCATAGTTCATTGCTCTTTAATCAAATTACTAAGTAGTGGGCATTTCCTTAAAGTTGATGAAGTTCTTAAATGAAACTTGTGAATATTTTACTGTGAATTTTTTAAAGAATAGTATTGATTTAAGTGCTTATTGCTAACTTGTTTCATTTTAATTTTTATAGCTCTTTTTTTATAAGAATGGTACCATGTTTTGACCAATAGTTTTAGGTTTCAAATTTTAAATGAATTACAGATATAATAAAGTATATATCTATGTGATAATATCAGGTATTTTTCTTCATTTCAGATTGATAGCTCATTCGTTATGACACTCAAGCCTGTAAATTTCTCTTTTCCAAAAATCACTACCCTTTCTTTGTTTTAAAAGTTAATATTTGGTTAGATATATTCTTCTCCACAAAATTTTTTTAGTTCAAATTATACATCTTGGTGTTTTGCTTTAAATATATACAAGGGCCGTCCAGAAGGTATCCAGCCATTGCTAACACAAAAATGGTTACATGACTAGAATCTTTCTGGATAGCCCTTGTGTATAGCAAAAATTATAAAATTTAAGTCCATTTTAAAGCATATAGTATTGGTCAATGGGAAATATCACAAATGTGAATATGAATCACAAGGCTTAAAATATTTTATGATACTATAAAATTGTTTTGTATATTTTTATTTTTTTCTGTTCTTAAATTACAGTGTGGACTCCAATTGCATTGACAGTGTTTTTAGTGGCTGTTGCAACATTGTGTAAAGAACAAGGAATAACAGTTGTGGGAATTTGCTGTGTATATGAAGTGTTTATTGCCCAGGGGGTGAGGAAAAATATAAATTTTCTTATTGCTCTCTTTTATCATTACTGAATCAAATTTTAGTAACCTTATTTTCTAAGTATATAGTTATTTATATAAGTCAGTCTGTTTACCAATAATAATAACAAATTTTACAAGAAACAGTCATGTTTGGTCCTCATACACACTGAAAATTACATACTTAATATTTTATGATACTATCAGTTTTTTAAGGACTGCTTTTTAACTTTCAGTGATGGAATTGTTAGGCAATTTACAAAAGTATGCAATAATATACAGTTATAATTCATTACTGGGTAGTATTATTGAGCTCAGTTTTATTTGTTATCAGTTCCACAAATTGTACCACATTGATTTTATAATTATACTTAATTTGTGTCTAATCTTACATTTAGAAAGACATTATTAAAAGCATTGCAATGTACTATTATTCTTTAAAACATTTTTTTACTTTTTCAGTATACTTTGCCATTATTATGTACTGCTGCTGGACAGTTTCTCCGTGGAAAGGGTAGTATACCATTTTCTATGCTGCAGACACTAATAAAACTCATTGTCTTGATGTTCAGTACATTATTACTTGTTGTGATTAGAGTCCAGGTCATTCAATCCCAACTTCCAGTATTCACCAGGTATGAATTCTGGTTCTTTTATGTTTTTTCCTTTCTTTATTTTAATTTTGGATTTTAAGTGATTATAAATGTTCCAGGAAGTCTTTGATTTACATGTTTTTTTTTCAATAATTTTGAGATATAATTAACATTTTAAAAATCACATATATTTAAAGTATATAAATTGAAAAGTTTGATATGCATACAACCATGAAACCACCACAATAAAAATAATGACCCCCAAACTGGTTAGGTGTTAAGGTTAGTGTTAATTGTGTTACTTAAGTCTTCTGTATCCTCAGTGATTTTTGTCTATTTGTTCTACTAATTATTGAGAAAGGAATGTTGAAATCTCTGACTATAATTGTAGATTTGTCTATTTCTCCTTGCAGATGTATCAATTTTTGCGTAATGTGTTTTTTTTTTTTTTTAACTAAATTTATTTATTTATTTATTTTTGAGGCAGAGTCTCGCTTTGTTGTCCAGGCTAGAGTGAGTGCCGTGGCGTCAGCCTGGCTCACAGCAACCTCAAACTCCTGGGCTCGAGTGATCCTTCTGCTCAGCCTCCCGAGGCAGCTGGGACTACAGGCATGCGCCACATGCCCGGCTAATTTTTATTATTATCAGTTGCCACATTAATTTCTTTCTATTATATGTGGATGGGGTCTCGCTCTTCTCAGGCTGGTTTTGAACTCCGACCTTAGCAAACCCGCCCCCTCGGCCTCCCGAGAGCTGGTGAGATTTACAGCTGAGCCACAGCGCCCAGCCGTAATGTGTTTTTGAAGCTCTGTTATTACGTGCATAATTAAGATTGTCATGTCATCTAGATGAACTAATGCTTTTATGATTTTTATGAACTTCTTTATAGCTAGTAAGTCTTTACCCAGAAATTCACTTTGTTCTATATTAATAGCCGTCCCAGCTATTTTTTGTTAATGTTACATAGTGTGTCTTTTTCCATCTTTTTACTTTTTATCTATCTATACTCATATTTAAAGAGAATTTCTTGTAGGCTGCATATACTTGAGTCTTCCTTTGTTGTTTGGTCATGTAATTTGGCTTTTAAATGGAGTGTTTCATCCATTTATATTTAATATGATTATTGATACAGTTTGCTGTAAATCTGTCATCTTGCTAATTGTTTTCTTTTTCCATCAGTTCTTTGTTCCCTTTTTTCCTCTTTCCATCTTCCTTTGAATATTTTTTATTTCTTTTTATCTCCTTGTTGATTTTATTAGCTATGAATCTTTGTATTTTAGTGATTGTTTTAGGGTTTATAGTATACATCCTTTGCTTATTCGCGTTCTTCAAAAGCTTTTTGTAATTTAAGTTATATAACATAAATATCAGCATATATAATAGAAACATCATATGTATAATATATATTTATATATATATATGAACTTAGCCTTTGTGCGGTTGGCATATGTTTACCTTGGGCATACATTGTAAATCCCACAGTGTTATTTTTTGCTTTAAACAATTACCTTTGGAAGAATTTAAATAATAAATAGTTTTACATTAACCCATGGAGTTGCCATTTCCAGTGTTCTCATTCCTTTGCTAGATCAAGAATTTCATCTGATACCATTTTTCCTTTTGCTTGAAGAACTTTAACATTTCTTGACTTTCAAGTCTAGTGGTGATGAATTCTTGTAGCTTTTGCATTTAAAAATATTTTTTTGAAAGATATTTTCCCTCAGTAGAGAATTCTACATTAATTGTTTTTCATTAAGTATTCTAAAAATGTTGATCTACTATTTTCTGGCTTGCATTGTTTTCAATGAGAAAACCTCTGTCGTCTTCATGCTTCTATATGTTGCATATATTTTTCTCTTTTCCTATTTTAAAATTTTCTCTTTGTCATTGTTTCTTATACCTTCATGTTTCTTGTGCTTAGGCGAACCTAGCTTCTTGGAATATGTAGGTTTTACATTAATAAAAAATTTAAGAAAATTTTTAGCTATTTTTGATGTTTTCTTGTTTCGCCTTTATTTCTTGGACTTCACTTGCTTATATTTAGGCTTGTTGAAGTTGTTGTACTGATACTCTGTTTATTTTTTCCACCAATCTTTCTTCTCCCATTTTTAATTAGATATTTTCTTTTGTTGTATTTTCAGGTCACTAGTCTGTTTTCCGAAGTGTCTAATCTGCCCTTAATTTCATCTAGTTATTTCTCATCTAAGAAGCCATTTTCATCTTTAGGAGGAAGTCTGATTTTTTCATCTCTGTGTCTCTTCATGTTCTGCTTTAATACCCTGGTCTACTAATTCTATCTGTGTCATTTCTTGATCAGTGTATATTGAATGCATTTTCTCATTACAGATAGTATTTTTCTACTTCTTTATATGCCTGGTAATTTGTGAGTGGATACTATGCATGAATTTTACCTTAATATATTTCTATAAATTTGAGCTTTGTTCTGAGAGGTATTTGAGTTATTTGAAAAATGTTTCATCTTCTAGTCATACTTTTAAACTTGTTTTGTGAGACCACAGCAGCATTTAGGGTAGGACTAATTTTGCCCCAGTACTGACCGAAGACTTTCTGATGATACTACTTGATGGACTAAGAATTATGAAGATTTCCACTCTAGCTGCTCAGGAACTATTTCTGCATTTGGGTATTTGTGAATTTTTATTTCTAATCCAGGAAGTTTATTTTCCTGACCATATTAGTTTTCTAAAGGCTGCTGTAACAAATAACCATGAACTGGATGGCTTAAGACAACAGAAATTTACACTCACACAGTTCAGGAGGACAAAAGTCCATAATCAAGATGTCAGCACAGTTGGTTCCTTCTTGAGGCTCTGAGGAAGAATTTGTTCCATACCTCTCCTAGCTACTGATGGCTGCTGGCAGTCTTTGGCATTCCTTGGTTGGAAGCTACAGCACTCCGGTCTTCTTCGTCTTCACATTACCTTCTTCTCTGTGTGTCTGTTTGTCTTCTCCACTTTGTGTAAGGACCATAGTCATTAGATTAGGGGGGCCCACCCTAATCTAATCTGATCTGATGTGACCTCATCTTGACTGATTACATTGGCAAAAATTCTATTTCTGCATAACTTCCAAACACATTCTAAAGTTCTGGGTAGACATGGATATTTGGGAAACATGAGTCAACTCACTACACTGATCTTGGATATTTTTTCACATATATGTGCTATGATTAGAACTCAATACCAAAAACTGGAGAAAGACCCTCTGCAGATCTCTCAAATTCTTTCTCAGCAGCTTTCTTCTCTCTTATGTTCTGCCCCACAAATTCTAGCCCCCTGGACTCCTCAGGTCCCAGCTCAGTCTTCTCAACTCAGGTATACTGCTGGGGTTGGCTTAGGTTCCCCCTTGGTGTTTCACTGACTAAAAACTCAGGTGCTAAACTCCCTCCAAGTAGGATTGCTCTCATGTGTTTTTTTCCCTCAAGTATCACTCTCTTTTACCTGATGTTCTATGTGTTTAAAAAGAGTTATATACCTCTTGTCCAGTTTTTTTTAGTTTAAAGGTAGAAACAGAAGTTATACTGAATTTTAGCAGTCTACAGACCATGTTTTCCTACTTGAACATTTAGCCATTTTCCATTTCATCTGACTCAGCTAAAATTTAAAATGAAATTTATACTAGTTCTCTATTCAATTTTAAATTACTGATATTACATGCAAGAACTCTTTTTTTCTTAACAAAAGGCCAAAATACTGTTCATGTTATAATCCATGATAGTGCATTGCTAGCGTTGGTTAGAATAATTTTATTCAGGTAATTTTCTAAGCCCCACATTATATATTTTCACATAATTATCCTCCTTAGCATTTTTTTCTGTAAAGAATATTTACTTTTCATCTTCCTGAATTTTTACCTCTGAGTCTAGCCATGCTGAAGTAAACTCATGCAGATATTACAGTATTTGAAATACAGTAGATTGAATTACAGATATGTACTTTCTATTTCCTTCTTCACCCCATAGTTTCAATGGTTTTGTTTTGCTTATCATTCCTTTTAGAGAATTTGAATCAACTATTTTCCATTTCTATAGTCTGAAAATGTGGTTTTTAGATGTGAATGTATGTATGTGTGGGTGGGCATATGATGCTGTTAGCATGTGAGTATATATTTTTGAAATAGAAGCATTAAAAAAAGTGTGTATATAAATTTTATTATATTACCCTGTGAAGTTGATTATAATACGATTTGATTTGTTTGCCATTAACCCTTTCTTTAAATCAGCTATCCTAAATAAACTGTTAATTCTAAAAACTAAACTCTAAATTAAAAAAGACAGCTTTTTATTCAGTTCTGATTATTTTGAAAATTTAAGTCCAGACTCAAGATTTATTATTTTTCATATATATAGGGATTCAAATATGAAAGTTTTAAAAATGATATTATTTGTTCTAATAGTCTAATCTTACTTTGTCTCAACCATTTGCTATCTCTAATAAATAGTTATTTGGCAGTGGTTAGTTTTTCATTGACTTATTTATTTTAAAATGGATTTTTAAAGGACCGTATATCAATATAGCCAATAAAATTTGAAGCATAGACTAGAGAAATAAAATTCTAAAGCTATTCATTTGAAATATACTTCTAAAAAATGATTTGACTTAATTTAGGGAAATAGACAAAACTAATGAAATACATATTTAATATATCAGGGCCTGGGGAAAGATAAACTAGGATACAAGGTTATATTAATATATACTAAGAGAAAAAGTAGAACACAAATTAAATATAGGCCTAAACAGTTACTACTTTGTACTGAAAATTTAGTCTTTTAGCTTCTTAGGAGTCCAAGAGGGAAAGCTCCTAGGTGATACAATTTTCTCTGTCAATGACAGGAAAAAAACATACTAATTCTTTGTAGGAAGCATAATATTATTAGGATTTAACTCTAAAGAAATATCTCATTCAGGAAAACACTGGTGAATGTTCTCAAAAGCATTTGTGCAATACATACAATAATGAATCTTATACAACTTTTATAACTTTTAATCACAACATCATAATTTAATGAGGGCACTTCTGCAGAGTGTCATAATATTATATAGTATGTATGCCAGAATTATCTTAATAATAAACTAGAAATCGATGACCTGCTTGCTCTTCAAAGAGTTCTTTATAAATATCACTTCTCTCAGCTAGACATTTCATAAAATTTAGACTAAACTCTAGAGTCTAGGTACCCATAAAATACATCTGTGTCTTCTGTATAACAAGATTATATATAAAATATTATTTTTACTATTCAGTATTTTATTTATATATGTTACATATTAATTTTATATTTAAATAGTATTTTATATAATTTTTTTTATTCTTTATACAGATTTGATAACCCAGCTGCTGTAAGCCCAACTCCTACAAGGCAGCTAACTTTTAACTACCTCCTTCCTGTGAATGCTTGGCTTCTATTAAATCCTTCAGAGCTCTGCTGTGATTGGACCATGGGAACAATACCACTTATAGAGTCATTACTGGATATTCGAAATCTGGCCACATTTACTTTCTTTTGCTTTCTGGGAGCTTTGGGAATATTCAGTCTCCGATACCCTGGTGATTCTTCCAAGACTGTTCTAATGGTAAGAGATATTAATTTTTCAGATGATATTACATTCACTTGATTAAGAAAATACCTTTAATTCATGAAAAGCATCTTTTTAGTAGCAGTATCTTTCTTTGTTCAATAGCATCCCAATTTATGAACTTATTTTAGGTTATCCTAAAATTATGTGTCAAGTTAATTTGTAGGCATAATTTGACGTGTGTAGTCAACATGTAAAATGAAAACTGATTATGAATTTTTCTTAATTTGGTAGGAACTCTGAAATCTTAAAGCATTCCTTTTGGATTCATTTTCTTGTATTCCTTACCTTTATTTAACTAGATTATATATTTTTTGAAGAAATGGATCATACTATGTACTTGTTTTCCTGGCACAAAAAGAATGCCATATGAGATATGCAGCTAGAAATACATAACATTTCAGTTTTCATTAGCAAGGTTTTCATTACTCCCAAATGTAGTTCTTACTATGTTCAGAAACTCTGATTATTCAAATAATCAGTTCACTTTCTAAACTGCTTCTTTCTGATTTTTTTACTCTGCGTTACTTCTTACTCATAAGTTTTCTCAAATGTTTACTATATGTCAGAAAGTATGTTTAATGCTTCACAGATATGTCATTTTTGTCTACAGTCACTAGATTCATTTACTCATTTAATAAAAATTTATAACTGCAACCTTAGTACCAGGCAGCATTTTAGGCACTGATTATATAGTAATAAAAGGAAATAGAAAATCCTTATTTCCAGAGAACTTGCATTCTAGAGAAATTTGAATGTCTGAGATGCAGAAAAGATTGTCTGAAGAATGTCTGAGGTACAAAGAGTGAAAGACTATAGAGTGTGTGGAAAAGATCATGTTTACTTGGACATGTTTGATTGTGAGTGATCTTTGAAATATCTTGTTGGAGATTTTGAACAGCACTTCGTGTCTTGAGAGGAGATGCCTACGCTGCACATAAAAATTTTATTCACTGGCATACAGGTAGTAATTGAAACCAGGAAGTAGATGAGGTGGCCTATGGGAGAGGTTGTAGAACAACCTTTCTCAACTAGGGTTTTGTCAGTTCTCTCAAAGGTGGTAACTAGCTAGTAACATTCTAAATGCATAGAAGTTAATTCATACTCATAGTGGATGCCTCAGAGCAGCAGTCCCCAGCCTTTTTGGCACCAGGGACTAGTTTTACGGAAGACAGTTTTTCCACGGGGAGGTGGGGTTTGGTATGATTCAAGCGCATTACATTTATTGTTCAGTTAAACCTCTCTGCTAATGATAATGTGTCTTTGCAGCAGCTCCCCAGCGCTAGCATCACCACCTCAGCTCCACCTCAGATCATCAGTCATTAGATTCTCATAAGGAGCACTCAACCTAGCTCCCTCACATATGCATTTTGCAGTAGGGTTCACCCTCCTGTGAGAATCTAATGTCCCCACTGATCTGACAAGAGTTGAAGCTTATGCAGTGATCTGAGGGATAAGGAGCAACTGCAAATACAAATGAAGCTTCTGTAAATATAAATGAAGCTTCGCTAGCTCGCTTGCCACTCATCTCCTGCTGCAGACCAGGGACCTAGTACTGGTTGGTGACACAAGGGTTAGGGACCGCAGCCTTAGAATATTTGGTCTTAATTCTCCCCCAGAAAACAGTTGACAAGGCTACATACATTGAAAAGAGAGGAAGCCTGTAAGTAGGTCTTGATAAACTCACATATTTAGATGTTGAAGAGAAGGAACCTAAATAGGAGCAAATGAACAGAAAGGTAAAGAAATGTTTTAAGAAAGACTAAATGGCTGAGCAGGGTGGTTCACACCTGTGATCCCAACTATTCATCACACTGAGGCCGAGCCCAGAAGTTAATATTAATAGATGCTGTTGAGTAGGAAAGTGATATCTAGTTGAAAAGTAATGTCTGTTGGCTTTGGCCACTTTTAGGTCTATTAGTTACTTAAATTTATTTCTGTAGAGTGAGTGATTTGATGAGAAAATGCAGAGAACTGGTATAGGTAACCTTGTAGGGGTAATTTAACTTCAACTATTTAAAAGGATGAGATGCACTTGAATTTTATTGCCTCCCTAAGTAACAGAAGACTGTGCTGGTTAGCCAGTGGCTTCAAGCATAACAGACTGCTGACCTTATTAGAGCGTGGGGAAAGCATGGATATCTGAGATTGGTAGACTTTCAGAGGCAGGAGTGAGTTGATGGCAGGGGAAGACTGTTGAGTGGTTGGCATTTAGAAGCATTTTCATTGAAGTACTCAGTTGGCTGACTTTTAGAAGCAAAGGGATATAACTAATAGGTTGGCTTGCAAAAACATATTCATTAAGTTGAAATGTTGAGTGGCTAAGTTGGTTTGGAACTACTTAGCTACTTGTTAAATGGGTTTGAGATTATTTAGCTACTTGTTACCATGGCTACAAAAATCTTTTCCTAAGATTGTGGGAACTTGTTTTATACCTAAGGAACATCATCAGTGAGAAAGGTAGCCTAGAGTTGTATTGACAACTCTAAGATTTTTAAGGTTGGAGAGGAAAGAGCATGTTAAAATATAGGTATGAAGAATATAGTTGATTAAGAAAGTGATTGAATAAATGAGAGAAGAGATAATTGTTAGTGAGGTTTGTGAGAAGCAGGAGAATACAGAGCACAGGTTTGGCCTGAGGTAAAAGAAAGAGATACCCCTTATGTTAAGGAAGGGAACAACATGAATGTGGATACTGTTAGGTTTAGTAGCAGGAAGTTGAAGAAATTCTTGTTTTATGGCTTCAGCTTTCTCTGCAAATTAGGAAGTGTGTTTGCCTGCTGAAAGTGACATGGGTCAAAAGTTTGAGAAAAGTAGGCAACATCCCAAACAGTCAAGAATTAAAACTATCAGAGGAAACTAAAAATCCTAAGCAGTCTAAAGAGTCGATTTGAACTTGGTAATCATGCATTTATGGTGATATTAGTCTATCTTAACTTTGGGACTTTCTCTAGCAACATATTGCTACTTTGATACATACAGATGAAATAGATAAGTAGTAGAATACATACAAAGCTGAAGTTCTGCTAAAAGAAAGGTTTAAAAAGGAAATTAAGGTTTCAGCAAATAAAATAATGGCATATATAATGTAAGCTGAATAAAAAATAGAGAATAATGCCAATGAAATAAACATTTACATGGGTTGTGTATTATTTCATGTATATAAAAAAGGACCAGTTGTGACCTTGAGTATAACTCTGCTTTAAGTATAATCCTAAACATACTACTTTTTTATGGTAGTATTTTCTGAAAATCTCTGGAAGGGGTAAGTAGAGCAAAGGAGTACCTACCAAGGACTAGATACCATCTTAAGCAATTATAAGATAAGATGTCAAATATATCTTTACATAATGTAAGTAGTTATTACTCCTTATTTTATTTATAAAGAAATAGATTCTCAGGGTGATTGAGTAATTTACTTTATATTACATAGGAAATAAGTGAAACAGATTTGTCTCAAACTTTTTTAGACAGTTTACATTCCTAGAAGAAGGAAATTATAAGCTGCTGATAGTTAACTAGGTTGGCATACATTATTAGGAAGCATATTAGGACTTCTGAGTAAGTTAATCATTGGAGACATTTCTTACCCTAGATCCAATATATTTTTCCTGAGAGATTGTTTTACTTTCTTTGTGTAGTTTATGCTTCGGTGTACCATACATCTTTGAGTTAATTTAACATTTTTAATTGCTTCAAATGAAACTCCTTTAGGGCATCCATGAATTACTGGGGACATTTTTTTTTAAGAACTATATATTTAGGAACATGTCTTTATCTGTTTCACATCTAGGTGGTTATTTTTGTCAAGCATTTCTAAGAAATGATAAGTGAATTCTGTGCACTCCTTATTTATTTTTTACCTTTTTGATTTTAAAAAAACACTAAAATTTCAGGCATATAAATTAGTATGATACTGAGTAATTTGATAGTAGTGCTCTTCCTCAGTTTCATTATCTCATTATAATGTGTAAACATTTATGGAGAAAGTGTTCTTTTCAATGTATTCAATGTACATCTCTACATCTATATTTTGCTAATCAAGTATAATATTAATTACAAAAAGATGATTCTCTCCGCATTAGAAGAGGCTCAAACTTCTGAAGCTGAAGGATTAGCATATTTATTTGATTAGGTACTGTAAAACAAATTAGGGTAACAAAATATGGAAGCAGATATCCATAGAAACAGCTGTCCTAATGATGACCAAACTTCCTTCCACAAGTTTTTTGTATACTATTTGTGGTTATTGAGAAAACCATGTCATCCCATTTTGAAAATGGTAAGAAATCTAAACACTTTTGTGATGTTTTATTTCAGTGTATAGTGTTATAATTTTAGAAATTCTTACAGAATAAAAGACTATTGATTAAGGGGAGGGGAGGTTAGTTTTATTTTTATACATATACTAAACCTCTAGTTAAATTTATGTGACCTGGCAAAATGTTATACAGAGTGATACTAAGGTCCAGAGGCAGAGTCTGCTGTCTTGTCTGAACATAACCTTATTTCGTTCCTTCAATTTACATTATCATGTGGTTTCTTATAGTAGTAGAGTTATAAAAAGTGACATGTTTGGCTATTTTATTAACCTTTCTAGTTTTGCTTTATTGAAAAACCTATTAGCATCTTTCCCTGTCATTTTATTTTTATCACATGCACATAAGTCAGATGTGTAAACATTTCATTTATTTATTTTTGTTCCTCTTACCTGACTGAAATGTTGAATCTTTTGACCAATATCTCCGAACCCCCTTCCCCTACTCTTGGTAACTACCATTCTACTCTTTACTAATATGAGTTCAACTTTTCTAGATTCTACATATAAGTGAGATCAATGGTATTTGTCTTTCTGTGCCTGGTTTATTTCACTTAACATGACGTCTGGCAGGTTTATCCATGTTGCAAATGGCAGGATTTCCTTCTTTTATGAGGCTGAACAGTATTCCTTAGTGCATATATACCACATTTTCTTTATTTAGTCATTCATTGATAGAAATCTAGATTGTTTCCATATCTTGACTATTATGAATTGAATAAAGCTGCAATGAACTTGGGAATGCAGATGTCTCTTTGACATATTGATTTCATTTCCTTTGAATATATATCCAGTAGTGGGAATGCTGGATCATATGGTAGTTCTCTTTTTAATTTTTTAGGAACTTCTATTCTGTTTCTCATAATGGCTTTGCTAATTTACATCTCCACCAGAGAGTGGCAGGGATCCCTTTTCTTCACATTCTTGCCAGTATTTGTTGTTTAATAGCCATCCTCCTGGCTATTAAATGTTGTATCTCATAGTGGTTTCAATTTGCATTCCCTGATGATTAGTGATCTTGAGCATTTTTTCATGTACCTGTCAGCCATTAGTATGTCTTTTTTTAAAGAAATACCTGTTCAGATCCTTTGCCCATTTTATAATCAAATCATTTCTCTTTTAGGATTGAATTATTTGTGTTTTATTTTAGATATAATTTCAAAAAATACTTCTACTTTTTTTTTACTTCTACTTTTTTATTTAATTGGGTAAACCTTTGTTATTCAATTTTTGTTTAAAGATATAAATATTTACCTTTATTAAAGTTTTCATATTTTACTATGCAAGCATATTCTTCACAGAAAACCAGTAATTATGCTTTTTACATTTAAAATGCTATAATGGTTCGAATTTTCATTTCAAGAAGAAATCATTCCTAAATACACCTAGGAATCATGTTTTCAAAGCAAGCTCATAGATATCCTCTAAGTTCTAGAATTCATGAAGACTTCCATCTCATCTTGCTTACATACATCCTGATATATGTTATTACCATCCCTAAGTTGCTTTCTTTATGTTTAAATTAGTATTCTTCATAGTATCATTAAAAATGGTCTACCATTACCTTTTTCAAATTAAATGATAAAATATTTGGATTTGAATGTTAGGTGTTCATATATTTTTAATTTAATAAACTATCTTCTTTTTCTTTTTAGGCACTTTGCTTAATGGCATTACCATTTATTCCTGCATCAAACCTTTTTTTTCCAGTTGGATTTGTTGTTGCTGAGCGAGTATTATATGTTCCTAGCATGGGGTTCTGTATTTTGGTAGCCCATGGATGGCAGAAAATATCAAACAAAAGGTGAATTAAAATATCAGTTCATTTAATGCTTATTAACTGTAGAATTAAGTGTGATACATTCAGTTATTTAAAATCTGTATTTAGTTTTATAAGTCATACTTTCATATTTCTTTTGATCTTCTCAATATTCTCCTCATTTGTCATATAATTCACATTAGGAAAGCTCCACAGCACCTACTCATCCTGTGTTCTTCCCCATATTTATATGACTTTATTTTACAGCCTGAGACAGAACAAACTTTGAGTCAGATTCAAATGAAAACAAGGATGTTATTGAGACTAAAGTCACAAGTGACCATTGCCACTTCCATATGCAATGAACTAAGATAATAGTCATCCAACTTAAGTGAGTCATATTGAGTTAATATATGTAAAAATGCATAGAGTAAACAATTTGTAATTTCTTGCTATCATCACTATCTTCGTCTTAATCTTTGTGTACTAGTTGCCTCAAACTAACAGTTAATGAATGGCATAGTCACACTGTATATGTGCTTAGAAACTATAATTGTTATAGGTATTCTTTATTGTATACATATGCTATGGTACTAAAATTATCAAATAAAGCAGATTGCTTATGGTCAAGTAATACTAATAAAATAATATTAAAATTGCATTTGCAACTTGAAAAAGAAATGATCACTTCTCTTTCTCATTTTCCAGTCACTCCTCAACCCACAGAATTCTGACCTCTCCCTATATCACTCTATTAACACATGTAACAAATTGCTTTCTGGTAGCTAAATCCAGTCAACACTTTTATCTAAAATGTATTTCCCTAGTGCCTATAAAATATCTTTCTCCAGATTTTCTTCCACATCTGATCGTTTCTGCTCAGATTCTTCTTGCTGTACCTGCTCTTCGAATATTTATATTTCTCACAGTTTTACTCACAGCCACTTTTTTCACAGTGCATATGTTCTGTAGATGTTCTCATCCATGTCTACAATTTTCACTACCACCTACTAAATCTTTTCTCTTAGCATCTACCCATATATCCAATTACAACCACTACCAATTTTGACTGCCTGCCATGTGCAAAGGGACATGATAGACAAGACACTTTAAATTTGTTTTTTAATTTAATTTTGACATTCCTTAACTCTGTTTTGTAGATGTGAAAATGGAAGCTCATATAGCTCACCATGATCACACAACTAGTAAACAGTTTTGATTTAGATTTGCATCTGACTGCTTCCAATTACCATCCTTTCTCATCTATGCTTTCTTGTTCTGGTTAAGTAGATCTATCAAAATGAAAGAAATTGAACTATGTTATAGGAGCAAAAACACAGACTCAATATTAATAATAAATGAGTTTATAAAGGTTATTAAAGTATATTGCAAATCAAAACCACAGTGATCACTTATCTCCAGTGAGAATGAACTTTATCAAAGAGTTCCAAAACAGTAAATGTTGGCATGAATAAGGAGAGATAGGAACACTCATACACTGTTGGTGGGACTGCAAACTAGTACAACCTCTGTGGAAAGCAATATGGAAATACCTCAAATAGCTAAAAGTAGAGCTACCATTTAATCCAGCAATCCTGTTACTGGGCATTACCCAAAAAGAATAAAAGACATTCTATAAAAAAGACATCTGCACTAGAATGTTTATAGCAGCACTGTTCACAATTACAAAGATGTGGAAACAACCCAAGTGCCCATCAATACATAAGTGGATAAATAAAATGTGGTATATGTATACCATGGAGTTCTACTCAGCCACAAAAGCAATGGTGAGCTAGCCCCTCTTGTATTATCCTGGATAGTGCTAGAACCCATTCTACTAAGTGAAGTATCCCAAGAATGGAAAAACAAGCACTACATGTACTCACCATCAGATTGATATGAACTAATCAACACTTAATTATCTTTTTCTAAGTGAAGAATTGAGTCTCAAACAATCTAAAGTTGTAAAGATAATCCACATCTGTTTTGTAAAGAGTTAATGTTTACTATGCCTTTTAATGAGCAATTCTAGCTTTAAAGTGTAAAATTATTGCAAGAATATCATATAGTCCATGGTATAAATAGGAATGAAAAACATTTTTAAATATAGCCAGTGATAAAGTTGACCCTTTATAAACTCAGTTAAGAATACTTAAATTGTAGGTAATGATACAAAAGACTCTAAATATAAAAAGTAGCAATTAAAAACCAATTTTATCAAATTTTTGTCATTTAATCTAAGCAAAGCTTTTAAAACAGAGGCAAATATTAGAATATATAATATAATTGAAGGCTGAATTGGAAGATAACATTCACAGTATTTAATTTGTTGTGTGTTATTTCCTTCAGAGTTGGATGATCATTAGAATGATGTAGGATAAATTCAACAGGATAGTTTGGGACCATTTAACATATTTTGTTCTAACAGGTAAAATGCTTTTGGTGATGTAGATGATGTTTTTTATATGTTTTCCTTTTTTGTCTTAAACAGTGTTTTAAAAAAGCTATCCTGGGTTTGTCTGTCTATGGTGATACTCACTCATGCCTTAAAAACGCTCCACAGAAATTGGGATTGGGAATCTGAATATACACTGTTTATGTCAGCCTTAAAGGTAAAGTATTGTTCAGAATGACAAAAGAATATGTCATCAATTATTTCATGTAGTCATTTCTAAGTTGTTTTAACTTTGCTTTTACTTAGACCATTTAATTCAATATTAAGTACTTCACCAAAAGATTAATGAAAATAATTTATTCTCTAATGTCATAATCAAGTGCTTTGAACAGTACTTAGCTGTATGTCCAAAGCATATGTGAATAATGCTCTGAATGCTATACATTTAGAAGCTCAAATGATAAAATGTTTAAATCAGAATACTATATTCCATTGGTTATTAAGGTGTACATTTTTTTACCTTTTAGTATCTCTTAAATTAGAATAAGGCTCATAGTGAAAGCACCTTACGATTAATTAGTGACTTTCTTTCTTAATGGTACATAAAAGTCTTATATTTAGATGGCATCTTCAATTCAATAAAATGAAATACACAGCAAAAATGGTAACCTACTATGTAGAAGATAACCAGTGGTTAGAATACTAAGGAAAGATAACTGGTCGAAAGGATTGAGTTAGCATTTCTATAAAATGAAAAACATAAATTGGAAAAAAGGGTCTTTTAAGAAAACACAAATTTGTTTTCTGTAAAAGTTATCAGCAAAGATTTTTTTAGGTTCTCAGTTACCAACATTCCTCTTCAGATCTCTCAATTTCTGCTTCCTTTGGCTATTTCTTTACTCTCCGTTGCCTGCCTTTATTGGGTTGCTGCCTCATTCCAATAGACTGCTTTATTTGGTGTCTACTTAAGATTGGATGACTCTCCTCTTAATTACCCTCAATAGCTCCACTCTCATCCCCAGTTCAGAAGTCTATAGACAAGTGAGACCTCTTTACTGTGCTTATTAATCCACACTCCTATGATACCAGTGGAGCCCTGTAATTTTCAGGAATTGTGCTTGTGCTCACTCCCAGGATACTCAACAGCCCCAACCACTGCAGTTAGTTCTTTGGTTGGGTATCATCCTCTACCTGAAAAAACACCATGCCAGTCTGTGAATTCTAAATGTACAGATTGACCAAGAACTTTAATCTCAGGGTCCCCATTACCATAATAGACTCTATAAATAGCTTTAAATATGTCAAGCCTAAAATTAAGTCATCGGTGCAATGTTTAATCATATTCTCATGTTCCAGTACTTTCTCTCCTAAAAGAATATAAATAGAGTAGAAGTTTTCAAACAGTACTGTGCTTTGACCAGATAAAATTTTACTAAAAATTTTAATATGTAAAGTGGATGAAATCACACTACTGTGGTTTTAGTTTGTTTATGTTCAGGGGTGGGTTAGAGAGTTAATTTGGTGAAGTAGTCTTTATTTGGCTCCTCCTTCATCCCCAGGGACATCTTCATAGAACATTTCATTCTAATAATAAACCAAACAAATATCTGTGTGAACTACAGTCATATTTTTTAATTGTAACTTATTTCTATCTGTACTTGTATTTGAGGTAAATAAAAATAATGCCAAACTATGGAATAATGTGGGTCATGCTCTGGAAAATGAAAAGAATTTTGAGAAAGCTTTAAAATACTTCTTACAGGCTACCCACGTTCAGCCAGGTAAGTATTATTAATTAATAAATTGATTAATCATTTATTTGCTTTTTAAAAAACTTGATTATATTTAGGAGAAATAAGGTAGAGTTTATTTTCAAGCTCTATTCCAATGACTTAAATACTAGTGTTCCATACTTGCTTATTTTGAAGTGAATTATATATAAGAGCCACTTATATCAGATGTTTAAGGATTTTTTTTTTGAACGTACAGTTGTTGGGTGGCACAGATGAATAATTTTGGTGGAGTGATGGGTGCAAAAGCCTGAAAGGAGTGAATATAATAGAGTGGAGTATGAATAATTGGAGACAATTAGTATAGAAAACTCTTAAAAAAGTATTGATAAGAAAGGGTGGTGGTGCTGTGTATGGGTCAAGAGAGGATGGTAGGGTAATAGAGTTTTATTTTTGTTTTAAGTTGGGAGAAACAAAGCATGTCTGAGACTAATCTAGTAAAATTGGGAAAAGTAATAATGCAAGGTGGATGCATGAATTACTGGATCTTCTGTCCTTGAGGAGATAGATAGGATCTGGTGCACAGGTTGAGGACTTCATTTAATCATAGGACTGATAGTTAACTTGTGGTAACAAGGAAAGCACAGTATAGTGATATGGATATAGGCAGGTGAGTAGATGACATATAGGAAACTTCTGGAAGTTGTCTTCTCTTTGCATCTGTTTTCTCAGTGAAATAGCAAAATCATCAGTGGAGAGTAAGGAGGAGGGAATGTTGAAGATTAATGTGCATGTGAATCACCTGGAGATTTTGTTATAGTACATATTCTGGTGCAGGCTTAGAGTAGGTCCTGAGTTCCCAAGTGATGATTAGTCCACATTTCTTTGAGAACCAAAGATCTAGGTCACTAGGAAAATGTGTTGACTAGTAAAATGTAATATAATTGCCATATAACTCTTAACACCCTGCTTGAGATTAAACTAATTGGTATGGGTACATGTTTTTCTCTTGCAACTTTTTAACTGTAATGGTGATGGCAGAGGCATTGAGAATTCAGTTAAACAGGATTAGGATTTTGTCAGATGTATATTACTGAACAAAAAAGGGATAAGGGAATGATAAGACACTGAATCTAAACTGGTAAAGAAGGGATATGAGAGAGGGTGAGGGATGGAGGAAAGATAACAAGATCAGTAGATTATAGGCCTGAAGAATTATTGGTGTCTGAATAGGGTGTAGCTAGAGCAGCAGTATTTTTCAATAGAAGTGTTATTGGTATTTTTACTGTATAGAACTGTATCACAAGATATATACCAACTATGGCTCTGATGTACCAAATACCATCATTACTTTCCATTCAGAGTAACAACCAAAAAGAAACCACCACTACCCCCACATTACTAAACATCCTCAGAGAGGTGCAGAGTGGTGGACACTATCTCAGTTTTTTCTAGTAAGTATGACTATGGCCATTGAGCTAGTTAAGATAGGAGGGAGGTAAAAATCAATGAAAGAAAGGATTCAAGGCCACAATATTAGAAGATTAATCAACGTGGATTTTGAAATCACAAAGAATTTTGACAAATGTGGTGTTGAAGAGAGCAGTAAGGAGCCAGGCAGGATCTATGATACAAGGATTGGTGACTGCACCAAAGAGGAATAGTAGATAGTAGAGTTTAATGACCTGAGATTCAGAGATGAGTGATTTTTAAAAGGAAAGAGAATTGTCTGAAAGTGGCAACAGGGATCAAGGTGGACACCTACTTTTCATCCAGGCCCAGTGTTGCAAAGGATAAGAAAAAGAACACAGTCGCCAACTGGAAGAGCTACAGGGTAACCATGTCTCCGAGACAAGTTTCAATTAGACAAAGGTGAAGAAAAGGTTGTAGAAATATAACTGATGATCTAGCCTTCCAATTTTATCTCCCATAGTCCTTCATGTACTTTAGTTTTTCTTAGAATATGGGATACATGTCCTGTGCTTCCTCACTTCTTTACCTATGTTTATATTCTTCTTGAGCCTAGAATTTCCCCGTTCTCCCTTCTCTCTTCTCTCCCATCCACCTTCCATCATAACCTAGTCATCTTTTACACCCCATCTCACATGGCCTTCTCTTCTGAAAACCTTACTATCTTTTCAGCTAGAAGCAAATGTTTTTTATCTATAAAACTACTTACAACTTCCTCTGTATCTTTTCTATATTTGTAATTTTTTATTTAATGCTATATTGTATTTACTTAAATGTTAGCTCATTTAAAATATTTATTTAAACCGTGGAGCTTCCTGGCGTCAGCATGAATATCTGATTCATCTTTGTACCCACTGCATCATGTAGTAAGGTCCTTATCACAGTCAGTAGTCCCTACTTGCAGTAGTTTTAATTCATTACTTTCTAAGGTCTTTTAGATTCATTCTAAGAGTTTTTGGAGAGTGAAGTCATTTTTGATGTCAGACACACAAGGACTTTGAGACTTAGAAGATGTTACTAAGGCCACTGCACTCATCTTTCTTGTTTCTAGATTGGGATAATAATTTTTATCTCACAGCAGTGTTGTAAATACTAAATTAAGTGTGTGCTTGGGTATGTGTGCACATATTGCATTTTGTCTAGTGAATACTCTGTGTACCACAGAATGTTGCAAGTATGGGCACTCAGTATTTAAATAATTTTCCCCTTCATTGTCAGTTATCACTTACTGCTGTTTTTGAGATATTTGCTGAAACCTGTCTCCTTTACTATGACTTCACTATCACACTTTCAAAATAGCTATTTCCGATAAGCCATGGGCTAGGTAAACCAGCTTATTAGAATTTATTATAAATAAAGTATATAAACTTAGAACCATTGAATGTGGTATTCAATGGCTTCTTGTCTTATTCCTTGTATTAGCTATGTTCTTCATAGGGGGATTTGACAGATACAATGACATGTTATTTTACTGTATCATTAAGACTAGATATTGGAGAGAGGGGAAGAAAGTGATCAGGATAGGGCTAAAAACGGACAGATAGTGTAGTGGTTGGTTAAAAGCTTGGACCCTGGCATCAGACAAACCTTGTATCAAATTCAGTTCAATCATCCTAAGTTTTCTATATATAAATTTGGAATAATAAAAATATTTCCATTCTTTTGTATGGATTATGTTAAATGCTGGTTGTAAAAGACTTAGGGCAGTTTCTAGCCAATAGTGTATACACAATAAATATGAGCTGGTAACTATTAATGACAGTACTTTCACTGAAACTAGGAAAGGAGGAGGGAAATAAAAAATGCAGGATTCAGGGAGGAAGGCGGAAAAGAGAATGAATAGCAAGTGGTTATATAGGTTTATTCATCAGGCATGTATTTGTTTATTTATCATGTGTCAGGTACTGTTTTAAGTGCTGTGGATACCAGTAAATAATACAAGCTTCCTGCCCTCATGGAGCTCTCATTCTAAATAAGGGCATAAATAATAACTAAACAAATATACAAAAATATGTATACATATATATGCACATATATATTATACAAAAGTAATAAAAGCTATAAAAATAAGGGAGTAGAGATTAGAAACAGTAGTCAGAGAAAGGCTCTGAAAAATTAGCATTTGACAGAGGCAAGAATAAGGTTAGAGAGCAAGCTCTGCAAATATACTTTGGTGTAGATAATTTTTAAGATCACTGGCTATGCAAAGAATAGTAAAGAAAAGCAAGAAAACCATTTAGAAGGCTTTTGCAATAACCCAAAGCAATGATTGAATTATAATTTTTTTAAATAGCTATCTTGAAGTACAAGTGACACAGTATACATGTTTAAAATGTATAGTTTGCTAAGTTTTACATATGTATATACCCATAAGACCATCACCACAATCAAGATAATGAAAATATCTATTAGCCTCCCAAATTTCTTATGTCCCTTTATAATATCTCCTTCCTACCCCTTTCTACCCCACCCTGCTCCAGGCAAAATAGACCTCTTTCTAAGACTACAGATTACTTGTGCTTTTTATAAAATTTTAGATGAATGGGATCATACTGTATGGACTCTCTTTCCCTTGCTTTTTCACTGTGCATAAGTATTTTGAGACTCATTTATATTGATGTATGAATCATAAAACTGTACCTTTGTGTGGCTAGGTAGTATTCTTTCATGTGGATGTACCCACAGTTCATTTATCCATTTACCCATTGATGGACATTTGACTTGTTTGCAATTTGGGACTGTTACAAATAATGCTGACTGGTATATGAATGTTCATATGTGTGGAGGTTGTTTTCTTTTCTCTTGGGTAAATACCGAGGAAAGGAATGGCATAGTCATATGATTTGTGTATGTTTAACTTTTTACAAGACTGTCAAATTGTTTTCTAAAGAATGTATTTTATTTTACATTCCTGCCAGCAGTATAATAGAGCCCCCATCCTTTTGGTTTTTTTGTTTTGTTTGTTTGTTTGTTTGTTAGTTAAACAATGATTTTATTGCTTGAGTTCAGAGACAAATTTATGCAACCAGGGCAGATGATGTGGATGACTCATACTTCCAGGTGGGAGGAAGATCTCACTTGGCCAGGTGGGAGGAAGATCTCACTATATCGAGCCAATCGAGGAATCGGCTCTCTATCAGAATCAGGCGGAATTTTGCATCCTTATCCTTTCTATTCCTCTCAAGACGCTTTCAAACAGCAACCACTTTCTTAATTTAAGCGATAGAGATCCTCAGGAAGATCAGGAGAAAGTCCTTTAGACTTAAGGATTCTCAAGATTTTATTTCCTGTTACAAAACGGTACTTGTGCAACGCCATGTGAGTCCCTCAGGATCACACCGATCTGTGAGGGAGTAAGGCCCTTGGCCAGTGTATAAATCTGTTCCTTCACATCGTCAGACATCAAGTTCAGCCAAGTGGGGACACTGGAGCTATAGGGCAAAGCCAACTGGGACAGGCCCTTCCCGGGAGCATGCATGCGACCCATGATGGCAGCAGTCTGGCAGCAAAAAAAGAGCCCATCATTTTTTTAATTCTTCATTTGCTGAGAATTTTTGTCACAAGCAGGTGTCAGATTTTGTCACATGCTTTTTTTGTATCAGTTGAGATAATAAGATTTTCATTTGTTAGTCTGTTAATATAGTAAATTGCATTGATTGAGATTAATTTATAATTTAAAACCTTACCTTCCTTCAGTAAAATACCATTTGATCATGGCATTTTATCTTTACTATATATTTTTGGATTTGATTTACTAAAATGCTGTTAATTTTTACTTCTGTATTTATGAAGGATCAAGTTCTAACTTAGGAATTTCCAGATATTTATAAATTTATCTTTTAAAATAAGTTGACAATTTTGTGAGTAGGAAATACTAGGAAGCAACATAGATATCTGAGCCATCAATGTGAGAATACTGTTTGGTGTCTGAAACATTATTAGTCATACATAGTTGGCCTGGTACTTGCCAGCTACATCACATGTACATCCACAGAGAGGATGACTGAGATCACATGTGAGCCAGTGTCTAATAACTACTATCATTTGAAAGGAATGGTGAGTGTAAGCTAAATTTCAAGATTATCTGCTGCAATTGCAATGTGATATGAAAAATCTGTGATTTCATTTAATGATAAAAGTCAAGCTATTTCTAATACTACTAGGATTTGGTAACTGTGTTTCTATAATGATTGATAAAAATTCAAACTTTCTAATAGATGTTAGTAAATATTAAAATGCAATTGTTTTCCCTTCAAAGTTCACAGATCTCCTGAATTCTGTCCATGAAATACTTGGAAATGAGGAAGTACAAACAGAACATATATATACAACTCTTCCAAAGAGATTTGGTATATAGATTACTCCTATTAGCAATAGGAGGATGTGTTACAGGGTAGGTAGGATAATAGCATAAACAAAGTCCGTAAGTGGGGAAAAGGAATGTAATCCATTACATAACTAGATTGGTTTGCCTTAGATCAGAGAAGACGTATAGGAGGGAAAGTAGATTGTGTGTGCATATATACACAGGTAGGTATGTGTTAGCATTATAAAGACATGCACACATTCATATAGATAAGTTGATAGCTTTGGCAGTAGGATGATAAACAAGCTCCCTTCTAATCCTTTTTTTCCTCGTGAAAATAAGATGTTCAAGATTTGAGGAGAAAAGAGGAGTGAAATAATGAAGGTTCTAGAAAGTGAGTTGATTAGAAAATGTAGTTTTTGTAAGTTTTTGGTAGCAAAAGAAAAATACAGGCAAAGTAGGGCCAAACAACATGGCTTTATTGAGTGCTCCCAAGTGAGGGGCTAGAGAAGGAGTCCATTTGAAAGGGGTAAAGGGCTTTTATTCTGTCTGAGGCGGGCTGGGACTTTTGGCGGGAAGAGCTGGGAATTTTCCACTGTGGCCTTTGTCTGTTCTTGAGGAATGGGAGGGGCTGGCTGTATCTGCAGATTCCAGTAGGAGGGGCTGGCGGTGCCTGGCAGTTGTTTTTGGTGGGTCTGGTCACGTGAGCCTTTTCTTTCTGATCTAGGGAGGGGAGGGAAGCCCACCACCAGCCTTACAGTTTTGACAGACTGAGAGAGTACATTTGAGATTTGTGAGGTCTTCATATACATTGAATTAAAAGTTGGACTGATTAACTCATGCTTCTGTTTGTTTGGATCGTGTATTCATAAGAGTGAGCTTGTTCTTTTTAATTCCTTTAGCCCTTTACTTGTTTAAATGTCACAGATTTTTACATCTTGCCTTTTTTCTTACCTTTTTTCCAATTTACATTTACCTTAGAAGTAATACTATTTCTCTTTTGAGAATCTTAAAACTTTGTAACTTTAGAAATTACATCTTTCATTTTATTAGCTGTATTGAGTAGCCTTTTGATGCCAAAGAGTGTCTAATTGCTATCTTTGTTCTTTGAGAAAGTAGGGCTGCTTTACTGTCTGAAGTCTACATTGATGACAATATCTCCTTGCCATAATTCTAAGAATCTGATTCCAGAGGGTAGTAATTTGCCTCATCTTTTACCTAAGTTGTTAATCTCATCCTTTTCTGAGATTGGTTGGGACTAATTTCAGTGACATTTAAAGAATTCAGCTGGCATTGTTATACTTTTATTTATCCAAATTTTCAATTTATTTGTTCTTAGGTTAAATTCTTACTGTATAAGTAATTTTTTCACATTTTATATATCCTTAGATTTTATATATCCTTAGATTTTATATATCCTTAGATTTTTCTAAATAACTTTCTGATCTCTGTAACAAATGGTGTGGATTTATTTGATTGATCTGATCACTCTACTCCATATTTTTATATGCACTTGATAATACAATGATTTTTCAAGCCTGACTCTACATCAAAATTGCCTTTGAAAATTTTTACAAACATGTTTTTGCAGATACCATTTCTAAAGATTCTGTTTTGATAGAGCTGGGTGGGGCTAAGGTATCATGATTTTTTTTTTTTAACTATACAGGTATTCTGATTTGTAGCCAGGATTGGGAATGGCTAGCCTAAACATTTTTTTGCTTGACACTCTCCTGGCTTTGTGAGATTCCGCAGTATATCTAAAAAGGAAAAATCAACTTCCTTACTCCCAACCTTGTCACCCAGTTCTCTAACCAAACCTTCACTTCCATTTGCCGGTTTTGTGCAGTGCACAAAATTGCCAGCCTGAAACATAATATAGCAAGATCTTAGGACTGTTACTCTCCTCCTAGGGGAATGCCCAAGATATATATGCTTGGCCCCTATGTGTCCTGGGAGTTGCAGGCAGAGAACTATTCCACAATTGCAAAACCATCGGTGTCACAGGCAAGTAGTAATCATAATTTGAAACCTTGTCATGTCTGTTAGAAATTCATGTTGAGTAAAAATTGTCTGATTTAAGATCTTCTCCCTTCCATCATTATTCCAAACCTTTGAAATATTTACTGGGAAATGTATCTTTTGAAAAAACTACTGCTCAATGAGTCCTCATGTCTTTCTTATTTAAACTGCATTTTTTTTTTCTTTTCCTGAATAAATTTTCTGGAGTTTTTATTTTCCACATCAGAAAACAAGACATAAGTTCCTGACATTTTAATATTAACACAACCTTTTAAAAAGTTTAAATATAAGGAATTTATCATCATTTAAGAGAGAAGGGCCACTGCATCTTGAGTAATACTGTTACCCTGATACTCTATTATACTCTCATTCTACAGCATTCACAAAAATTTTAAAAAAGCAAATCATAAAACTTTTTCACGGCCTCTTTGTCCCTATCCCACCATGATGTGTATTTGTTAGTTATAAAACTCAAAATAATTCTAAAAATCAGTGAAATGATCCATTTTACTTAGAGAGTTGAACCATAGTTTTAGAGTGAATTCCAAAGGTATGAGATTAAGGATATAGAAATAAGTTTCAGTATAGTATAGTAAAATATAGTGAAGAGAGGTGATGTAAATTTCTTCATTACCTTTATCTCTTTTTTCATACGTCTTAACCCTTCAAAGATCCATTCAAATAGTTTTTTCATGTCATGTGTGTATTTTCTGTCCTTAACAGTGCTCTAAGTAATTTTGTAGTGTACCATTGGTCATAAGTTATAATAAGTTGTGTTAAAAGAACTTTAAGGAGGAAGCAGGACCTGTTCCCTCCTTTTGAATTTTTTGCCTAGTTTATTTGTTTCTAGAAACACATCTTCTCAGTAGATTATTTTGAATACTGATAAGTGTATTTGCCAACAATTTTTTTAAATTTTAGATGATATTGGTGCCCATATGAATGTAGGAAGAACTTATAAAAATTTAAATAGAACCAAAGAAGCTGAAGAATCTTACATGATGGCTAAATCACTGATGCCTCAAGTAAGTTGTCATAATTTATCTATTGTGTCATGTCTACTATATGTCCATATTAGAATTATCTAGATGGAAAATCCTTATCTTTTCATTTTGTTGATATAAAAGTAAGGTGTATGTGAATCATCTATTTCTACATGTTTTATAAAGAACTATATTTTTCTAGCTCACTTAATTTTAAAAAGTTGGTTTTTATAGTCTGTGTAAGTATAAACTAAGTCTATAAAGTTTGAATTTTAGATATCCTGGATAAGTTATTGGTGAGTTAAATGACTTTAAATGAAAAGAATTTTATGTACATTAAGCATTATTCCTAGCAAAAAAATGAATAAAGTTGATCGAATTAATAGATACATCTGTGTAGCTACATTATGTCCATCAGTTAGTATAATGGCACAAGTACAAGAGTCATTGACTATAACATTATAGCATCTAAGTTGTAAGATCTGATCCTTCCCTTGATCCTGCACAAAACAACAAAAGACATCGAAGAAATTGTGTCATCAGAAAAGATAGTTTAGCCCAGGCTGTAGTTTTCTCAATTGTGGTAATATTGATAATACTAACAATAACAATTAGGTAATTTAATAAATTTTTTTAAAAACAAAATTAGACCATCTGACATCCTAAGGGCTATTTCAGTCTTGAAATACTCTATTTAAATTGTATTTGTTATAGGTTTTTATCAGTTTTATAATTTATTGTGTTCATTGAAAATTTGGATCCAAATATATATTATATTAAACTTAACTAAATAATTAATTTGGAGCATTTTATATTCCAACTTCACCAGACACATGAAGCTTTAGTATAATTCTAAAATAAAATTAACTACTATGTTGTCACAACCAGAAAATATTTTGCTGACAACATGAAAGTTGACACAGTGTAAAAAAAGTTTCTGGACTAAGAGATGGAAGATCAGGGTTCTATTCCTGTTCTCATGCTAACTTGAAACCTTGACCTCTAAAAGTTCTGATTCATCTGACTTCATAAAAAGATAGTTATAAATAAAAAGCTAACAATAGTCCATGAAACTGACATGAATGAAAAAGTATGTCCTTCATTGCCACAAAATATTATTTTATTTACATTTTTATAAATGCCATAGATACTTTTTTTCTCATTTATGTGATATATTTTAAACTAGTAACTAGTTTTTTAGTAAAATTAGCAGCATAATCTTATGTTCAGTGTTATTTTAAGTAATCCACAAGGAATACTTATTTTTGATTTTTATTTGGCAGAGAATATCAAATCATGAAAATGCTTTTTCTTCTAAACAGATTATTCCTGGTAAAAAATATGCAGCAAGAATTGCCCCTAACCACCTAAATGTTTATATCAATCTGGCTAACCTGATTCGAGCAAATGAGTCCCGACTGGAAGAAGCAGATCAACTGTACCGACAAGCAATAAGCATGCGGCCTGACTTCAAGCAGGCTTACATTAGCAGGTATTGTAGTTCACTTTACAACTATAATATATAAAATATGGAAGCTGCATCTGCATGTACATTTTGATGATTTTGACTAAATCGTATGTTTTCCTTTTAGTAATCTTACCTGACAACCAAGTACATAGAAGGACATAGCTTGTTTTAGACTGACAATCAAATTTAATAGATTTGAAATTGACAAGGGGAATCCCTAACTTATAATAGCCAACTTAGGTTTTATAAGAAAGAAAGGACAAAAAAAGCTTCTTAGTTTCATTTTCTTCTCATCACCAAAATAATTTTTTCCTATCTAAATTAAGACCTAAAACTTATATTGTGTAATAGTTACTTATAATATCCAACTCTCAGGAACTTTCTTAAATAAACTTTGAGAATTGACTGGTTATTGATGCCTTTGCCTCAAAGAAAACTTCTTGGTTGTCAGTAAAAAAGTTTTCTGACATCATGTGTTAAAACTTGATATGTTTTCTTATATAAATGTTATTTGTATTATACATGAATAAAATGTATTTTTAAACTTTGTTTTGCATCCTGGCCTAGAAACCTAATGATTTATAACATTGTTGGCTATGGGAAAGTATATTCAGAATTTAAGTTTTTAAAATAAAAATCTATTCTTAAATTGGAAGTTGTCTTTGTTCATCCTTATCTAGTGCTCACTGAAATCCTCCAATTTTACAGGATTACATCTATAAATAAAATCTGTCATGTGTTAATCCACAAAGAATTATTCAATAATCTCTGCATTAAAAAAGTAACATTTTGGACACTGATTCTAGAAGTTGCTTTAATGAGAATGTTAATCATGATTTATTTGTTTTATTCCTAAGCTTATACTATAGGAAAGAATAGTATTAGTATTATAATAAGAGTAACACACTTTTTTCTTCAAATGCTTTTACTTCATCACCTGACAAATTCATTGATCTCCACTCTGGTTAGCTGTCATTTTTTCTGATGCAGTCTAGTCTATCTCTTTTGAAGATATATTCAAAGAATATATTTTCTCTGTCTCCTTTTTTTGCATACCTCCCCACATCTTGCCCTCTAAAGTCAGGCATGTTCTTTTCCTTCTTTAATAATATTTGAAAATATATCAAGCCAAATTTGCTGAACTAAGAAGTTCAGATTTGGGAAGAGTTTCAAAGAATTATTTTTGATAGAGAGTTTTTAAGAGCCTAAGTTGAAAGTAGAAAAGAAAGCTATATGTGGAAAGGCTTAAAACTTGTTAAAAATGGTCTCTACAAACTGACATGGTAATGTTGTAAGTAAAGTTTGTATTTGATTTTTTCCACAGAGGAGAATTACTTTTAAAAATGAATAAACCTCTCAAAGCAAAAGAAGCATATCTTAAAGCACTAGAGCTGGACAGAAATAATGCAGATCTTTGGTATAACTTGGCAATTGTATATATCGAACTTAAAGAACCAAATGAAGCTTTGAAAAACTTTAATCATGCTTTAGAACTAAATCCAAAGCATAAGCTAGCATTATTCAATTCTGCTATATTAATGCAAGAATCAGGTATGTTTTCTCAAAATATTTCTGTTTAAACAAATTGTAGTTTAGAATGTAAAAAACTTTAAACTTCATTACCCATAGCAAATGTTTAATGGGTGGATAGTTTATAATAAAACATTGCTTAAATGATTTATAGAAAGAATATGTAAAATATTTGAAGAAAGAATATTTAAAATACTCTTTTTAAGTAACATGCACTAAAATGTATGATAACAGTAATTATTCTTTTGGTATGTGTTAAGACTAATATTTCAGATAGTCTATTAAATAATATCTAATTAATCTGTTCTGTCATTTTATGTACTATAAATATAATATAACCTCTTTTATAAATAAATATGCTACCCAAATAATGAACTTGTGAAATTTTTTACATAATTAGCTCTAAGCAGCCAAGAGCATTATATGTTTTCAAAAAAATAACATTCTATTTTCTTTTGATTTATAAGAGCAAATATTTTTGGCATCATTTTATATCCAATTTTGCTACATTTTCTGATATACTATTGTAATTTCTCGTATTTCCTATAATTTAGCAAAACTAAATTAACCACAGTAAATCTAGATCTTTGATCCATATTTTGTGTAGGAATTTTAGTTCTCCCTTACAGGGCAGTGTACACGATTTATAATCTTTTTTAATTTTTCTGTTGGAAAAATCTGTTTATAACTTTTTAGTTATTTCTTAGATATATTTCTTAAAACTTTTGCAAAAAATGAAAGAATCATGAAATCATAGTATGTTAGAGCTGAAGAGACTCTTTTAGTTTACTTTTGCTGATCTTCTGTTTAGTAGCTTAAAGACCAACATTATCTATCTAATGACTACCCCAGTTTCATATGGCTATTTTAATAGCTAATCCAAGATAACAACTGAAGCCTCCTGATTTATTTTGAATTCTTTTTATTCATAATGCTGTCAAAAGAAAAACTAGAAGGAGATCCTTATGCCTGATATTGAAAAAGGTATACATTTGGAGATTAATAATTTTGTAAGGTTATCTAGCTTTAATAATCATGAAATATGTTCATTATTCCACATAAGATTGCATCATAAAGTTTGCAATTGTACAACTTGAAAATATTTTTATTTACAATAGAAATTATCTCAATAAATATTTGTTTCCTAAATCCTAATTTTATAACTTTATACTTAATGGTATATTTTTGGCCTTAAAACATTTCAAAAAATGCAACATACAAAATAATCTGATTTAGTAAGCAGATTTTGGCTTCTGAAACACTCATACTGCCTTAAAGGAAAGGAAATGAACTATTATTTCAGTGTTTCAAATATGTCTTTCCTATGAAGACTTTGAGATTTTGCTTTCAACTATTTTTAGGTATAGAAATTGTTTTGATACTATCTTTTTGTACTAAATACTTGTAAATATCTTTGTTTTTCAGACTTAATTGTTTTGCTAACATTACAATTTTTTTCTTTTAAAAAAATAATCTTAGGTGAGATTAAACTCAGACCTGAAGCTAGAAAAAGACTTCTGAGCTATGTAAATGAAGAGCCACAAGATGCTAATGGCTATTTCAATTTGGGAATGCTTGCCATGGATGACAAAAAGGACACTGAAGCAGAAATTTGGATGAAGAAAGCCATAAAATTACAAGCCGACTTCAGAAGTGCTTTGTTTAATCTGGCTCTCCTGTATTCTCAGACTGCAAAAGAACTAAAAGCTTTGCCAATTTTGGAAGAGTTACTCAGATACTATCCTGATCATATCAAGGGTCTCATTTTGAAGGGAGACATTTTGATGAATCAAAAGAAAGATATACTTGGAGCAAAAAAATGTTTTGAAAAGATTTTGGAGTTGGATCCAAGCAATGTGCAAGGAAAACACAATCTTTGTGTTGTTTATTTTGAAGAGAAGGACTTATTAAAAGCTGAAAGGTGCCTGGTTGAAACATTGGCATTAGCACCACATGAAGAATATATTCAGCGCCATTTGGGTATAGTCAGGGATAAAATTTCTTCATCTAGTTTTGCAGAAGAGTTAATATTCCCAACTAGGAAGGCTTCAGGTGTAGAAGAAGGAGAAAAAAATCCAACTGAAAGTGTAAAAGAAATTGTAAGTGAATCCAGACCGACACAAATAACAAAAACAAGTGATGATAAAAGTCAGTCTAAATCTAACAAACAATTAGGAAAAAATACAGACAAAGAGACTCCCCACAAAACAACAAAAGACATCAAAGAAATTGAAAAGAAAAGAATTGCTGCTTTAAAAAGACTGGAAGAGATTGAACGTATTTTAAATGGTGAATAGCATTATTATTTATCATGTGACAATGGTTATCAAAGAACTTCAATCTGTATCATGTGATTGCTTGTATTAAGAGCTCTAAAAATATCAAGGATACATAACAGTCTATTGTGAACTATCTCTACATAGCACTAAAATAACATTTTCATTAAAGAACTGTGTTTCCTAGGATATATATTATATAAAAGTTTTCAGAGTTTTGGTGAATATAACAAATATTAAATTGTAGGTGACAAATTTGCAACTTTTATTATAGAAGGAAGGTTTTTCTGGCACAATAATCTTTGCTACCCAATTAAAAGCTGAGACCTAAATGATAATCCCTTCAGGGCCAATCCAACATGTGCTGGTTTATTCTGTGAATTCCCATTTATTAGCCTACTTCATTTTTCCTTTACTTCTTGGAATTTAGCTATGGATTGAAAACACTTACTGAACACATTGTTTTCATTCACTAATTTTGTTTAACCAAGGGACTTTGCACTACAAAAGAATACTGGCTTTCTTTATGTTGTATTTTTTGGTTGAATTTTAGAAGGAATGATGGATGAAATATTTTTTAAAAAGTAATTTGACATGTTAGCTTAAGAATGTATTTTCATAATCACATGTCCTTAATGTCGCTCTAAAATGCAATTTTTAAGCAGGTAAAGTTTTACACACACACACATATATATATATACTCATATATACATACACACATTTCTAATGGTGCTTATATATACTGCTGAGTTTTGGGGGAAGGGGTTTGGTGTTTTTCATTTGTTTTTTACTTATTGATAATGTCACAGCATGAATCACATAATCATGATTTTTTTTTATTTCTACTCCCCAAACTATTCATATTTCATAGGATCATAATCATATTGAGAAATCCCAATAACCCTAACTTTAAACTTTGAGTTATAATATAGTAAATTTCTCTTTCATCTTAGTGTTGGCTCTGTGGTCTTATTTGAATTTGAATTTTCTATTTCCAAAATCACACCTTAATCATTCTTAGCTACTTTAAGCCACTAAATTCTATTCTGTTTGAAAGCAAAACAATGTGACAAAGTTTATTTTTAAACACTAAATTCTTGATATCTTGTTACGGTATATATTTTTATTAAATATTTATTTTGACTACTGAGGTTTCATAAAACTTTTAAAGCTGTTCTAATTCTATTGTGTATGGAAAAAAATTTCTATTCCAGTTTTCTGTATGTACGTATATTATGGTTTAACCAAAATTCCATCATTATTGGCCTGCTGTCCAGCTATATAAAAGATAATTAACCTAATATAGGATTAATAAATTGGTTAGTTGGTTTTGACATATTTAAACTTGAATGTTAGGTTAAAAAGATATAAATCAAACTAATTTAAATCTGATTTTTTTCTTGAGTTAAATTACATTTCAAATGAGTTTTATAATATCTAATAAAGTTGGTTTTAATTTAAAATGTTAAAGCTCAAGCTATCATCCTGGGATAGTATCTAATTTCTAGTTATACAGTATGTCAAAAACTATATATTTTTTTAGTTCCTTTGAGATAACTAATTTCTAATTATATATGTTTCAAAGATCATATTCATGTAATTTTTTTTTAAGAATTCTTTTGCAAATAGGTCATAAGATATATGGTCTGAATTAAAAGACCCATTCTTACTAGGTTCCCTAAGGATCTGTCATAGATTTTTTTTTTTTTTTTTAGGCAATTTAAAGCAAGCACTGATACCAGTGGGAGGTAATTCATGATGTGGAAGATTCTGTGAAGCATCAAAGCAATGCTTAATTTCAGTTCTTAGATTATGACTTTGTGCCTCCAGATATCAGGTAGAGAATACCTCATATACTATGACTTGAAAAATGTAATCTATCTTATCTTCCCTCCATGTATCTTGAGAAAAAGTTTCAGAGTGTGATCTCTTCTGCTGTAGTATCAAGTGGAAGATAGATCAGAAAAGTAAGAAGAAATCTTTCATGACAGCAGCATAATAAAAGTTTGAGTAATATTTTAATAAATCTATATGACTTCAAATGATAAAATGTATATATAAGGTTATCCAGTAATTTTTATAGGGAAAAAATTGTCTTATTAGCACTTGGAACAGTGCCTAGTGGAAATGCTCATATATTTGAATTTTAAAAAATATATTTAAGTCACATCTACCCTGAGTAAATAATAATTTAATAATTATTCCAAATCAATGTTTTTCAACCCACACTTTGTATTAGAATCATTCAGAGGGCTTTTAATATGGATTCCATCCCATAACTATTAAATCTGAGTTTTGAGAGGTAGAGCCATGTTTCAGTTTTTCCAAAAAACTCTCCAAGTGATTCTAATTTGTAGTCAGGGATAAGGACCACTGCTCTAAAATAGTTTGGGAAAATCCTTTTATTTCTCCTGTGTTAACTTTTTAAATTAGCAATATAACACAATAAGTTTTGGTGTTTTAAGTTCCATTAAGGAATATGTTCTTCCAATAACTAGTATTTATTACTTGAAATTTAAGATCTTAAATTCACAAACTCTCAGTTTGTGAGATTATTTCTTTATAAATTCAAAATAGATATTTTATTGAAACTATTCAAGTGAGAAAAGATAATATTTTTTTTCCTCTGGAGCTGCCTGTTTGGGGAAATGGGAGTGGGGGACATTTAAGCCCAAATCACTAATCTATGGTTGTGATCATGTTTAAGTTTGGAAAAGAAAGCCTATCACAAATTTATAGGCTGGTGAATGGATGGAGTTTTAATTATTGTCTTACAAAAGAAGCTACTCCCCAGGAATTCTGGAAAAAGCTTTGACAATCTCCATGGGGTAGTGTTAAAACAGTACTTCTTCACTGCTTCTCTGAAGGTTGAATTTAAGTTTCTGGAATTGCTCATACCTGTGTTTCCTTACTAGCATTCAGAATTGGGAATTTTATCTCATAAATTTGTACAGTGAGTAGTTTTCTGAAATTGAAGCCTTGGAGAGTAAAATAAAATATGTAATTTTGTTTTTCAATTTTGTGTATACATTCATGTAAATATTTGGTATGTGAATTACACAATTCTAATAAAACATCATGCCTTTTCATTGCATCTAATTTGAGCTCTCAACTTCACATTACAAAATGCATCTTCTTTAAAGATGCTTTAATGAAAACTATGAAGAAAATATATAGATTTGTATGTCAATTTATACTTCAGAAATCCATATATTTGTCATATTTATTTTTTTAAAAACCTCCTAACTGCATGACTGGATGGTATTTAAAATGAACCCCCCAAAATATCTGATACCTTTGTCCAAATTTTTATGTGTTGGAAGCATCAGCCATACATGTTAAGAGTTCATAAGAAAACAGTTTAAAATTGTATGCATTTTATATTATGATTGTGTCTGTGTGTACCATATTTCTAAATATTCAGTATTAAATTGCTACTTTTTAAAACCTTAACCTGACTTGCCTTTAATTGTTAAAATGAAAAACATACATTAGTGTATATAAAGAGATTTTTCTCCCATGAAGAAAGAAGACCTGGCATGTAGTTTATTAGCAATAGCATACATTTAATTAGTTCCTGATTGTGATACATTTTCAACCATGAGTGACAGCAAACAAGTTAAGAGAAAAAAACAGTTAAACTCAAACTTGGAATTATATACAAGTTTAATTATATACAAGTTTAAATTCTGGAATTACCTCCATATAACAGGGGCAATTGTTTAAACCATATGTCCTCAGTTTCTTCATCTGCAAGTTGGAAAAAATCCTTTCCTCTTAAACAGTATTGATATACTGGTGTTATTATATATCACATATTAATATATTTAAATTGCTTAGAATAGTTTCTGGCACATAGTAAATAAATGTTATTAGTATTAATATAAACACAAGGTTTAAACATACATTTGATGCATATGACTTAAATTTGCATATGTGATAGTAGGGATAATGTCACTGACCATCATGATAGCAAGCAAATAATTAGAAATCTAATAATGGTTGTTTCTTAGGTCTTGCCAATAAGTACATAGGTAGCCTAAAATAAATTATACTTGGGGTAAAGTTAAAATGCATAAATTCGGAACTAAGACACCTTAGAATTGCATTACCTTGTTCATTTATGGTTCACTTCCATCAGGGAGGTAGAACAAGATGAAATATTAGATAGTCTCTGAAGACAATCTCTGGAAAATTCATGTTCTTTGGAACTTTACGTTCTTTATCAATAACATTTCTGTGACTGTCAATGGATAGCATATTTCCTTACATAAAGTAACATTTATGTTGTATAAGAACCTGATACCTTTATGTTTCTGCCTTAAATAAAATACTATATATATATATATATATATATATCTATCTGTGAAAAATGATACTGGTATTTTAATAGGGATTGCATTGAAACTGTAGATCACTTTGGGAATCAGAGAAGACCCCATATAGCAAAAGCAATTCTAGGCAATAAAAACAAAATGGGAGGTATCAATTTGCCAGACTTCAGACTATACTACAAGGCTATAGTAATTAAATCAGCTTGGAACTGGCACAAGAATAGGGACATTGACCAGTGGAACAGAACTGAGAACCCAGATATAAAACCATCCTCATATAGCCATCTAATCTTTGACAAAGCAGACAATAACATACACTGGGGGAAAGAATCCTTATTCAATAAATGGTGCTGGGAGAACTGGATAGCCACATGTAGAAGACTGAAGCAGGATCCACACCTTTCACTTCTCACAAAAATCAACTCACACTGGCTAACAGACTTAAACCTAAGGTGTAAAACTATAAGAATTCTAGAGGAAAACGTTGGAAATACTCTTCTAGACATTGGCCTAGGCAAAGAATTTATGGAGAAGACCTCAAAGGCAATCACAACAACAACAAAAACAAATAAATGGGACCTGATCAAACTAAAAAGCTTCTGCACAGCCAAAGAAACTGTCTAGAGAGCAAACAGACAACCCACAGAATGGGAGAACATTTTCACAAGCTACACATCTGATAAAGGGCTGATAACTAGAATCTATTTAGAATTCAGGAAAATCAGCAAGAAAAAAAATCAAACAACCCTATCAAAAAGTGGGCTAAGGACATGAACAGAAACTTTTCAAAAGAAGACAGAATAATTGCTAACAAACATGAAAAATGCTGTACATCTCTAATCATCAGAGAAATGCAAATAAAAACCACAATGAGATATCACTTATCTCCAGTAAGAATGGCCTTCATCAAAAAGTCCCAAAACAATAAATGTTGGTGTGGATGCGGAGAGATAGAGACACTCATACACTGATGGTGGGACTGCAAACTAGTGCAACCTCTGTGGAAAGCAATATGGAGATACCTTAAAGAGATACAAGTAGATCTACCATTTGATGTAGCAATCCCATTACTGGGCATCTATCCAAAAGAACAAAAGACATTCTATAAAAAAGACATCTGCACTCGAATCTTTATAGCAGCACAATTGCAAAGATGTGGAAATAACCCAAGTGGCCAACAATACATGAGTGGATTAATAAAATATGGTATATGTGTACCATGGAGTACTATTCAGCTATCCGAAACAACTGTGATATAGCACCTCTTGAATTTTCCTGGATAGAACTGGAACCCATTCTACTAAGTGAAGTATCCCAAGAATGGAAAAATGAGCACCACATGTACTCACCAGCAAATTGGTTTCACTATCAACACCTAAGTGCGCATGTAGAAATAACATCTGGCGTCGGGCCGATGGGAGGGTGGAGGAGGGTATGGGTCTATACATACATAATGAGTGTGATGCGCACCATCTGGTGGATGGACATACTTGAAGCTCTGAATCGAGGTGGGAGGGGGACGAGGGCAATATATGTGACCTTAACATTTGGACCCTAATAATATGCTGAAATAAAAAAATAATAATAAAATACTTCTCAAGAAACCATTCTAGTTTGC